GTGCTGTGTGCTAGACTGTGTTTTGTGCGACTGCCCATCTATAAGCATTTGTGGCTATCTCTTTCCTCATTGATTGAGTGATTTATATCAGCACTCATGCTTGAAATAGAACTCACTCCTCTATCTGCAGTGAAGATGCAGAAACTCGCGTATGCACTGTCTGTATCTCCTTCTCGGCTGTGTGTGCGTGTGTGTTTGTGTGTGTCTGATTTTCACCCTGCATGTGTAAAGGTTCGGTGACTGCAACGCTAAGGTGACTGCAAAAAGGTGACTTTTTTTTCTCATTCTCCCTCTCTCTTTCCTCACCCACCCCGTCTACTCCCCTCTTTCAGTGCTCCCTTGCTCCCCCGTCCCTCATCCTCTTAGGGGAGCATGGGAGCATGCAGTGGAAAAAACTGAGCCAATAAAGACACTGCCAGAATCCATCCACTCCCTGCGCCTCACATAGTTACTGAGGGGGAGAAAGAGTGTTGCGGTGGTTGGGGGGGTGTCCAGCCTAACTACAGCTATGGATGAAGGAGGTGGAGGAGGACAGGAAGCAGGAGGCGTGGGCTTGCGAGAAGATGAATGAGGGAGGATGGAGAAGGAGGGCAGGATAGAATGAAGATGGAGAGTGGGAAGATAGCTCTGGGAAGGAACATGTGGACACACAGATGGACCCCCCTCCCTTGTTGCTTCTTCCTTACCCAGGGGTACTTGTGACGGAGAGTCTGGCCTATCCTGGAGTACCCCCTAGAGGGTTTTGCAACAGGTGCAATCCTTTCCAATCCCACAGCAAAAACTTTTAGAGAGACTTTTATGTTTATTAGCAACAGATCGCTCAAGAGTCCCTCAGCCGTAATCAGACTGGATTGCCTTTCTGCTTATTTTTAATGAGGGGAACTGGAGAGAGCTTAGACTGAGAAGACCTGCTTTATTTTGAAAGTGGTGTCCTGTGAACAAATATGGAACAGGTGCATAAACAAACAAACAAAAAGAATGGCAGAGCAGTTAAAGTTGAACAGAAGGTGAGGCGAAACTTAGAGTGCTGACAGAATAAAGCTGGTTAGAGCGAGGCCTCGCACCTCGTAAATCATGGAACGTTTTCAGACCACCATATGATGCCGGTTGACTAGCTCATTGATCCTGCTTTTCAGAGATGTTCCCCTGCCGAGAGCTGGAACTCGGCCAAACCCACCCAACGCGAGCAGTATGTGTGCTTGCAATTGTTCACACCATCACATACATGCGCACGCACACACACCAAGCCTGTAAAACTTGGACCAGCCTAACCAGGCCATATTCAGAAACCTTGTGTTCCATGACAATTTGGTGAACAACAGCACAGTCTAATTTAAGATGAGACCAGTTTTGTCACAACCCGTACTTCCCCCAAGGCTCTGAATTTTACGATGATATCTCAGTTGTCGATCCTTCACATCCTTTTATTTTGTTTTATTGTTTTTTTGTTTCCCTTTTTTTCTATGATGAAGCATTTATGATCGTGTCTCTCAGGGTTGTCATCACAATTTAGTCCCACCAGGCGAGGATATGAATGGCTCATATGCATGTGAACTGGAGCATTTACATCAATTCTCATTGAAACTGTAGTCGCATGGCACTGCCTGGCCTGATTTTCTTGTATGCATAGAAGAGCTGTGAAGAATTGGAAGAGAAGACAAATCTGTTACCCGTATGAAGTTCTCAGGAGGCCTCTGAAACAGCAGCCTTTCATGTATAATACAGAAACCTTCAAAATAATTGCATCTTTCTTGTCAGTAATTTCTCTTTTTTCTGCCTCCCGCACACACAAACACTCAAAGCACCTTTGAAAGAAAGGTCTAGTAATTATTATATGCAATCTTCCTCTGTATTGGCAAGTTTTGAACAGAGCACTTTAAAGCAGAAAACCTTGGCAGACAGATTTATCTCTGCTTCTTAATCAATGACATTTATTGAAAAAGTGGGTCAGGCAAATAGCTACAAGTCGATTATGATGAAAGAGTGTAAAGCAGCAAAGATTAAGTGTACATGAGGTGGTGTATGTGTGTGAGGGGGACATATTCGTGTGCAATAGGTTCTTCTGACAGCAGCATCTATGGCAACTATGAAGTTTCTCTTACAATGTCTTCATAGAGATGCATGGGGCTTGTTTGTGAGGGGAGATGGAAAAATGATGCATCTTATCCTTTTAGTCTGCATGATTGAATCTGTAATGTATGAGAGGCAAAGAAAGCCTGTAAAAATGTAAATCCTCTAAGAAAACCAAATTGTGAAAATTAAATACCTGAATTTAGCATGGGGCGGCACGGTGGTACACAGCAAGAAGGTCGTGGGTTCAAACCCCGGTTACCTCTGCCTTTCTTTGTGGAGTTTGCTTGTTCTCCCCGTGTCCTCGTACAGCTCTGTAAAGCTGTACTTACGCACATTGGTGCTTTGAGCAATATGCTAAGAAACAATGACATGGGAGTGTTGATAATTTTTTCAAGTATTTAATCATAAACCAAAGGGTTGCGCAAATAAAAATTTGACCTGATGATAGCAGCAGATAAAAACGTTAAGGGATCACCAAGGTTATTACAATTCATTCTGAGGGGGACCAAATTTCATGGCAGTCTATCCAGTCGATATCAAAACATTTCAACCAAAACCACAAATGTGAACCCCATGATGGCCCTAGTGGAAAAGTCAGGGGATCACTAAAGTCAACATAATTTTGCAACCATGAATTGCTGTACGTAATTTTTTGCTAATCCATCAAGTAGATGATGAGATATTTCACTGGATAAATAAAAATTTGACAGCTAGTAGTGCTAGAGATCAGTTCAGGGAATCACCACAATCGTTAGGCTTACAGTAATCATTTAGGCACCATGAATACCTGTACACTCACAGCAAGAAGGTCGTGGGTTCAAACCCCGGTTGCCCCGGCCTTTCTGTGTGGAGTTTGCATGTTCTCCCCATGTCTGCATGGGTTCTCTCTGGGTGCTCCGGCTTCCTCCCACCGTCCAAAGACATGCTGACTAGGTTGATTGGTGACCCTAAATTGTCCTTAGGTGTGAGTGTGAGTGTGTGTGGTTGTTTGTCTATGTGTGGCCCTGTGATGGACTGGCGACCTGTCCAGGGTGTACCCCGCCATTCGCCCAATGTCAACTGGGATTGGCTCCAGCCCCAGACCCTCTACGCAGGATAAGCGGTTGACGATGGATGGATGAATACCTGTACACATTTTTAAAAAAAGGATAAATAAAGTATATTCAAGTTCCTTAAATTCAATACGTATCAAAAAATTCAAGTCGAGTTTAAAAGAAGGAATGGAATGGAATTAAGGTTCTCAAATTGGATAGGTGAAATTCTAAATTCAGCATTCAAACCTGAACATCCTGGCTGTCAAGGAAATGATATTTAGGAGATAACTTTATTAATCCCTCTGATTTCTCTGTTTTTACACACTGGTGTTATTATTATACATATTATACACATGCATTAACGTATGGAGATATTGTCTGAGAGAGGGGGCTGCCACATAGTCCATGCCCCGAGCAGTTAGGGGTTCAGGGCTTTGCTCAAGAAGCTGAACTGGCACCTCTCCAGCTACAAGTCCACTCTTCATATGACTGGTCTGTGCTGATCTCGAACATACACACCGCTTTGGACACGATTGTTTACATTCTTGTTCCTGGTATCCGCCCCTTAGCACGTCCTTCCTTCATGAAAGACGGCAAGCTATGATTGGTGGGGGGCCAGCGTGTATACTGTAATGTCTCTGTAAGGCCACGTCACGCAAATAATTTATGACTATAATAGCCTAATCTGACACGGTGAACATTTTAACAGACAAAAATATTGTTCAGTATGAACCCGGTATTAAGTTACTTATGCATATGATCTAAGAAAGAGATGAGCAACTGGAATTTTATTGTGCTACCAGCACATATAAAGACACTTGCATGCACAAACTACTGTCCAGATGTTCCACTAAAGGACTTTGTTTCCACCAATGTTAGTACAAAAAGGTAACATCCGGGTGAACATGTAGGTCAAATGTTGCAGCAGTATTAGACAGCTGCAAAAGTCATTGATGGAGCCTAAACCTCTTGGTCCAAATGGGCTTTGCTGGAATTCACCAAGTTGTTGTTGTTGAGCTTTCTCTCTCATTATGCTGTTTATACTTTTTCTGAGCTGGAGGTTGAAGCTAATGAGAAAGTGAAAGATAATGGCTTGGTAGGAAAGTTGACCTCTGAGCAGAGGACAGAAATAAATACCTTGAAGATGGGAGCACTCCTCAGTACCTGTTCATCCACATCAGTGGGGGAGGCACACATAAATCAAATGCCAAAGTGATATTTATTCGCCTCCTGAACTATTTACTTACTGACAATAAAGGTGGAATTTATGTGGCTATTAAGACGAGTGTTCTGAATGGTCAGGGGCTGCAACTGAGGGCCACTTTATGGATTGGATGCAATAAAAACCCAGTGATAAAACAATATGGAAGCTGTGGACCAGGCCGTCAATCAAAGGTAAGTATGATAAGTAAGTTCGTTAATTTTAATGGAGTAAATTCTTCTCAATAATGCAGTGCGTGCTGCTATTATTCCTATTTCTTGTCTTAATACAGTGCTTTAACCCAGACAGAATGGAAGCAAGTCTTCCTTACCCTCCAGTAAGCCATGAATCAAACAGTGAGAGGTGAGGGAGAGATGGAGGGAGCATGAGGAGGAGAGGGTGGGGGAAAGGGTGGGGAGGGCAAAGAGAGGGTAGAGGCCTGGAAGAAGTTGGTAGGGATTAGAGAGATGCCCAAGGCTCATTTTCCAGCCTTGTGGACAAGGTGATGTCACCACACGTTTCACTGAGGGATATCCCACAGAGAGGGGAAGGGAGACACAGAGGGGGAGAGAGGGAGGTGCAGAGATAGAGACAGGCACGGGGAAGAGAAAGAGAGCGAGAGAAAAAGTAAGGAGAAACAGAGAGAGGGGGGAGTGGAGTGGGGGGGACTTGGGATTTAGATTGTGCAGCAGCGGTAGAGAGGGAGGGGAAAAGTTGGACACGGACAATCTTGCAGGAACTTTTTTCTTCTTTCCTTCTCTGTGGAAGAAGCCTCAAGAAAAACATTCAGTGGATTACATTTGATTTGCATCGCCCCACTAGATTTCCAATCTGGTCCCTGGATACATACGCATTCATTAACGGATTAATGTGGTCGCAAATTTGGGGGATTTATCAATAGTTTAAGGTAAGGCTTTTATTGACTTTTATGGACATGTTTACGGTGCTTGAAACGTAGCCGATAAAAGCGACGTTTGAAAAAGTTTGTGTTTTGGGCAACGAAACGTTGCAGTAAGGCAGTGATGGAAGACTGCAGTTTGTAGTGAAACTTTTGCAGTCGGTTTATATCGGCAACAGACCAGACTAAGGCTGCTTAACACAGGAGGCTACATCACATGGGAATACAGGCGCATTATAGGCTACAGCAGATGACGAAATACACCACTAACTCACTGTAAACTCACTTTTGAGCAGCTACTAAAGAAAAGTGTAATGATTTTAGGAGATAAAATACCATGAAATGTAAACATGATAAACTCACTTTCTCCCAGGGGAGAAATAAAAGTTATTAAAGTTATGTCTGCTGAGTAGCCCCTGACACATCGCAGTATTTTTGTGTTTCTTTAAAACTTTTAAACCACAACTAGTTGATACAGCTGCTGGCAAAAGTGATGCTGATTTTCCATTCTTATCCGATTCCATTCTTACAACACAGTTTGGGCTGAGTTGTAAATGTATGTGGCTTGAATCCAGACCCTGTGGCATGGAAAAGCCTCAGTGCATGGCTGTGTATGGGATCCGCTACATGCATATCATTCACGTAGTGACGTCTGAGCATAGCCCTGCACAGATTTGACATCAGTGTCCTACATCTTACTTCTTTCCTCTAACGTTACCTGGGAAGAAAGAAAAAGTCCTGAGGAGGGACACAAACTGTGAGGAGAACTCATGAATGCCACAGTCACATCTGTTTTTCTCATGACTCAGCCATCCCATGTTTGCTGGCTTTTGCATCCCGTCTGTGCCCCCCCCCAGCAGCTCAATGTTGAAACTCAGAGCTGCCTTCTTGAGAGAATGAAGAGAATTTATTTCTCTGATCAGCTATGTCATTCTCTCCATTGCTACGTTCTGACCTTCAGTTAACAGAGATCTTCTCTTGAAGGGTAATTTCAACAAAAACATAATCTGAGGACCATAGACATTAAAAAATGTGGAAAACCATGAATGCTCCTGTAGCCTACCTCCAGGGACACTTTTTCTCCCCTGCAGTAAGAGGTTCTACTCCCTCTTCAGACCTTGGGGAATACAGCCTTGTAAATGTTACAAATTGGTGTCCTAGAATTTAACTACACATTAAGTGTTGCTCACTTAACCTCACGCAGGCTGCACATGCACACTGCATTAGCTGTGGGCCTTGCAGTGTCTGTTTTACTTACTGCTTCCAATGTAGCCGGTGCTATGGGCCTGCAGCTAATTGTATCATCCACTTGACTCTTTGCATATTCCGGTCAGCAACGTTAAGCTATCAGAAATGTAAAGTTAAGCAGCAGGTCAACTGCCTGCTGAAGGCCTTCTCAACCATGCATAGCATGGGCTTTAGGCCAACTAGTTCATGTCATCAGACTTTATTTACGTCATTACTTTTATATGTGGACCCAAACTATCCATGGCAGTGGAACTTTGAGGCAGCCTTGAGCATGTCCTCATACCTAAACGACAAAATAGGTCAACTGTCAGTTGTCCCAAAACGACATATATGACCATTCCCCAAAACGACATGTACGAGCATTGGAAAATACTAGTAATATTTTTTTGCCTAGGATGGTAAAGGCATGAACCACCCTACTCTGCTTCTTATTGACTAGCACTCATTGCCTTCATGATTGGGTTGGTTAGGTTTAGGCAAGAGGAGTGACTGGTTAGGGCTAGGGTAAGAATATCAGGGTAAGCCCATCAGAGGCATAGCAGGGCTGGTCATGCCTTTGCCATAGGCAAAAAAAATAGCATGGAGTAAGTATGTTGCATTGCAGGTTTGGGCAAGATTGTGGTATGGGTTAAAATAAGTGCATTACATAACTCAGGTGACGTATATCTTTAACTTTCTTTCACACAGGACTCGAACCTCATTCTCCTGAGTGAAAGTCCTGTGTTTGTGTTTGACCCCCCCATCCACCTCCTTACGCAGACTTTGTTGCTCTTTATTCTACGTCATGTGACTTCTTCCTTTGCTACCGTCATATGACCTCTAGAGGTGACAGCCTAACAATGTACGTAATTATGGGCCGTAAGCTGCTGCATATGCTGTATTTTTCTGGTGAGGACAGGCTAGATGAGCAAAGAGAGGATTGAATGGATTTTACACTCCCTACTTTTGTTCACAATCTGCAACTGTGCTGGCCTGTTTCTTATTCACAAATACACTAGTAAAAACTTGCCTCAGTCTCTCTTGATTGTCATACAGGTTTGGATATTACCTTTGCTAATTTCCAATTTCTATTACTCCCGGTCAGTGGATATCTAGAGTGTCTATCAAAGCCTCAAGGCATGTTTATTTATCTTTTATTCACCCCTAGCTTCCTGTTGTGACAGGCCTTCTATGCGCTTTCAGGATTGGCCTGAAGCACATCTGCTTCAGTTCCTGAGCCAAGAGTGTACGTGTACATGTCGTGTTTATCATGACATATCAGTACCTTTTACAGTAGAAAGAAGCATCTGACATCTCCCATCTGGCAAAAAGAACTCTGGGAGTGTCTGAAAAGATGGCAGCATATTGACTAATGTCAAACATCCAGCTATTTATTTTTTTGCCATGCTAGCAGCATGGCTTTGGATGGCAATGTCTGTCAGTCAGTTGGTCGACTGCTTTGGTCCAGACTGAAATACCTCCACAACTTTTGGATGGATTGACATAAAAGTTTGTACAGACATTCATGGTCCCCAGAGGATGATTCTTCATGAGTTCATGAGTCTGGTGATCCCCTAACTTTTCCTATTCCTATAGCACCACGAGCCGGTCAAAGTTTTCACTTATCCTGTGAAATAGCTTAACATCCACTTGACCGATTGGCACAACTTTTGGCAGAAACATTTGTGGTTTGTAGAGTTGGTTTGCTATCAGTTGTAGTTCTACTAACTGATACTGTGACTTTTCCTGTAGCACAAGCGCCATGAGCTTCACATTTGGGGCCAAGAAGAACTCCTTTGTTTGTTGTATTTGGCTGTAAAATAAAATAAAAATGGTGTGCAACTGCTTAACAATAGCACCAAGGATGGGAATACCGTACATACATACAGTTCATGAAACAAGCCTCCACGTTACTTGTGTAGCACATTGTGTAGCACATTCGCAGTTAGCACGCTTGTAGTGTGGACATTGAGTGCAGACCCTGGCAGACTGTGGCAGCTGACGACATTTACGCCACACGGACACTTGCAGCCACACTGATGCAGTAATTGGCCTTAATTGGCCTTAAGTTCTGCCTCATAAACCTGCTAGCACGGCTGTAGACTTAGTCGTCTTTCTAAATCACTTATTCTTTTTATAGTCACATGGCTGTTAACAGTCCAACAATCATTCCAGTTTTCTTCCAATAAGAACAAACCCTGCTCACAACAACAAGAATTAACAGAATTGAATTTCAGTTGTTGTCGTCTTGTTTTTTTTCTTCTGCTTATTGCAATAGTGCATGGTAGAAAGATTCCTTGTGTCTCTGTGTGTTAGCATTCATATCTTTCTACCTATCGGTCTGTCTTCGTATATCTGTCTTCGTATATCTGCCCCTTTTGCCTTCTGTGGCACACATGCTGTACTGTACATGTTTCTATATCAATGAATGGATGCATTTGCACCTACTTGTCTACTTATTATGCAGCCCTTCTGTTTTATTGCTGCAATCCAGTCAACTTTTAGTGCACTTTCCTACACATCCTCTGCCGAGAGAAGACTTCCTCAGGAGGATTCAGTCAGGGTCACAGCCCCAAAGACCGGAGGTTGTTTTCACAGCCCAGCACCAAAACCACTCTCTACTGTGTGTGTTTGTATGTGTGAGATAGAGCAGGGTATATTGGAAGCAGATACCCTGCGATTGAGCTGTCCATCAATCTTCTTGCTGCAGTATGCTGGGAGAGACAGCTGGAAAGGCAGTGAACCGTCAAATATTACATGACTGACACATTTATGCCGGGTTCTCCCATTTAAAGAGATGCAAAGCAGTCTAAACAGTGGGCTCCTGGTTCACTGTCATTTAATCATCTGTGTCTGGGGTGCCTAATAAGCAATTCTCTTGTGAGGCCATAGAAAGGACATGTTTCATTTAACTCTGTCAGTGTTCCTCTAAACAGGCTTGTGTTGGGGCTGTTGTTCCATCTGTAAGAAGGTGGCAATGATGATGAAATGTGTGACAGCAAAAATTGCTAAGCACTGAGCACAAATTACTTCCATTGTTACATAGGACAGTATCAGTGCCTCTTTTGTCCGTAAATGCAAGCTATTACAAGTACTGGAACTGATAGCTGTACTGGAAATAGAAAATAGACAATAGGTCTGGACCTAGAGCCAAAACGACTCCTGGAGCTATGGAGCAGCTCTGCGTCTTCAAGGGAGACACATTGTTGTTGTAAAAAAAAAAAAATGTCCAAGCTGAAACATAAATGAGGGCTGTGTTGTGTTTGTGACTGTTGGTCATCACTTCTGTCCGGCAGTGGTCTTAAGGCTTGTAATCCTGGAAGACTTTCAAATCTGTCATTGTTTTCTTTCCTGTACTGGCTTTGTACTCGGTGACCCGATCACTCGCAGGCCTGCTTACCGGGCTCATGGCCAGCCCTACGGCCAAGCCCAGTGGCCTAACCCTTTACTGTCTTTATCTGCTATAGCCAGCTGGGTGGCCATGGTGCTGCAGATGGAGTGCAGAGAGAGGACAAAGAGAGACATCCATAGCAACACATATTAGGAAGCCTATTAAATTGTTCTGGATTATGGCCAGACAAAAATAGCAATGAGCTGTTACTTTTCCTTTAGCCTGTGTTCTGTGTTCTCTGGACTGTGATGCATTATGTATTATGTACTGTGTGAGCTTTCTTATTACTGTGATCATGTGGCATGAAGCCTATAATAATGGCTGCAGCTTTAGAGTGCTCAAACTCAGCCATCTGAGGCTAGCCTGAAAACTAAAAAAAAATCAAAATCTTCTAGTTGTTTAGCTTGCAGCTACTTTTAGATAAAAAGTGTCTATGTTGTGCACAGAGATGACTTGCGCCATAGCATGATTTTACAGTGTCTTGCAAAGATCTTTTCAGAAAATGGTAACCTGGCCTTGTAAGAAAATAAGGGAAGCAACCACACCTTGAGCCAGCAGTCCCCAAAATTGAATGTATAATTCACAATGTGGGGCATGTCAAGCTGTCCTTGTTATTCCCGAACATAATTTGAAACATTGTCCTCCACCGCATTGTCTGTTAGCAGCATGCTGCAGGCAGTCAGGTCAGGCTAGATGGTATTTACACCGTGTCCTCGGCCAGGCAGGAGTGCCACATTGTGTACCCCCGGGGGAGAGCGGGGGTCATTTCTCCTGGCAGACGGGACAGGTGTGTGTATAGAGACACAGTCTGCTAGCCTGCCTGCCTTGAGGCCCTGCTGTACCTGTAAACACTGCAGAGTTATGGGGTCTGTACACATGCTGAGGGCAAGTCCAGGTCAGCTGGGATGTGTTTATGCGAGTCAGAGTGGGCCGTGTTGGTGTCCTTATGTGCATGCATTCTTTTGTGATTTTTATGAAATAGGGGTTGTATTAAGGGAGAGGGACTGTGGAGACAGAATATAATGATTATTTAGCCGTGGCACACATTTTAATCTGTGTGTGTGTGTGTGTGTGTGTGTGTGTGTGTGTGTTGTTGTTGGGCCACGTGGAAGCATCTGGTGCAACACAACCATGGCTCCAGTGGAATAGTCTCCAGATGTGTTTGTGTGTTTTGGCCCCGCTGTCTGTTTGACTGTGGAACGGCCAGCCAGCTTGTAAATCATTTTACTTTCATGTGTGCACTTTGCTTTGTTGTCTTGCAGATGCAGTAGGTATTTGTTTACAGCAGTATTTGTACTTTGTTTACTTTAAGAATGGTTTCCTAGATATGGTCCCGTGTGTGTATGTGCACTTAAGTGTACTCATATTTACATGCATGTGGGTGTGCGTGTGTAGCAGCTGCCAAGTCAAAGGCCAACCAGATGGACAGGATAATGACTATGATCAGACTTTATAGAGTTACACTCCTTAATGAGGGACATTCTGGTTAATTCATATGCCACTGACAAAGCCTGCATCATACCACATAATTAACACATCAACTGTGACTGACTCATAAATATACATCAACGTCTATTTAGGAGTCAAGCATAATGTGCAGCTGGCGGCAGAGTGAGCAGACTGGTATGGCATGCTCACAGAATGTAGGAAGGATTTAACTTTTTTGACATGCTCTTTTTCTTTTTTCATCCATCAGCTGGTGGCTGAGGTGAGGTGAGGTGGGGTGAGGTGTTTTCGGAGGAGTGAAACCATGTGGCTTCTCTGCTCCTCTCTGACTCTGTTGGCCCTCAGCTTCGGGTCATGTGACACGCTGACATCAGAGCAAGGTGAGTTTCTTCTGCCCTGCTGGAGTTCAAAAAATGTTCAGGACAAATTAATTGTCTTACTTTAACAATATTCAACATACACAGTACCCCACATAAAACCACAACTTGTCATTTTAACATGCTGGTTTTTGTACAGATTAAACAAACGAGATGTAACATCTTACCAAGTGAGCTTGCTTGCTAACCTTAGCTAGCTAGCTGCTGACTGTACCTTTATATTAACCGTACAGACATGAGAGTAGTATGAATCTTCTCATGTAACTTTTGGCAAGAAAGATGTTAAACTGTTGCTTTCACAAAAAGTCTAAAACGTCACAAAACCAAAAACACTTAACACTGGTTAACTCTTTTATCAAACATTCCATGCTTGACCAACTGGTCTCTCTTTGCAACCCATCTGAGTTTGATGAAACTGTGTCCGTCTGTGCCCTGTGTGTGTGATGGTGCAGCTGTAATTACAGAGTATGTGCATTTGATGCTAGCTGTTGGTGGCGGGGTGGTAGGCTGTGGCAAGGAGACGTGTGTGTTTACCATGTGCGGTTGTGTTCCTCTTCACAAACCATCAATCATTCTGTCTTTCTGTGTATTTTGTATAGGAAGAACATGAGTTTGTATGATTTTGAATGTGCTTACATGACATTACGAGCATGTTGAAATGCTAGTGTGTGTGTGTTGGCGTGGTGGAGAGAATGTGTTTCTATTTGTATCAAGGTGTATGTATGTGGTGTATGGGTATGACAGAGACAGAGACAGAAACAGACAACCAAGAAATCAAGAGGCAGAGAGGTGAAGAGAAATCTCTTTTATTGCCTTCTGTTATTTATTTATTTATTTACTTATTTTCGTTCTGAACTGTCATACTCCCTCATCACACTGTCAGTGTGTTCTCAGGGGCCGGCTCTGTGATATCACTTGGGGGGTCGAGCAATCCTCTATAGTTCGTGGAGCTCTGAAGGGAGCTTTGCGGAGGAGGAGGTCCCTCCTGGGAGACCCTAGTCAGAGCTTTTCAGCTGAGACAGAGTCAGCTTGCAGCTCCCTTGAGTCCTTTCCCCCAGTGGTTGGAAGAAAGTGCTTTTTCAAGTGCAGCTATAACACTTTGTCACAGCAAGCACCACACACACACACACACACACACACACACACACACACACACACACACACTATCACTATTCCTCTGACTCATTCAAATCTCTTCTTACTGGTAATTTGCTGACATTACAGCAAGGAAGCAGGTTTAAGGAAAACTAGTGTTGAAGAGTGGAGCCGGATGATTGCACTGCACTTCTGCAGTGTACCAGCCAGAGAGACCAGTCCCTATAGTTAAATTAAATTGCTGCTGCCTTTGGTAAAGTGTTGCTGATATGGGTTTTTTTTGTGCACAACAGACCATACACAGTTTGAAGTAATGGATTTATGTATTGATTTGTTTTGACTCAGTTTCCCTCTGTCTGTGTTTCAGCTAAGTTGTATGCTTTCTGGTGCCAAGTAATTGCAGTAGTAATAAGCACATTTGCACAAACAGAAGTTAGAGAAGACAAGCAGCTTGCAGCAGAAAAACAAATCTACAGGTTAGGAGAATCTTATTTCTGATTAGGATATAATTGATAAAACCGGCTGTATGATTTTCTTCTATGCTGATAATGATGCTGATTACATACTGCAGTCCCTTGTTTGTACTACTAATAAGCAAGCAATATGTGAGGTATTGCTTCACATACGGTTGACTTTCTTAATATGAAGTGTACACTATTAAAATATCAGAAAGGCTGGGAGCATAGGATAGGAGCATTTGGTTATTTTTTTCAGCTACATGGGGGCACCAGAACACGCTGTACACAACATTGACTCATCTCCTTATAAAATTGACATGGCTAGAAGTATTAGCATTTTGGATTTACAAATCCAGCAGACACAGAGCAACATTAGCATTCTTTTGGTATCGAGTTTCTGGCCACCGACAAATGTAAGTGTATAATTATGTGTTAATATTCACTCTCATTTTAGTTCTCTCTCCACCAACTGAAATGTCTGGTTATTTAGCTGGTAAACGCTTCTTCCCCAGCTAGTCGCTAACGTTGTGTGTCTGCCATCAGTAGCAAAACTGAACCAAAACAATGAAGTCGGTAAAACACATTAAAACGCTGCGTGTAGTTGGCAGGAACTGCAGAGTCAGGTCATCATTTTGGGTTTGTTACTATGAGTGACCCCTATCACATTACCTCGAGGGGAGTCATTTAATTCAATGTTAATATAAAAATATTGAGGTGTGCAGCTTTCATTGTTCATTTCATGTTATCGTTATCTTGACTTTATTAACCATTAGTTTGGTCAAGACCATGAGTATGCCATGTTAACATTTGTCCTTTAGAGAATTTGATACAGACCCTTAGCCATCTTTACTCCATCTCCACTGCTGATGGGTAATGGGTGTGACTAGGCTAGTTTGTAGGCCATAACGGGCGGTGTGTAAACGTCACTTGCAAGGAATGAACTTGAGAAAAACACTTATACTGTAACTGCTTTAGGGTGGGTGCTTCATGAATGAACCTGTCCTGTGATGTCTCTGCTCTCTAAAGAAGAAAATGTGCATTGCAAGTTTTGTCAGAAGCGCTTAGAAAAAGCATGAGTACTCAGTAAAGTAGCACATTACATCAAATTTACCAACTAGTGACAAATGTGATCCGAGGAATTACATTTACTTAATTAGCTGATGCTTTTATCCAAAGCGACTCACAATTGCTATACATGTCAGAGGCTGCACAGTATGCATAATATGTGTATGCACACACACATACTCACCAGCACACAGGTTGCCAGACATTGTCAAACAACACAATCTAACTCGAGTGTAAAGGATTCTGCATTTCCTGTCTTAAGCTTATCATTGTGAAAAGCTTGTAAATGTGTGTGTCATGAGTCTAGCCTATGTGTGTGTGAACTTGTGAAAGTGTATTGAATGTGAGCCAGAGGCCTGCAAGGGGAAAATGAGTGAGCTCATCCCTCTAAAGGCCAGTGTTTTAAGTCTCTCCACTCCTCTGTACTGCAATTTTATCTCTGGAAAACAACCAAGAATGTTCTCTCTTGTCTCACACACTCTCCCTCTGTCTCATTCCCTCCAACCCCAATAGCACCCTCTCAGTTTGTCATTTCCCCCCTCATTTTAGCCACACATTGGCTACATTGAATCATTGTATTGAATCAATCAACTACATTAGCAGCACACCCCACTCAATCCATATGGTGGATGTATTTATACCTCCGGGACCTGCAAGACTCTCCCTCTGAGTCAAAGTTTTTGCTGATAAGCAGCCCAGTCCAATTATATTGGAATGCCACATTGTAAAGCACATTCAATAACTACCATACCCTCTCTTGTTACAAACCACACTGTGAACACCCTTCTGACCTCTTTTTCCTAATGAAAGCATTCCAAGCCAAGTGTTTGCTGCTACGAAAACAGAATTAATACTCCGACAGTTAGTTTCAGTGTACCCTGGCCACACAACAAGGCACTGGTAGATAATACCATCATTGATTCCTAAACCTTCTGAAAGGTTGTTAAATATCAGTAACAATGCAAGAAAGGTCACACATTACTTATTTTAGCTGGGATATTGCAGTGGGTCAGCTAGAGTTGAGTTGATACTTTACACGTACATTGTTGTAATGAATGCCTGAGTGATCGATCTTTGTCTAGTCATTGGCCTAAGTTATATTTGAGTTTCCCTACATTCTGAATATTGGCACATTTATAATAATTACATTTTCCCAGGTTGTCCCTGTCTGACACCTTTTACTTGGACACCCTCCAAGTTAAGTGTAAGTCGGTATACATCAAAAAGTAGTGTTTCACTTCTCTCAAGACTTAAAATGTCCTGAATTTTTATCTTTGGCAAGGTGGAGACTTGGGGGAACACTCACAGCAGTGTGTTGCATGACTGCCAGTGTAGTATCATTACCTGCTTTGGCAAGACTCAAACACAACCCATCAAAGAGAAAGTGAACCCAGCCAAGACCATCCAATCTCTTTAAGGCTACATGCAGCTACTAGCAGGATCCTGGAGTGGAACTCATACTATGTGCTAATTAGCTTGTCAACAAGCAAGCACTTTCCTTTGATCACAGCTTGAGAGGAAATGGGGTTCAAGTTCCACAGTGTGTCCTCTGCCAAAGTGCCAAAGAGCCTGAGTACGCAACAGTGCACTAAAATATCAACCATCCTCTGAGTTATGTAGAAACAACTTGTTTCTCCCATGAGCGTGAGGAAAAAGTGTGATGCTTTTACAAGTAATCACAGCATTTAACTTGAATCACAGGTTTAAAAGTGGTAACAACTGTTTTAATGTTGTTTAACAATGTGATTTACCTATATTCAAACGCAGATCATTCACTATGTAATCTGTCATTTAGCTGTAAATCTGAGTGTCACATGATTGTAGCTTTGAAGTTTTTGAATTCAGTACACACTGTAGGACATCTCATCCTCAGTTTTTAAAGCCAACCTTTACATTGTCAGGCTTTATACTCAACTTTCATCAGTTTAAGCTGTGCTATATGGAACATTTTATCATCTTTCAGCTCATTGTTTTGGTTTTATGGACCGCAGCTGTTTGCCCCGCACCAACTGACAGATGGACAAAGGTAGCGACTAGCTGGGCCAAAATAGAGCTAAAACAAGAGTGAATATTAGAGTTGGTCAGAGCAGAATTCCAAATGAAGGCTTTGTGTCCTCCAGTATGACTGTAACTGCTAACACATTTGCTGTATCAACTTTATAAGGTGATAATTTGTCACTGTTGTGTTTGCAACTTGCCATGTTGCCACCAAGGGGCCAAACAAATGTATATCTGGGTTTACACGTATATTGTAAAGTGTTAGGATGCTGTTGTCTGTGATGGGAATTACAGCTCATAGATGGCAGCCGGATCGTGCTTGGCGAAATCGGCTCTCAGGTGGGTGCTGGTGTTCAATTATGCCACCTGTCGAGATGTGCTACTTTGCAGTTCTTTGCATGCCGTTGTGGTTAGAGTTAGGGTTACACGCTATCGATTTGCATTAAGGTGGCATTTTTCAACAAGGTAACATAAATCATCAGAACACCAGCTTCCATTGTTCACTTAAAAGAGCTGGCTCATAGAGCAACCTAGTGACCGACACATCACTAGTTGGCAGCTGTAATCACTTCTCCTCCATTAAAAGTTTGTTTACATTGTGGAGCGGAATAGAGACTATTGGTTGGCACTCCTGCACACAAGCATACATGTTGTGTCGCTCGGCTGATGTACGAGAGAGCATGAGTTTGACAAGTAGAGTTTGAGATGTTCTAAAATGGCCGCTAGAGAGTTGACATAGTCTTACTATAAGACCAGCATGTCATTTAATGTCGTTATCTCATGAAAGAAGTCCTATAGTCAGCCAGTCACCTCAGAACGTCTGGGTGTTGCCCAGAGGGCAAGTTAGTTTTCCTCAAACGCCCCCCCGCCCCCCTGTCTGCTCTCTTGTGTTCACTCTTCCTCCTCTCTTCACCTTCTCTTCTATTCTATTGCTTAACTTTACCATTGGGCTGCCCACTTGCCTCCAGCAAGGATTACTCCTGACAAAGCCTTTATCTTAATTCTGTCTGATGGAAACGGAGTGGTGATGACCCCCCCCCACACACACACGCACACACACACACAAACACACACAAAAAAAGTAAGATTAAGTGACAACAAAAGGTAGATCTTACCATCTCTTGACTTCAAAAAACCTGTGATGGCTGTGTGTGAATATGTACTGTATGAGTCTTTTTTTGAAGGCAGCAGTGTCTTTGTGAGACTGCAGAAAGTATGCTTTGTGCTGAGTTAGCAGATAAGACTTCAGGATGGACCAGTAAAGTTATAAATACAGTATGTTTGATTGTGTGTGTGTCTGTGTGTGCGTGTGTGTAAGATAGACTGAGCGAGAGTATCAGAGGGCTCAGAAGACTCTAAACTTGTGTTTGATACTTCCTGTTCTCTACACTGTTATCTGTTACTTTGTTCGGAAGTCACATTCAATTCATGTAATTTCTTTGATTTTTCATCTGAAGTTTCTCTCAGCTTCCCATAACACCACAGTTTACTCTCTTTTCACACCTTGAATTTTTACTCGTAGACAGCAATAACAGACTGTGCAGGCAGGCAGGCTGAAATGTCCTGCGCTTTGAAACTGTCTGTCTTTTTGAAGCCAAGATGAACAGAAGCTGCAGGGTGTCAAGTGATGAACTTGATAATACAGTAGGTGATGAAGCGCTAAATGTGATTTAATTCTTTCTTGAGTCGGCTTCCGTGAAATTAAATTCCTAGCTCTTAATTAAAGTCAGTTGGATGTTTTATTTTATTAATTATATAATGCTCTTTCCCCTCGTTTTGATGTGACTTCCAGCTTGGATAAAGTTAAATTGTGGTTGGAAATAGACACAACAGTGTGTTGTTGTTGCATGCTTCAAGGCAACTCTCCATGCAGTGCACTCACTGTTTCATCAAAAAGACATTCTCAACAACTTTATTACACCGATTCCATAAAGCTAGGAGAGACAAAAACATTACTTTTGTTTGAAGAGCCTTTTCCTCAGGCTTTTGTCTTCTTCTCTAACAGCACCAATCAATAGAGACCTTCAAACAAAAGTTAGTGCCTCTTTAATTTTATTCTCCTGCATACACAATTACCGTTAACTAAGCCCCATCCCTCTTAGTTACTGTTGCTATCCCTGTCAAGTTTTCCATTCTTGTACATTACAGATTTACCACTTTTTTGCAGTAATTTTTTAAACAACGGGTTTTCTGTGTTACACAGACGTAAACTAATGTATGCTTCTCATTTCTAGCTGACAATCATGAATTTTGTCAGCTGAAATGAACTTTCACTACCTACTGTAATTTAAAGAGGTCATATTATGCTTTCTGCCTTTTTCCCTTTCCTTCATTGTGTTATCTCTTTTTTGTGAAAAGGCCTAGGTCCACCCTAAAGGGCGTTCCTTTTAGACCCCCTTTTTCTTCCGTTACCATGTTGCGTCATGTCGTAACACGTGTTGTAATGCTTGGCACGCCCTCAAAAACACCGGTGGAAGCAGCAGCACACACAGTGACAAGACATCCCAATAACTTACCAGTCTGAAACGTTTGCTCCAGTCTGTGTTCCTAAGCTGCTCCAGGAACACGCACAGCTGAACCAAAGCCGTATTTAGCGGCTTCTCAGGACCCGCCCAACTCTGCTGCTGATTGGCTAGTAGTCCTTAATTAGGTACTGAACATGTGCAACTCCCAACAAAGATCTTGTAGAAGTGAGATGCATCACTTCGTAGCTTAAAACAGAGCATTCAACACACAGGGTGAAAAGTGGAGCTGCAGCAATGTGCAGTACAATTTTTTTTTTTGTGTGTGTATTTTGAAACCATGGAAACCTATTCTTGTACAACCTGTAAATAAAATTATGAACCTAAAAAATTAGCATAATTTGACCACACTAAGGCTAACACGGTAAAAACTTTATATCCAGCTGACTTTCTAATATTTCCAGATGATTTGCTTTAAAACAAAAAGGGTGTTGAATATGCGCATGAAAGCTACATACATGATGTAATAAAGGCTAAAGCTGCATGTCCCATGCAAAAAAAATTGCATCGCCATCAGTTGTTAATCCATGGAAAAGACATGGAAAAGAAAGAAGCATTTGTGTAGCATTTGTTTGTGTACTGCAGGATAGAGCCTGTATTATTATTATTATTATTATTATTATTATTATTGTTATGAAGTATTATAGTACATTGTTACAGATAAAAAAAGTAATTGAAATGTTTAACCACAGAAAAACCATAGACTGTATAAACGAAGTGGACGTAGCCACACATAGGTTTGTGGGCTACAGTTTTGAAGCATTGGGTCTGGCATTTTGGCCATTGCCAACTTGTTTTATTGGAGCCAAAAGTGACCATAAGGTAGCAACACCCTAAAGCATTCTTTGCTTTATCATCTATTTCACTCTAAATGGGACTATCCTTACAAAATGAACATCATTCTATATCAAAGAACATTTGAAACTACCCATTGAGATCATAAACCTATCTGGAAAATGCTTTCTGAGTTAATAAATCAAGTGAGGCATAACCAATGAGTTTAGCATACGTATTTGTATTTAATGCAAGTTTAGGTTACTAGGTTACTAATGCAGGTAGCTAGTTAGCCAGGCATGCTAACGTTTGCGGCTTACCTTAAACGATATAAACATGCAGTTCAACCTAGTCCTTATACTTTGTGTGTTTTTGGTTTTGGAATGGTGATAAAAAAAAACACCTTTCTTCTCTTTAGATACAGAGAGAATAACTCTTTTCTGGTCCACGTGGACAGCACTTGACAGTGTGCATGGGGCAGTATTGAATAAGGTTAGATTAAAATATCTGACCTTCAGGTTTGGCATAAAGCAAACATTAATGATTTAGAATATTACTGACAGCAGCACAGCTCAGAGAAAATTATAAGGTTTTATTTTTGGTTAATTCAGGGCACCACCTGCTTCCATATTCTCTGCAGTCATAGTGTGTATCAAAAAAATACACTTTTGAAAAACTGTGCCCCGTAGAATGTCTTGCTTGGGGCCTTGGTCCTTGGCCCCAAGGAGATCAATTAACCGTGGATCACAGTGATTCACAGGGCATATGTCCACCTGTACTTGCCCGGTTTTTCTACACATCTCACATCTCCCCCCTGTAGTCAGGCAGACCGCTCTGACAGGCAACACTTTTCTTTGTAACCTCCCCTGACAGGGTGAGAACATATCCATCAAACGGAGGCTACCGCGACAGACAAGCTTGGTGCTAGACAACCTGTCAGACTGGGCTGTGTTCCTCCCTGCACAGCTTTGCCCTCATTTCATCTTGCTCTCTGTGTTTTACACTCTTTTTTTGACTCTCTTTCACCCCCACCAACTCCCTCTCTCTTTCTTCCAGATCAATATTTCTGTTACCCTCAAATGTATGTATCTTTGAAGTTGCTTGTTCTCTCTTGCACAAACTCTGTCCATTTCACCCAGCAATCGTGAAAAGTTACTTTTGGGATATCTTCTCCAAAGACTGATGTACTCTTCTTGACATCTGATGAATGCTTGAATTACAGTTTTTGTTGTTTTTACTTTTTGACTGTATTTTCTTGCATAATGCTCATGTCTTCTCTTTGTCTCCACAGATGTACAGTGCCCAACGTTACAAGTGGATGAGTGGAAGTTTCCTCAGACGGCCAAGCACAATATCACTGGTGAAAAGATAAACTCAAATACGCAGACAGACAGCTATTCTTTTCTGACTTTTATTCACGTGGGTGCTGATGAATGCCATTTTGTTGTCAGGTTTTAATCTGGTGAGGCGATTCTCCTTGCTCAAGAGTGCAGATGTCAAGAAGATCCGCAACCCTCGAGGACCCGTCATCCTCCGCCTGGGCAAGACTGCACTCCTACGCCCCACCGAGTAAGTTTACAATACTTCTCTTCCCTCACTTGCTCTCTTTCCAGCACCTACATACAAACACATCTCACACAAACACATCGTGTACAACTTTAGGTGGTAGAGAATGTATTACAGGAAGGGAAATAAAGTGTGTTTTCTGCTGGATTTTAAGCTTTCTTCAGGGCTATATCGACAGACACTCGCTTTACATGCTGAAGAAAAGGAAAGGGAGAGGGACTGAACACCCCACGGGAAATCAACCTCTGAACCCTCACTCGTCATGTCAGCATTGTCCAATGGCTATTGTGTAAAAAGCAGACACCTGGCAAACCATACACCATGGGTCACTCTCTGATAGCATTTCCAGAAATACAACTTCATTTCCCTCACCACTGACACTGGCTTGTAAAACTGAACTGTAACAGCCTTTTGGTTTTCCGGCTGTGACCACCACATATTCTTGCTGTAACTAGTTTCCATATAAAATGTGAGCACAACCTATTGGAGTGATGCCTTAATTAGTAGGCATGATGCATTTGCCGGTAAAAAAAAAGTTACAAGGGTATGAATTTAATAGTCACATTTGAGAGCCTCAGCTTGTTCTGAACTCGTTTCTGGGCGAAGAGACCTGCAGCCATAAAATCCAACAGAGCACGACTTCCTTTCACAACATGGTTTTGCAGCTTGACATGGTTTAATTATGCTTTCCTGGCTTTTCATGTTGTTATTACACAGTAGTTGGGTGCAGATTATGTTTGGAATTGCGTGACAAGTGCTTATTAGGGTTATGCGTTGGCTGTTTTTCCATCCTCTTTTTTTCTTTGCAACTGTAGATGGTTTTTAGTCGGCTGTGCTACGTTGTACCAACCAATAATGCAGTTTTTCAGAACTTGCCAATTGGGTCAACCTAGAGTATTGTATCACTCTGTCCAGAACTGTGAGCTCCACTTGCTTGAAGGCCCGATAAATCTCTTTTTTGTTAGAGATATTTTGTTCTAAAAGTGTCACATATATTGTTTGTCACTGGCTTAGAGAGTAGTTGTCCTTATGAAAAGGGGGGAAAAACTAAAAAAACTGTCACTTCAGGAAATCAGCATCTTTGGAACCAAAAAGGAAAATCCAAGCTGTTTTTGTTTTGCCTCTAACCATACAGAGAGAAGATGGGAACACCATTCTCTCTTCATTGTCATCTCTTCTCTGCTGCTGGTTTGGGATTTTGTTATGTTGCAGCGTTTATTGAAATTGTGATGCCATTGAGAGCTTTGCTGTCAGTTTTATCAGTGAAGAGTGCTACCTGGGTGACTTCTTTTTAACTCAGACAAAGAACAATCAATGTTTGCACATCAGCCATGCCTGTCGGCTGCCTTTCATTCTGCTACCTTCTATACATAGAACTCACTGTCTTCCATACACGTTTCTCAAAATGATTAAACAACATCAGAGCAGATGCTTGCGTTTTTTTCCATTTGCCTTTTCTTTTGCTTTCTTGGCTCACCAAAAAGGAGATGACTGAACCAGAGAGGACTGTCTAGCGGCATCAGTTAGTCATAATACTCCCTTTAATTAATTATTTCCTTTAATGGTTTTTGTTTTCTGAAATTGCATTGTATGAAATTGTTTAAGGCATTTAGAAAAGAAGGGTGAAGGCGGAGAACAGATGGGCAATTAAGGGATATAGTGGCTGATTAATCGGTCAATACCTGCACTCACAAGGCTGCTAAACAAAAAACGTCTGCGGACACATCTGCAGGCAGCCTTTTCAGTGTGGCTGCTGTGGAATGATATTAGCGCTCCCCCTTGTGAGTTTTGGGAATGTGGTGAAAAAGTTAGTTTTAAGCCCTAAATTTCCTCAGTCACCATCATCTTTTCTAAATGTTTTTAATCTAAAACCATTACTGGCTAGTGTTAAATATTATTATACTTCTGACTAAATCTAACCCATTCTCCCTTAAAATCTAAACTACACGCCATTGGGCAAAAATTTCTATACAAGATGTCTGTCTGATAGTGCTGTAGCTAAATTTAAGGATGCGATTCCATCAGCTCTAAATTCATTATCAAGTCACAAAGTAACGGAGGACTCCTATGCTAATTTCAGTCCCTCCCAAATCGATCATCTTGTTGATAGTGATGCAGGCTTGCTGCGAATGACACTCGACTCTGTAGCCCCTCTAAAAAAGAAAATAATCAAACAAAGACGGTTAGCTCCATGGTGTAATACTTAAAATTAAAGCAAATATCGTGGAAACTTGAGAGGAATTGGCGTTCCACCAAACTGGAAAATTCTCGTTTAATTTGGAAAGATAGTCTTAAAACTTATATCCATAATGCCAGAGCAGCGTACTGCTTGTCATTAAAGAGGAAAATAGGAACAACCCCAGGTTTCTTTTCAGCACTGTAGCCAGGTAAACAGAGAGTCACAGCTCTATTGAGCCAAGTATTCCCATAGCTCTCAACAGTTACGACTTCATGAGCTTCTTTAATGATAAAATTCTAACTATTAGAAACAAAATTCACCAAGACCTGCCCTCAACTGGCACCGACTTATCACTAAACTCAGGAACCTTAGAAACAGCTGTAAAACCAGATATTTGTTTAGACCTTGATCCGGATGTTTTAGCCAACTATAGACCTATATCTAACCTTCCATTTCTCTAGGTCCTGGAGAAAGCAGTTGCTAAACAGCTGTGTGACTTTCTACAGAGCAATAGTTTATTTGAGGATTTTCAGTCAGGATTTAGTGCTCATCATAGCACAGAGACAGCACTGGTGAAAATTACTAACAACCTCCTTATTGCATAAGACAAAGGACTTGTCTCTGTACTGGTTTTATTAGATCTTAGTGCTGCATTTGATACCATTGACCATCAGATCCTATTGCAGAGACTGGAACATTTCATTGGCATTAAAGGAACCACTCTAAGCTGGTTTAAGTCCTATTTATCAGACCGATTTCAGTTTGTACATGTTAACGATGAGTCCTCCATGCACACCAAAGTTAGTCATGGAGTTCCTCAAGGATCTGTCCTCGGACCAATCCTCTTCACTTTATATATGCTTCCTTTAGGCAATATTATCAGGAAATATTCCATAAACTTTCATTGTTATGCAGATGATACTCAGTTATATCTATCGATCAAACCAGATGAAACTCATCAGTTAGCTGAACTTCAAATGTGCCTTCAGGATGTTAAAACCTGGATGACCTGTAATTTTCTAATGTTAAACTCAGATAAAACTGAGGTTATTGTTCTGGGACCCAAGCACCTCCGTGATGCATTATCTAAAGATATAGTTTCCCTTGATGGCATCGCCCTGGCCTCCAGCACCACTGTGAGGAATCTTGGAGTTATCTTTGATCAGGACATGTCGTTTAAGTCTCACATTAAGCAAATTTCAAGGACCGCCTTTTTTCACCTACACCTTTTTTCACCTAAAAATGATGCAGAAAAACTAGTCCATGCATTTGTTACTTCTAGGCTGGATTACTGCAATTCCTTATTATCAGGCTGCTCGAAAAAGTCCATTAAGATTCTTCAGCTGATTCAGAATGCTGCAGCACGTGTTCTGACAGGAACCAGGAAAAGAGATCATATTTCTCCTGTTTTAGCTTCTCTGCATTGGCTTCCAGTAAAGTCCATAATAGAATTTAAAATAATTTTTCTTTCCTACAAAGCTCTTAATGGTCAGGCACCATCTTATCTTAAAGTAGATAAATGCACCCAGAATGCAGGGTTACTTGTGGTTCCTAGAGTCTCCAAAAGTAGAATGGGAGCCAGAGCGTTCAGCTATCAAGCACCTCTCCTGTGGAACCAGGTTCCAGTTTGGGTTCAGGAGGCAGACACCATCTCCACATTTAAGAGTAGGCTTAAGACTTTCCTCTTTGATAAAGCTTATAGTTAGGGCTGGCTCAGGTGAGTCCTGAACCATCCCTTAGTTATGCTGCTATAGGCCTAGACTATCGGGGGATTTCCCATGATGCAGAGTTCCTCTCTCCTCTACTTTCTCTCCCTCTCTATGCAACCTCATCCCATTATTGCATGTTACTAACTCAACTTCATCCCTTTCCGGTAGTCTTGTGCTTTCTCGTCCCCCTCCTCTCTTCTCCTATCACTTCCTGCAGGTGTTTCTGGCTCTGGAGCTGTGGAGTCTGGATCTGTGGTTGCGAGTCGCTTGCTGCCCCCGTGTTCCTGCTCGACACCCTCTGCTACAACAACTATTATTACTAGTCCTATTGTTATTATTGTTATTATAATCACTAACATTACGATTATTATCATTAACACTACTTTAAATATCTGTACCATTTTTCATTTAGTCTGCTCTCTAACTATTGGCATTGGCATCAGCCATTGAATCCAGGCAATACGAAGAAACCTTAAGGCTTGTTCAAAATAAAAAGTAATTTAAAACAAATTCCCTGCATTTCTACACCACCTAACCCGACTTATGTTAACAATAGAGGATGATTTTCAAAACATAAAATAATCATAATTTTGTATAGGCCCTACTCAGTCTTACAGTTACATGAATAATAATGACACATTTTGATATTGTGTGTTCCTCGCTTTGTTGAAAGTAACTCCATAGCAATGGTAAACTCAAACTCACTACTATAGATAATAAAATCAAAGGGGCTAATGCAAATAATGAATAGCCACATAACACTTACAAGAGCGGACTCTTTTGCGAACGCCCCATCTCCATAACCGAATCCCATTTCTATCGTAAATCGGTTCAACATTTCTGTGACATTACAATCCTACTTTTAGCTAATTTACAGTTTGGCTGGAGACGGCGGGCCAAGCATGTTCATTCAGTATCTGCTAGTCTATCTTTCTGTATTTTCAGTCCATGATCGCAGTAAGGCTGAATGGCAAGTTTCCCTGAGTGTGGATTGACAGACAAGGCATGCTGTGGCAAGTAATTACTGAACTCAAAGAGTTATCATTCATATAATCACCTGATTGTGGAGACTGTATGATAAGTTTATTTTTAAAAGCACAAAAACTGGGTCAGCAAAACCATAACTTTGCCTCCCCAACTGAATAATGAATGCATTTGCTCCATCGCTCAGGTGTGTGTGTTTACACTATGTGTGAAGTTGCAGCAGCTTACATTACATTTCCACCCTTTTCCAGTCCCAGAGTATATACTGTATTTCTGACACTGGCTTCCATCAACCCCTGTCACTCAAACAGCTTTTTAATTCATTGCTGGTGAGGTTGACTGAAGTGTGAGACGTGTGTAAAGTAATTGGAAAGCAGCGTTTTGCTTTGTATCAGAGGCTAATCCATTCAACTAATCCAAGCTAACACAGATGACTGACAGGCTGATGAAGCTACTTGTCTCTCGCTTCTCTCAGTTGTTTGCTGACAGTGAAATGGGCATCAGTGACAGCTGGTCACATGCATTTTAATTTCAGAAAAATATGATTTGATTGCTTTGGGCCTGTTTCTTTTTTGCAGCTACAGCATGTAGGAGAGAGAAGAAGCAGTTCTGTGATATTATGGCATGGGGCCAAGATCACAAGTATTTGATAGAAATGAAATGCATTTATTGAAATCAGTAATCATTTTCACATAGCAGTGGTGTCACAATTTACAGTCTATTTACACATTAAGCATTGCATGCAGGAATTACTTAAAAGGCACAACTGTAGAAATAATTTATATTAAAAGATTAACTTAATTATAAGCAGCCAAAGATAAGGAGTGCAAAAGTGAGGGCATTGGTGCTCTTGAAATATTTCTGTGAATGTAGACGGATCATAAAAGAGCACACATTTAGAAGGGGGATGAAAGGGGATATGTGTCAACAAGGAGAGGGTGATACATGTTTTAAGATATTTCAGCTCACATCTACAGAAGCGGGATGATTGGTTGTCTGACTAACGTTGAACTTGTGTTACGGCAAGTCTGTCCAGACTCTATGCATTAAACATACAAAATGACTGTTTTTGGGCTGTACATTAATAACAGTGTACATGCTCTTTTCTGAATCAAGCTAGGGAGCTGCTATGACCATAGTGTTGAGAAGCTCAACTGCATTTGTGTCAATGGGTGAACAAGAACACAATTACATTAGCCATGCTATCCTATCATCGTGGCTCTGGGGATGGCAATGACAGTCATTCAGTCGTTTGGTCTGTTCATCTATCGGATGGATTGCCAACTTTGGAGAGTCCGCTTTGGATTCTTTCAAATGACTTTGGTAATCCCCTTTTCATCAAGCGATTGACATCTGTGGCTTTGAGTGAAATGTCTCGAAAAATATCGGACGGATTCCCATGACATTTGGTGCAGATGTTTTCCTCAGGCTGTAACCGTAAAACTCTGTTTTATGACTAAATACCTGCAAAATTAATGACATTCCTATCAACCTCAGCTACTTAGCAAATGCTAGCATACTAACCTACTAATTTAAGATGGGGAATGTGGTAAACAGTCTACTTGCGAAACATCTGCATGTTAGCATTGTCATTGTGTCCATGTTAGCATGCTGAGCTCAGACTAGCCTAGACTAGCAATTTTTTAAAATAGTTGGTGTGTCCTGCTGTCTGCACAATTCATCTTTCTACTAAAAGTTGTTTAAAAGTATTGCTTAAAATAGAAAAAAATAAAAGATAGCCATATGGGAAAAAATGCAATGTATAACAACATTTGGCTACTCAACAGTAGAGTGAAACTAAATTCTTTCTTTTATATGTCAGCTTCAAGCTGCTTAAAATTCCTTTCAGTTAGGCGTGTATAATATATTCAGGGATAGAAACTCTCTCCACTGAAGCACTTGATTCCCACTCAGTTAGAGCCCGGTATAAAGGTGCCTGTACAGCTCTCCAGGTGATACTCCCATCTTAAACCAAAGATCTGCTTTTTCAACGCTAGATTTCTTCTCGCCCTCTTCCCTTGTGCCTCTCTGGCTTGCGCTAGACTTTCTTCTACCTCTCTTTTTTCCCCTTATTTTTTAAACAAGAGAAGCAGAAGTAACTTTCTCTCAGAGTTGGGAGAGGCTAGAATCTGAATCTGTATGGCCCATACTGAATGTTTGTGTGTACGTGAGTGTGTGGGGTTTGTGTGTGTTTTTTTCACCCCCAGGACCCTGTACGTAATAGACCAAGGTGAGACACTTCCAACTTAAAAGTCAATAGTTTGTGAGTGGTTTTGTGCCCTGCAGCTCATGTCACTAATCGACAGCAAAAGAACTCTTTTCTCAGCATTTGTTTCTCTCTCTTGTCCTTTCCATCTTCATATTGTCTACCTACATATTTTTTTGTGAATTAGTTAATTCCAAACTCTCATGCATTCCCATGTTACACCTAGATTTTCTTGCTCCCTCACTGTAGTTTCCCCTCTGTCTCGATCTCTCCAGCTTGCTCTCTCCTCAGATCTCAAGGTTCAACCTTTTCTCTTTCTTGCCTTTTCTCCTACTCATCCTCTCTTTGTTTTGACGTCCTATAGTTGACTGTTTTGCCTTGGATCTTCCCTCAGTCATAAATCACTGTCACCCCACTTCTAGGAGCGGAAAACCAGCTGCCAGCGAAGAGGGAGAGAGTGAGAGAGAAAGAAATAGAGCAAGAGGGTTCACCATCTCAGTGAGCATGCATTTCACTGGGCTTGTTTGTGAACCCTTCATCTCTCAATACATCCACACAAATCTATGCAGTGAATATGTGTGTGTGTATGTGTATATTTGTGCGCTTAGATGCCCTTGACCAAAACTGAGGGATGATGTTCGCCAGACTATATCTGCTATGAAAATGAATGCCTGGGGGTTACACACAGCGGGCCTTGCATTGTACTGCTGGCTGCAGTCACACATTATGGGGAGACAAGTAAAAAGGAAAAAATAGGGAAAGGAAAACAAAACATGCGGAGAATATAAAGATGCTCACACAGAAAACACACAAAGACACATAGGATTACGCTGTCACTGTACTCATCAAGACATCAAAGAAAGATGTGTTAACCCAAGAGTTGTCTTAATTTGTCAAAAGCTTTATTAAATTAGCTGAGTTAGCTCTCTGGCTACCAACTGCATGTATGTTAAGACGATGGAGTGAAATTTGTTTTCACTGCTTGCACATGTGTTTCATTAGAAAATAAAAAGACAAAGATACACGTAATATACCCCTGGACACTGACACATACTGTATGTCCCCACCTGTATCCCCTCACGTGTTAGCTTGGCACAGGGGGCTGGAGGTGTGGAAAAGTGTTTAGCCTTCACCTAAAGAGAAGATATGTGCCTACCGGTAACTCTGGCAGTTAGTTCTCTGATTTACATGTCATGTCTCCTTAGCTTCTAGCTAACCACAGGCAGCTTTGCCTAAACCAATCCCCAGACTGTAGGCTGGAAACAGCTGGGTTTTTTTGTTGTAGGATGAGTGAACACCACATCTTCATTGTGAGGATGGGCGTATGAGTGAGTCTAGAGAGCTGTGTGCAGTCACTGGGGCTAAGCTAGCTGCTGAGGGGCATTAAATACTTCCACTGGCTGCTTGTTAAACCACAATGTCTTGTTTTACTTAGTGACGTGTGGGTGTAGGAGACTCTGGATCTGTTCAAATGCACCTTTGACATTGCTTTGCTGAGTAATGAAATTAAAATAATGAAACTAGTTACTTTATTTGTAAAATAATGTGATTATGTTCTCAATAATGTAATATGTAATATGTTATGAGTAATTGAATACATTTTTCAATGAACACGGCCACCATTATTGATCTACAACGCTCAACAAGGTATTTTATTTAGAACTGCTATGATAGAAGCAAGCAGGCTACTTTCATATGTCTTGTATCTGTAACCAGAAGAAAGGAATATGTGTGTCCCTGACCCTTTTGAACTTCTGTGATCCAGTCAGGTGTTTCCTCATGGCCTGCCTGAGGAGTTCACCCTGATCTTCACCCTGGCATTGAAGAAGGCTGCCCTGAGAGACACCATCTACCTCTTCCAGATATCTGATCAGCAGGGCTACCCGCAGGTGCAGCTCACTCTCTGTTTCCCCATTGCCCGCCTCACGCCTTGCTGCCTCTCTTTCCTGCTGTCACTATCCTTCCCTGCCTCATTCTCTCCTTCCCCTTTCTCTCTCTTCCTCTATCTCTTACCTTTTATTCATCACACCTTCTGTCTTGTCATTCTTCTTGTCTCTCATCCCTCTTTTGCGTAGTCATCCACTTTCCCACTTTCCCCTTCGATTGATTCTCTGTCTTGACATATTTTCAATTCTTTCCCCTTTTTATTCCACGCGTCTTTTGTCCTCTCTTATTCTTCTTCCGCTGCCTGTCTCTCTCGCTCCCTGTCTCTCAGTCATCTTCTGCTCTCCTCTTTCATTTACCTTCTTTGTAATTCATGTGCGTTCAATGATGAAGCACTGGAGTCCCTCAGAGTCCCCATAATCACTAGGAGTCTGAGACCAGATTTAAATACTCAATGTATATGATGGATGGAGGCCAAGTCGCCTCATTAGGAGTGATTGATTGGCTATAGTGCATGCGTGTGTAATTAATAAGTCTTCCCCTTTACCTCTTCTCTGCTACTGTGTTGTACAGCTCTGTTAGGTAGTAGTAGCGTGTACACATTACTCTTTGTTGAATCCATTGCTAGGGCTGTCGCGGTGAAGTAACTTCCCCTGCGGTGATTTATTGTGGCTCAACAGTGTGGTATTACTGCCATTTTTGTTTTGTTTTTGCAAATTACTTAATTTAGGATTAATTAAGTGATTTGGTGCAAGAATACATATTAAATGTGGATCTCACCTCATTACCCAACGAGCCAATAACTACAGCTTTATGACCATGTCTTTTTCAAACTTAGCTACTGTATATCGTTACCTTTGGACCATATTTATCAAGTAAATTTACACACAGCAGCAATGCACACACATTCATACACACACTTGTGTGGAGCAGAATGGGCTTCCTTCACAAGTAACAACTATGCTAAGGGTCCACACAAAGCAACAACAAACAACAACAAAATAAACAGTAAAACAACATAAAACATAGCAAAATGTACAGGTTCCAAGTTTGAAATTGGGTGACAGCCCATGGCTGTACATCCTTGTGCTTGAAGCCTTTATAATGCTTGTCAAATTTGAAGCACTGATATATTTCTTTAAAATGCATTGAAGTGTAATAAGTGTAATAAGGTATGAACATAGCAGTTGTTGCGGTTGCTTGCCATCCTCTGTGGTTGGCTGCAATAGCGCAGTATTTCAATATTACGGTTATCGTGACAGCCCTAGCCATTGCCAGTCAGACAGCTTGAGATGCAGGACATTTTTTCTGCATTGGAATATTGAACATACCATAAAACTTCAATTAATAGCTGAGTCCCAAATAGCCACCTACCCCGTTTACTGGCTTGGTGTGGGAATACATTTTGACAAATAAACAGAGGTCTTAATTAAATGCCCGGTCTGGTTTTTATATTGTTCTTTGGATAAAATCTCTTAAACCCCGCTGGGTCGCTTGCTTTAGCTGCTTCTAAGCTGCTTAAATCGTTAATATAAATAATGTTTACGTATTATCAATATGAACATGCTACACGTTAGATCGGTTAGATTCTCCACAATTCAATCAAGCCCCGAAGTCTAATTCTTATAGATTTACCAGTGTAACCGGCATGGTACAAGAGATAAAAAGGAAAAAAAAAGTGCAGACTCTCATTACCTTTGAAGCGCTCATTAAGTCCGAATGTGTCCATTCCTTGATTAGTACTCCTTTAGTCTGTAAGGGTCCACCAATCAAAAGAATCGAAACAGCTTTTCATAAAAATGAATCCAAGTTGTGAATCCTGTCATGTGAAGTCCATTGCTCTCTGTCTGCTAACTTCTGCCACTCTTTTCTCATCCTGTACCGTGTTGTTGTTTTCGTTGCGTTGCTGTCTACAAAATAAAAGTGCATAAGCTGTTTGTCAGAGCTAGATCAAATTAATGAAGTATCCCAAATGTAAGCAGGGTCAATTCAGTTATTTTAGCAAATAAAAGTTTTACGGTATTATGTTTTTAATTAGCACTTGTGTATATTCATATATCACTCTTCTCCCAACCCTCTCTTCTTCCCCTCTTCTCCTCTCTCTCCCCTAACCCTGACTTCTCCCCCACCAACACTCTCAGCTCTCTGTAGACCTCAATGGCCCCGATGCCAGCCTGTCCCTGCGTGCCAGGGGGGTAGACCCCGCAGCAGACCTGGTGAGCTGCGTTTTCACCGGGGAGGGGGTGGAAGCCCTGTTGGACTTGCGCTGGCACAAGGTGGCCTTCAGCGTGCAACACGGAGCCGCCTCTCTCCACGTGGACTGCAACTCCATTGAGACCAAACCCCTGGAGCCCCATGGTGTTGTTCCCACTGACGGACACACTCTGCTGGGCATTCGAGCTTTGGATGCTGGACCTGTGCAGGTACCATTTTATGGAGAACTGGGAAATGAAATACTGAAATGAGAGGAGAATTTGTTGAAGCTTTTGATTAAACATGCAGCGTCTGACTGCCCTATGTTGGATGAAGAGCTTTTTATTAAGTCTTAGCTTTGCAATGTAAATGTCATCTAAACTTACTATATGAATGTGTGGTGACCTTTAGACTCTCTCTGTATGAAGAACAAACTTACTTGTCTGTTTCAGAAGTGTTTTGAACAAACCAGTGTCCATTATTGGGATCTATACCATAGAGAATGGCATGGTAGTGCTTACATAATGTAATTTAGTAAACCCTTGGCACATACCAGGCCTTTTCTAGACCCGCCTATAGAGCCATGTTTCCAGCAGGAAGGAAAGAGTGAAATAGTGGACCAATCTCCCATAAAGGCTTTTGCACTGAAATTCTTGTGTATCTGCACATCTATGTTTGTGTGTATGTTCTCTTCTCATTCAGTCCTGATTATAAAAGCGTGCAGAATACCTGGGAGAATAGGCATGCAGTGAGCCCAGACTATTAACACTGAATAGATCCACTAATCCAGGCACTTAGTTTGATGATCAGTTAACTGGCCCAGTTAGAAAGCAGGCAGGGTGTTTTGTTAGTGCAGGTATGGAGTGGTCATACATGCACACACACGCACATGTAAACCTCCTGACAAACTTTATTTACATTATTAAAACGAGATCTGCATGTTAAATATATAAATGTCTTTCTCCCCCTCTCTTTCTTAGATGGACATTCAGCAAGTGATGCTGTATTGTGACCCCTCCCTCGCCATTCAGGAGGCCTGCTGTGATATACCTGGGGCAAGGGTGAGACTGGCAACCCTCAAATGTTGATTACAATGAATCTGTGTGGAGCAGAGACTATTCACAACTGCTCTATGGTGAATGCTTAACAGTGTCATATTATAGAATGCAAATAATGGTAAACCTGGGATATAAGGAAAAGGCAGAGAGTTAGCTGAGAAGATAGATACCACTCTGTACAGTAAATATGAAGCTACATTAACTTAGCTTAACACTGCAACTGGAAACAGGTGAAACAGCTAGCCTGGCTCTGTATGAAGATAACACATTCTGCCTGCCAGCAGCACTAAACAGCACTAATTAACACGTTATATCTCATACAAAAAAAACAAAGTGTAAAAACAACAATTCAGCATTTGACAGTGGAATTTTTCAGTGGCGCTGCACCTCTTATGCCAACTCAAAGCACACCTATTTTACCCAGTTGGCCCTCTTGCCACCGCAAATGATTGGTCTCACCCAGTCTCCTCATGGGGCTAAGGTCAGGTATGAGTGTGGAGCAACATCATCATGGGAAAAAGCTTTGCTGTGACTTTAAAATCGTGTCTTTTTCAGGGTTAATTTCAGTCAATAGGAACCTCCCACTCTTCAACTGATCCACTGAAAAAAACTGTGTTTGGTGCAATTTGGAGCAACCTCTTACCTGTGCTAAAAACCTAATCTAAACCTGACCCCCCATGATTGGAACTCAACACTTTTGGCAGCTTCTTCAAAATAAAAGTCACTGCTATTTGCAGAAAGTTTTTTGTGCAACAGCTTCAACACTCTGTCCAGAGATGCTCACAAGTCACGAGTCCAAGTCAAGTCTCAAGTTTCTCGTGGTTGTAATGAATGTTCTATCACATGCTGCGTTCAAACCAGGCTGCTTATAAAACTGCTTCGCTATAAGGGATTCTGTAACTGTAACCTGTTTTTTCATTTACAGAGCACAACCATTTAGAGTGCAATGCAATTATTGACAGCTTATTAACTACTGTAAGTCAACACCAACCGCAGGCTCTCAAACCCAGTGTAACGTTAACTAAATAAAACTACAACAATAAGCCTGTAGCCTGTTTTTCACTTACAGAGCACAACCATGTAGCCTAATGGACAATGCCTCTACAACTAATCACAGCTTATAAACTACTGTAAGTTATCACACCCCCAGACTCTTAAACCAGTGTAACTTTATAGCCTAATTAAATTAAACTCGCAGCCACCCTTAATAATTAACGTGATAGCAGCCATTGGGATGTAAATTATTACGTTAATCGACCAAGACAAGTTTGGCAAGCAAACAAACGCTCATTCATATTTTCATAACACAGTGGGAGTTAACCTCCCGTAGGTCGTAGCTAAAGCAAGAAGTAAGCTAACATTAGATGGTCAATGCTGAGCTAAACTTGTTGACTAGCCTCAGGTTACTAACCTATTTTGCATTCCGCGCTTCTTTGTTTGGGTCTTGTTGTATGAAGTTTTAAAGTCAAAGTTTATGATGAATGGCACAGCAGCTGGCAGTCTTTGTTGTGTGACTAAAAGGCCATGTGTGGCTGCACGCAGTAGATCCGTAGTATGTGTTACATAGGTAGGTTGCACTCATCAGATGTTTCCTAAAAATAAACGTTGTTCACGAGTCCCGCACCTTGAGTCCTAAGTTGATTACTTAGGCTTCCACAAATATGAAAAGGCCTGTCTTATTATGTTTGTTAACAAAATATTATTCAGAGGCATTGTTTAACATAGGGTATTAAGTATACAAATTGAATAGGGCTTAGGGTAATTCCATTTTGTGCAATTATGTCACATCATCTGCGGTTCACCAGTATCGTTTGTACTCCTAAAGTGTGACTAAAAGCCCAATTGAAAGTATCGCTTTCTCTCTTGCAGCTTCAGAAATACCGTTTTCTACACTATTGCTTTTTCTTGATATTGCTCTCTTTTTCTCTTGTCTGCCTACCTCTTCCCTTGATCGCTATTTTTGTGCAGTTACTGTTCACAGGCTTCAGACAAACGCCTTATCAAATAGAAAACAGATTCATTGGACCCAAATACAACAGTATGTTTCTGTCAGACAGGCAAAAACAAAGCAAGTGATTGTTCAGTTATGGGAAGAATTGCAAACGGCCAGTTCTTGGGTTTATTTTTAAGCTGAAGATATTTTCACGCTCAGCCAAGTTTTTGTCAGAATTCTCCTGGGTGTCTGTGCTTATGTGTCTGAGTGTGCTGGGTATGTGTCTTTTTCATCACCAAATTTATGAGAGTGATACAAATAGGGAAGTTCCCACAGACACACTGTAGAGTCGTATGTAAGGAGGACTGAATGCTGTTAACATTCAACAGGGGGTAGGAAGAAGAAAACCTTCTTTGCTCAAGGCATGTGTGCTGAGGGCTCCCTCCATGCTTCATTTGAATTTTAAATTAAGAGGTGGAGGAGCATGTGTAGACACTCACCCGTATGTTCACACACCTACGAAGGCTGCAGCTCCTTGAAACACAAAGGAAAGAGATAGAACTGCTAGTTGTCAATAGCTTTGACATTGGAGTTTGACTGCTTCAGTACATATCACTTCACATTTCACAGTGTAACAGATTGTCTGGTGCTATTCAACATGCTATTAATGAAGATGTCATAATTATGAATATGATTCAGTTCTGGAAGAGTACTATTTTTAGCTATGTTAGTGGCATGGCTCAGGGGATGGCAATGTCAGTCCGTCTGTTGGTCCACTACTTTGTTCATGCTAATTAGCAAATGTTAGCATGCTGACATGGTATACCTGTTAAACACCTGCATGCTAGCATTGTCATTGTGAACATGTTAGCATGTTGATGTTAGCATTTCAAGAAGAGAAGAAGAAAAGTTAATAAAAGAAGACTTATATTAATTAATACATTATATTATACTGTATATACAACAAGTACAGTAAAACTTGTAATTCCAAATCACTAAATATTTTACTTCTGAAATGTTGTTATCTCAAATGAGCAACATGAGGCACAAAATGCAGGGGATCTTTTATGTGTTACATCCTGCCTAGAGTAAGAAAGTGTTCTTTTACCCATTAGGCTATGTGTCTATTGTATGTTTGCAGTGCCCACCAGAGGCTTCCAAAAGCCGTCGTGCTGCTGAGAATGACCTGTTGGAAAACACTTTCAACCAGGTAAGTCAAAGCCTTGACCCACCAACAAATGCACACAGAGAACTGCATTCTTATAGACAATAAACCCCCCCCCAAAACAATTCAAAACACGTGATCACACACAAATACATAAACATATACACAAAAATGCACTGAAAATGCACGTCTTGTGCTTTGGAGCATTGTAAAAATCAGTAACGAATTGAGGGGAAATGTTATAGATCATCCACAAACTGTCACTTCCATCATGACTTATCATAACACATGGTTCCCATCAGACACAGACATAACACATACAGACAACTGACAAGCACTTGGCATCAAACAGCTTTGTTCTTAAAACAGTTTGAGTTGTCTTAAATGCTCCTGCTGGCAAGTACTACATATACCAAATGGCGTAGTTGTTTTCCCTTGAAACTCTAATGTGGAAAACATGTTTTCTACTCTGCTGTAGTCTGAGTTTTATATGACTTCAGTTCAGTTAAGTCTGCTGTTAGCAATCGTTCAAAGTATCCGCTGGCAGTGTCAAATGCACGACAAATAAGAAACTTATGCAACACAAGGGAGTAGTTTTTTCTGCACATTTCCATGGTGTTCTTTATGGTCGCTTCAATGCTGCGTGATACATGAAGTTCGTCCAGTATAACGTAAAGGCAATTTATTTTTGTTTCCACACCTGCTTGTTTCATCATTCATATTAATGGGATCTATATCCAATTATCTATTCATTAGGGCCTGGTGTTTGTCTTGTGGAGTGCTGGTGTTAACTTAGAGCTCTGGCAGACTTCAGGACACAGTAATCAATCCCATAGATGGTTCAAGCCAGACACAGTTGCAATAACTCAGGCGTGCCATTGCTCTCTGTGTTTTTTCTTTCTTTCTTTCTTTCTTTCTTTCTTTCTCTCTCTCTCTCACCTGTGGTACTTTCTTTCACTCTTCTCTGCTATCAGTTGTTGCAGACTGCCTGCTTCAGTATGTGTCGTGTGATGTTTAGCCTTATATAGTCTACAATATTGTAAGTCTAGTCTAGTAATATTTCCACCATCTCCTTACTGTGTCATCAGTCATGCATAACTGCCATCAGTGCAGGGCAGACACATTTCTGTCCTCATTTCCCGTTTTATATCTATTCTGTCTCCTTTGTCTTTTGCTCTGTTTCACAACCACACACGCACATGCATATACATGCTGTAGTTTCTATTTTTATCAGTATGTTAGCGTTGCGCACAGGAAATGAACAATGAATCCAAGATACCAGTGTGCAGGCCAGATGTTACTGAGCCATAGCACTGCTTCCATTAAACTAAGCCTCTTTGAGTGCACACACGATCACATCTGTTCTGTATGTGGAAAGAGTACATTATTGATATATAGTGAGCACAGGGGTCAACTGGGGGTAACTATTAGTTAAATAATGTTTCTGTGTAGTAACCTTAAAGGGGAACTCCACCGATTTACACATGAAAGTCTGTTTACAGGCCTTGGGAGCACTACTGAAGGTGTGAAAAACGTAGTAGAATGACTTTTGGGGCTACAAGTGATGTCCCTTGAGGCAGCGTTGGTTGGGGCTGTTGTGGAGGTGTGGAATTAGAAAGAAGCAAGCTTACCAGACATCTGTAGCCCGCTCCTTATCTGTGCTTAAGGCTAGAGGCTCGAGTTGAGAGGTACGTTAGAAGATTGATACCACTCTTTTGTCTGTACGCTACATATGAAGCTACTGCCAGCAGTCAGTCAGTTTAGCTTAGACTGGAAACAGTGGGAAACAGCTGGCTCTGTCCGAAGGTAACAAAATCCACCTACCAACACCTGAAAAGCTTACTTCATTGTTCTTTTGTTTAATCCGTACAAAAACCAAAGTGTAACGACAGGGTAGGGTTTAGAGGGGGTCATGATTGGCCTATTTCTTGGCTGGACGCAGTAACCTCCTGAAGTCTTCACTGATTTCCTTGCAATTATTCAGATGAGGTATAACATGTAATTAGACAACTTAAGAGGTGCTGGTAGCATGACTTTATTACCTTTGGAAAGAGTCAGACTTGTTGTTAGCTTAGCTAACTTGTTGATTCAGTAAAATGGCTGTATCTGCGATCATTGCGAATCAATCTTTTAATCAAATGCTCAGCAATAAATCAAATGAGTGTATTTTGCCCAGCTACTTATTCTGCATATCAGATACTAAATACATGCTCTGTGACAGTTTGTTCCAACTCTAAGTTAAATATCTAAACCAACGCTCAACCAAGATATGTTTTTTTATATTTGCACCATTCCATCAAATTGAATTATTCTATCCTTCAGTCAGTGAGGATTATGGGAATTATTTACTTAGGCCTATCTGACATACAGTAACAAAGCACATCTTCTAGTGATGTTAAATAAAAAGTTTTTGCAGCTACTAGTCGAATCAGGTTTGGTGCAGAGGAGTACATCATTGCTTGTGTCTGTGTTTGGGTCACAGCAGTTACTGTCTTCCTGAGGTATGACAAATCTCACCCACACTGTTTCTTATCTTCCACCACCGTAAATCTAATTTTCCTTGCTTTCAACCCAGCTCCCAGCTGAAAGGTCATCCAGTCCTCAGACGACCCAAAGGCTTCTTTGTGTCTTGTTTCCCCCGGTCTCAGGGTGCTTCCACTAGTCTAAAACCAGCTGTAAAATATCTTCTCCCTTCTTCCCTATGCTGAAACTCTTCCTTATTTCTATCCTTCTAACTTGCTGCCTTGAACAAATTGCTTCCGTTCGGCTTTGCAGTCCGTCGTCCTGGTTTCTTGTTGTTGACTTTTTTGTCGGATTTGTAACTCTGTGCATAGCAGGGTCCATGTTTTTATTTGCCCCTGGGCTCATGAGGTACAGTACTTCTCTTGCTCTCTCTCCTCATCCTCTTTCATCTCCTTTTTCACTCAGAATAAAGAATAACTGTTAATGACCCATGTGTGAAACTGGGATGGCTATTATTTATACTTTCTTTGTCTAGTATCTGATGCAATGAATTGTAATGGCAACAATGTTTAAAGAGATGCACTGAACATGCAACAGGAAAACAACAGCTTCCCTATACCAAAGATGCCATTTGATGTTGATATTATGGAGACTTTCAAATGCAATTGCTGCCATTCTTGGGAACATCTTCAATAGCGCCAGTTACTATGAACTACAGCAGAGCTGCCAGTGACTGGGAATACAAACTAAATGTTCAAAGGTGTGAGAAGAATTTTGAAAATATGATTTATTTTCTTGATACAATTTGAGCAAGAAGTAGGGCTGAATCAAGAAGTAGGTTACAGTGCTACCAAAATAGAGATAACTAGACTAAATAATATCTCTGTGAATGGCCTTCAAAGCTATTGGATTCAGTCTGAATATTATATGAGCCAGTTTTGGTCACGAAACTGACAGCATTAGTGTCTAAACATACACAGAAACCAATTGTGGACCTATGTGGAGCCAAAAATGTTAGTAAAATTGACTCATATTCAGATATGTGAAAGACAAAAAAGCCTGACGTTATCTATCGTTCTTTCTGTCTTTATCATCTTTTCTTTCTTTCTACCAACAGGATATTTTTGCATCCAAGGATGTGGCAGAGAAAGTAAGCCTCACAATTCACATACACTCATTTAATTTAACAGTACAAAATTTCTACAGAAATTTGATGGCACAGTGGCTGATCCCATAGTTTGGCACAGTGACACCATGTGTGCTTTGGTTTCCTCCCATGGTCCAAAGGCATGCAGGTTAGGTGAATTGGAGAAATCTCCAGCATGAATGGACTGGCAACTAGTCCAATATGTACCCTTCCTCTAGCCCAATATGTCCTGAAATAGGGTCCAGCAAGCATATAGATGGATGAATAGACCTCCAACATGTATGTACTGCTGTAATTCAAATAGGAAGAGAATATGCAGGCCATATGTGTGTGTGTGTGTGTGTGTGTGTGCACCTTTATGTTGTGTGATGTGCATGGGGTAAATAGTCTATCTGTATTTCCTCGCCTCCCTCCCTCACACATACCCAGCTTGCTGAGTGACCGAGGACTGATTTACACCTCATTATGCGCTGAATCTCACTCGAGACACTCACCTACAATAGGTATGTTCTTTTCACAAATAGAATACAAAACTCCAGACGCTTCATTATGTTGCTTGTGTGTGTGTGTGTGTTTACTAATGCAGCTGGTCGCCTCCCCTGACTTCCCCGATGTAGGTTATTACCTGGTTTGGAGCATGAAGCTTGCCCTGCCACTGGGGGCACACACAAAGAAACAAAAGTGACTTTTCCTTTGCTTTGTGAATTTAATTTTGGTAAAATTACATTTTCTTCAGGGTAAAAATGGGCATAGTGCCTATAGGAATCCATTGATAATACAACCTGATATTATTAACTGTGACACAAATACCAGCAAATATGCCAAGAAGGCCTATGTATGTATTAATATGATTATTATAATGAATGGTCCAATTTTGAGTGTTCATGTCATGCAGTTTCAGCTATTCCTCTATAGCTTGTTCTCGCTATTTCTTGGAGTCCAAAGGCTCAGCTCCACCAATCAACAGAAATGTATTAACACAAAGGGCTATTCCAGCACTGAAATCCCAGCATGTACTTCCTTTCTTTGCAATTAGATTATGCTTCAGAATAAATAAGAAAGTTTCTCTTGCACATAAACCCAAATATAATCAATTTTACGTATTGTTAAGATTGTTACAACCCAGGCAGTAACTAATTTATGTTTATACTGCTGTTAGAATTTCATTGGTGTGTGCTGGCTCTTGCCCTTGTTCTGTCAATGCCTGGCAGCTAGAGAGACAATAGGTGTAGGCATGCATAATGTAGAACGAGAGCCTGTGTATTGGGATGTTAGATGTCAAAAACTGAGCCTATTTATTTGGATGTTAAATATTTTTATAAGACTCTACTATCTAGGATACGAAATTTGAAACTTTGTACTGGGAAGCCAATTGTAAAAACTGAAAAGCTGCAAAAATTAATATTTATAGATGACCAATGAATAAAATGACTTTGTGTAATGTGAAAGGGATTATAGTGCCGAACATTCAGAAAGTTATTGTTGTAGAAGTTTTCTACAGAGCATTTTAGTGACTAGACAACATAATAGAGCATTTAGCAGCTAAAGAACTAGGAGTTAGTAATGAATTTATCAGGTCAGGTGTCCTCTTTTCTCAAGTGGCCAAAAAATTATACTAATATTAAAAATTCCTTAGAATGAACCTTTGTATTGGGATGTTTCATTCTCTAGTCAATGAATTGTACTGCCAACAAGTGTGTTTATGTAGTGAAGGGATGTAATATACATAACGAGATAAATTAGGATTGCACAATAGCATGTTTACTGTGAAAAACATAGCATGGTAGTAGTATGCTACTACTAAATACTAAGCCTAACAGTCAAATTAAGTGAGGCACACCACCTCCTCTCCACCATGGAGATCTAGAAAGACTACTGAGATTCACAAGAGGCAAAGCTCTAAGCACACCATTCACACAGGTAAGAGGAGGAAAAGAAACACACAGAGGGAGAGAGAGACAAGGACAACATGCACACAAGGGAGGGAGATAGTGAGAGAGAGACCGGATGAGAGGCTAATTCTCCTGGAGGATGAAGATCCAGATTGAAAACATCTGGAATGAGGCACCGACAGGGGAGAGAGGGAGGTCGCAGGAAGGCCGAGGATCCAGCCTGAGTGAAAAGGAGAGGGCAAGGAGGAGAAAATAGGGAGAGAGAAAGACAGAGGTAGACACACAGCTTGGATGCTCCTGTGCTTATGGGACAAACATTGGGTTAATATAAATACGAACTACAGTTCATATACAGGTAGGAGGGAAAGAACTGTTCAGAGATTCTCATGTTGCTTTTTTTGTTTCCAGCCATCTGAGTTTTCCATTTCAAAGCTGAATTTAGAGAATAAACAATACAAAGGCAAAAGCCGCTGAGGTTTTAAGTAGAACTATATGACAGACAAGAGCTCGGAAAGAGTGGCTCGTCATTGCAGCTGGTCGAGCCAGCCATTGATAGATTTCTAACTCGTAATAGGGAGCAAAGAGAAGAGGGAGAATTACACATTGAATGACACATTGTCTCCGTGCTGTTACCAGTCGTCGTTTCAGCAAGCTCTGGTGTGTGAAAGCAAGACTCCCATAAACACCGGGTGGGGGATTTGGCTTTAATCACCCGCTTCTGCTAAAAATGCTTCAGTTATTTATAACGGTTCTCCCTATTTGGTGCGTGTAAGTGCGTGTGTGAGTGGCCTCCTGTGAGGAGCAGCTGGTGTGCTGACTCCTGTGCTGTGGGAATCAGACATTCCTATTGATCTCCCCCCCACCCCACCCCTGTGGAAGGTGTGTGTGCCCACTTGCCCACCACTCATCCTTTTTAACTGCATACTGTAGCAGCACAGGGGTTCAGCACAGTTTAGTTTTGTGTAACAGTGCCACCACCTGGTGACTGCAGAAACTACAACCCATTTATTTCCAGTTGCGCAGACACACAACTTGTTCAATGATATTAATTCAAGTATAATGATAATTCTCTCTCTGTGCCTGTAGTGTGCTGGTTGTTTACTCCTGAATAGGGAAGAAAATGTAAGGATCACTGATCTTTACTTTCACTTCTTTCCATTAGAACTCGTCAAAGGTATAATATTTGGGTGACACTGTGTGTGTGTGTGTGTGTGTGTGTGTGTGTGTGTGTGTTGCAGGTAATAAATCTTGGTGGACTTGCTGGGTTGAAAGGGGAAAAAGGCGACCGGGTGAGTGTGAAAGACATGTACATAAGACTAATATCAGCGGAATGTGTGATTTCATCACATGTGCCCTGACATGCCTAGCACAATGATACCGACACACTCATAAACACACACACTTTGATGCTGTTGCAGTATAATAATATACTGGCTATGGACCAATCCACCACCTAGCTGATATGCATTCTTCAGTGCTCACTGATTGTATTCCTCGCCCACAAGCAATCATTCTCCTCTCCTGCCTCTCTCCATCTTAGGGTGACGGCTGTTCTGGCTCCCATTCAGGTCCAGTAAGTAACTTTTCCATTGCGTCTCTGCCTGGTTTTTGCAGAAAAGCATTGTCTCGTTATTTGGCATGCAGCACAGTATGAACCTGAAATCTGGCCAAAAATTGGTCTGTGATAATACATGCCAACCAAGTGTCTCTAACCTCAGTGCACAGAGGGATCCAAGGGCCAGAAGGGAGAGAAAGGCGAGCCGGTGAGTGCCAATCTCCTGCTACAGGTTACAGCACCACATCCCACTGCCTCCCAACCCCACTAACCCTTCAGCTATGCAGTTGGATCTTTATTCAAAACCTAATTTCCAGGCATCCAGTTCCAACATTAATTATACAGTAGGAATGACTGTGTGCTTTGTATGTTTTTTTGTTTTTTTTTTACCAGTGAGTCATTGTGTGCATATGTGTCAGTTTTATGCATCTGATTCATATATGCATCTGATATAGAAATCTCAGATCAAAGCATGCATAATATGGATTGTTTCTCAGGTTGTGTGTGTGTAAGTGTAGATGTGTGTGTGTGTGTGATTGGAGCATATGGGTCCTCCTGGTAGTCCATAAGGGTTACTGACTGTGTTGTTTGCTATGCTCCAGTGATTTGTGTGTGATGTCTCCTTAGAGCCAGGTCATTGATCTGGACCTTGTCTCCATTACTTCTCTCCACAGGCACTGCCTGCCAACTGGGGCGAAGCAGCTGGGTACAAGGTGAAAGGTTTAAGAAACTTTCAGTGATGAATAAAGATATGGCCTTTTAATGATCATGTAATTAAGAAAACACCTTTTTTTAATTTTCTCTTCTCTCTCTCGCATGTCGCCTTTTTTTTCTCTGGCTCTGCCTAGGGAGAAAAAGGTCAAAAGGGAGAGATCGGTGTACAGGGTCTCACAGGCACTCCGGGGAAGGACGTAGGTGTTTTCTATTTTCTCTATACTAAGAATATTCTCTATAAAAAATTTATTTGATTTGAGGTTAAGTCTAACAGTTAGCCTGAATTATATATTTTCAATACCACAAATGCTAAATTGAACATGTACTCACAAACACACTTATACACCTACACTAATACACACACACACACACACACACACACACACACATCCACTTACGCAGCCACTTTTATCAGGCTAAGAGTGGATATTCAGGAAACTTATATGGTATTACTCTTTAAGCTTAGGCTCCCATTGAAATCTGTTCTCCCCCCTCCTCTCTCCCATGGCGTTAAGTCTGCCTGTTAATGCCTGTTAGATTAGGCTAGAGCAACAAAGCTTGCACAATCAATGCTGCCTCATTGACTGTTCTGTTCGTCTCTCACACAGGCAGGCGCCTATTCAGGAAGATTTAAACCTTATAATCTTCCCTGTTCAGCACGGTGATCCTGTAGACGCATGAAAAGTTTTGAGGAACAAATTACAACGTGTGTGTGCTCTGAGATATTCCCCTGGTTTTTGACATCAGACACACTCATATTTAGTTGTTCACCAGGCTAAGTGCTTGTCGTGGACAGATGGATTTGGTGGGGGATAGATTTTCTTAAGCCTCCCATCCATCTGACATTGTGAATATGAATGTGCCTGTTGATGTGACTTGAATCAGGCAGGCAGAAAATATTGCATATGCACTTCTGAAGATAATACATCTTACAGACTCTACAATTCTGCCTCTTTCTATTTCCAATTGTAAAATGTCAAATAAATGAGGGAAATCAACAAGTGTCTTTAACTATTCATGAAGACGTTTTGGAGATAGATTTCTGTAGCGCTTGTTTGATTTTTCTGGGCTGACACTGATGATGCCACTGACCTGTACTGATGTTGTCACTTCCCTCTCTGTCTGTCACCATTTCCCAGGGTCGAGCAGGGTCCATCTGTGTAGTCGGCCCGAAGGGACAGAAGGTCTGTCTGCATTAAGTCTGGGAGTTTCTACCATCAATCTATCTGTCACATACATTCAGTTCAGTTTAGATTTTATAGAGCTTCGTTGAAATTGTTTTCCCAGGGTGCCCCAGGTTTGGTGGGCCCTGAAGGGTTGGCCGGGGAGCCAGGGAAGCCCGGACATCCAGGCCCACCAGGAGTCGGAAAGCCCGGCCCACCAGTAAGTGTGTTTTTTTTTAATTAGAGAACTCTAAAGGAAAAAAATAAGCCTATATGCACTTCTCGGAAGGTTTCATTTCCCTGATTATCTTAATGTCCTTACACTCATCTTAAAGAAATTAGACGTTGCTCTCAGACGTGCAGGGGAGGAATTGGCAGAACTCCTTCTTTTGGTGCAGCATTCATTGCCCTTGATAGAAGCTTAGAAGTGTCTTAAGAAAATCATTTGAAAAGATTTATGCACATTTTTTCCTATCAGGGCCCTCCGGGTGAACCGGGTGGTGCAAAAGGAGACAAGGTAGGTTAACCCTTCGGTACAAATGATATTGTATGACCCCATGATATGCGAAGTGATAAGTGATCAAGACTACTGACAACCAGAGGCACCTAAGGGCAGCAATTGCCAGGGGGTATGTGGAATACAATTAAGATAAAATTTTAAATAATATATTCACATATGTGTTAAGGAGAAAACTGGAGTGATGCTAATCTTCAGTAAATGCAGGCTACAGTAAACTAACAGCAGAGAAGAGCATAGCAGATAAGTTAAAATAGTTAGTTAAGTAAGTGGTAATGGATAGGTAGTTGAAATAACCAGCCAGAAGTAAGGATTTAACGTTTGAAATAGCTAGAAGTAATTAATTAACAGTTGAAATAGTTAGCTGGTAGCGTATAAACAGTTGAATAGCTAAAAAATAATAATAATATAGCTAAATATTAGGTAAATGAATGGCTATTTTGAGCTGATAAGAAAAGGCTTGGGGGGAAATCACTGATCTAGACAATTTTAACATCATAACTTCATTTTTGTTCGTGTTTATGTTTTCACTTTAGCTGAAGTAATGCATGATCTGCTGTGGATTCAGAAATGCTTGCCATTCTTAGGCTAGCAAAAATCAAAATGACATACTAGACAAGAGAAACAAGAAACCCAAAGATGCTTTTTTGAAGATTGTTTTCAGGGTACCTGTAAAAATAGTTTTAACTTAAGACAAATGATTTGTGTTAACAGGGAGACACAGGACCGAAGGGAGAAGATGGATTGCCAGGAGATCCAGTGAGAGACTCTTTTAAACATTGATTGATATTCAGTAATGTATGCTTGCGATTCCACAGTTTTCCATCTGTGAGCTGATACATCAATGTTTGAATGGGATTCTGCTGTTTTCATAGGGACCAAGAGGAACAGCAGGGTATAAAGGAGAGAAGGTATCCGTAAACATTGTCTTTAATCTCCTTATCTGCATGCCTGTGTGCTCTCTCATCCCCATATTGTGTGGATTTTGACTCATGTTCAATCTCTAGGGTGATCCATGCGAAGTGTGCCCTGTGCTGCCTGGAGACATGGGTAACACAGTGGCTCTGCAAGGAAAGCCAGGTCCTAAAGGAGATACTGGATTACCAGGGATAGGGGAGAGGGGACTGCCGGTAAGTACAACAGTTTCACTGCAATGTCAAACTGTAATGTATTCTAAACCCGGGTGCTCAGTTTAACATTTTTAGGATCTTGCTACATGTTTTATTAGGGGGTCGTAGACACAGTCTGAGCTGTATCTGACGATTGAACCTTGAGCACTTGTTTGATATATTTTATTTTTCTTATCATTCTGAGGGAAAGTATGGTGTTTATTTTTTACCTCGGGGTTGTATTTGCCCTTGTAATTCTCAGTGTAGTCGTAGCGGAAGGAGAGAAAGTGTGAAATGCTGTCAAAAGTTTATTGTCCAAGGCAAAGGGCAATTTGTTAATGTAATCTTAACGCATCTTTTTCTCCCTCTGGAGAGTCAGGACTCCACATGCGCACTATACATGTGCATGCTTCTCTTTCTGTTCATTCTACATCTTCCCTCTTACTCCAGCAGAGGAAATGGGGAATGATTTGTGTATTGGCGGGGAGGGTATAAATCTAGAGCCTCATGAGATTCTCTGTGCAACGATTTCCAATAATGTCACCATCCATCTGTCATACCTGGTTAGGACAGAATGAGAAGGAGGTAGAGCCACAGAGAGGGAGTGTGAGATATGACCTCACTCTTAACAAAGTTGAACCAACAACACTCTTACTTCTGGCTCATTCCTGCTCCTCTCTTCTCTTTCCTTTCCCTATATTTACCAGGGGCCCCGAGGTGCAGATGGCAAGGCAGGACAGAAGGTATTAAAAGTTCCCCCTCATTCATTTACAGCTTATGGTTCATTCATATTCTGTAGAAGCGTGACCTATACACGCTAATCTGTACTCCTACACTTTCAAATATGCTAACATCAGCAATGCAGGAGGCTCTCTCTCCCAAAGCAGATACAAGCTGAACTAGCTGAACTAAACCCCACAAAGTGCACACTCAAACACACACATTCAGCACTCCTACACACGGCCACCTTAGTAGGTCCATACCCATATGTGCATGAATGTCAACCTGCTCGAGTCCACGCACCCACACCTTCCCACCCACATCTTCCTAATTTCCCCACTGTATGCTTCCAATGCCATGTTGAGACATCTCAAAGCAAATATGTTTATCAAGAGGAGCTGGAACTAATTTGCCTGTGTTTTTTGCATTTGGCAGGGAGAATCAGGATCAGACGGCTCCAAAGGAGAAAAGGTCAGCTTGGTGTCTTTATTAGGCTTGGTTAGATTACTTAATTCTGCTGTCAGCCAGATAAAGTACCCTAATTAGTAAACTAAATATCGTATTTATTGCCAAACCTGTCCACATAGTTTTTATGTAACATTTGTTGCAGCTGTCTTGGAGCACTAGAGCTTTTTTTGACCATGTTAAACTTATTTGATTGAACCTGATAATAATTATTTGGAGACAATCTTTGACCCACATCTGATCCGCTTACGTACTTTAGGGAGACCCCTGCTCTGTGTGCCCCAGTCTTGGGGAGTTACCCCCTAATCTCTTTCCCGGTGTCATGGCCAACACACTGCAGCAGAAGGGTGAGAAGGGAGAGCCTGGGATTGGACAGAAGGGAGAGCAAGTAAGTCTTTTTTAGTACTGTATGAGTTAATGTCATTCTAGTACTGAATAACAACTCATAAACACAACCAAGCTAAAAACAATTACACATTATCTTGTTGGAGGACTTTGGTCTCACTAAAGGGAAACAATATTAGAAAATCTGATTGGGTATTTGTTTTTTGTTTATATGTTTATTTCTGATTTTGTTGACGCCAGTGCGTTTGCTAGCACATTGAACAATGATAAGCACCTTCGTTTAAGATGAATGATTTTTCTGCTCCACAGGGGAAGCCAGGGAATGTAGGATCACCTGGTCTTAGAGGAGAGAAGGTAAGTAACATAAAAAGAAACAGGATTTAGAGTAGGTGACCTCAATAGCAGACTACGCTTACATAAGGGGGAACTCACTCAGTAGGTTGCTTCTCTTAATAGACTTCATGAGGCAGATAATCACAGCAGTGCACTAATTCTAGGGCCCAAAACTGTCTGCCATAGGGATTTTACTCTGTGGGGAACTTATTAATGAAAGGCGTAGGTAGCGAAAAACCAGAATCACTTGGCATGGTCGCCTGTAGGGTGCTCCTTACTATGAAACGTGAATTACCAATTTAAAAGACCCATCAATTTTTTTTGTCAATTTGTGAAATTCAGATACGGTAGTCACTTTTTTAATTCGCCTGCAGGGTACTGCAGGCAGCAAAGGAGCTGACGGTAAGCCGGTAAGTTGAGGTTCAGTTCTTTAAAACAGATTGTCTCGCTTCACATCCTAATTCTGTGATGTTAAATGAAATGTGTCCATATGACAGGGAAAGCCTGGGTCAGGGGGACCCAGTGGCAAGGATGGACAGAAAGGCTCAAAGGTAAGAGAATAGAGTGACAAAGTCTACTGTGCAAGACTGGATACATTCAACAAAGCTTTCTGGAATTTAGCTTCAGTGCTTTTAGAGTAAGAAAGCTCCAGTCTTGTTTTGTTTTTGTTTTTTTGTAGTCAGAGTATTTCCGTTTTGTCCGTAACATACTGCAGTACAAAAACTATGTACAAGGTAAAGACGGGGCTTTATCTAGCTTACGTGACAGATGGAATTCAAGTGAGAAATGGCAGTTAGTAAGCAGTAATAATGCTAACACCGGCAACACAAAATTATCTCTTACAGGTGAGTTACAATTACCTGTGTGTAGAAACCCATTTAATACATCATCTCATTCCATACCACTTTAATATTACTTTTGTCTTTTGACAGGGAGAGCCAGGGCCGCCTGGTATTGGTCTTCCTGGCCCGAAGGTAAGCCATAAAATGTATGCATTGCTTTTACCATTTTTTAGCTTGATTGTCATGCAAACAAACCTTCCTGACTCCCTGCCCTTCCCTAAGGGCGAGTGCGGTGTGTGCCAACCATCTGAGTTTGGTAGCGGCCCCACCGGCATCAAAATGCCTGACGGAACAAGAGGCGAACCAGGCCTTCCAGGTCCACCTGGACTTCCTGGTCTCGGAGCTGATGGAAAACAGGTGCGATTGATCTGTAGGAAAAAGATGTCCAGCACAAGAATATATAGAAACTAAATCAAATTAAATTATAAAAAAAAAAAATTATTACTTCTTCTTCTTGGTCCCTTTAGAGGGAAGTATGATGCTCTCATGAACCAATAATCCCTACTGCTTAAATTGACAGGAAATGATTTAGGTTCTTATGTTTGTACTCACTGTTTTGCACTGATCACTCACTTTCTGTTGGAGTTTATCACATTATTGACTGTCTGATCTAATGGAATGGCTTAAATCGTATATTGTATATATTGCCACAATTTGTTTTGTTGTGCTTTATTATACATGTTATTGTGCTTTATATTTTTTTTATTATTGAATTTTATTGTTTAATATACTCATGAACCTGAAATGGCACAATACAATGTGACTGAAAGAACATGGAAGAGTACAGTAGCGTACAACCAAGCTCCTGTAGAACCAGAAACATTATTTGATAGAATCCTTTGGTTAAACAGTAGAAATATATACTGCAATATATACTGCTTACAGCACCACTGTCAGAAGGATCTGTCTTTACCTGAGTTAATAATACAAATGAAAACATACAAATTCCACAAAACCAAAGCAGCATCTTGCTAACCTATTTTGTTGCCACAATGACAGAAATTAAGCAGCGTCTGGATGAGAAAAGTATGATATGCTGAAAGATTTTACCCCAAAGGTGAAATAACCATAATGCTTATTGTACATGTAGGACATGCAGGGATTCTCTTCTTACTGCAGATGTGTTACTAAGTGTAATAAATCTCTGTTCCCACCCGTCCCAATGACATGCGGTGTGCCTCTGTGCTTAGCTTTATGTCAACAGCTATATTTACCTGTATTGAGAGTGTGGGTGTGTGCATTCACTGTGCACCTGTATGTGTATCATGTATCTGCATCCGCTTGTTCATCACCTTCTGTATGCTTACACAGGGCCCACCAGGTCTTGCTGGTACAAAAGGAGAAAAGGTATGTGTCTTGTTAAAAAAAATTTATAGATCTTTAAAAACTAGTTCTTTATATGTATTTTCACACACTATGTATACAATCAGTGACACAACAACACATTCACACCACATTAAACAGCCTTGATGTCAGCTGAGAAAGTAAAACCAACTAATCAATGTCTCTTCTGCATTCTGTGCGGTTTTTAAAAACCTCAATGTCCACCTACCCACAACAGTCTACCTTTAATAACCTATTGAAAAACCTGGATGAATTGGACTATTTGGAGTTACTGGTGGCCTATGGAGACAGTCAGACTTTCTTAACTAATCTGACATATACTGGGACCGGGATGTGTGCAGGAATATCACGCCACATGATATTGAATAATATTTTAAGCCAGCCCAGGCCCTCTTGTTTCAGGTCACCAAATCTGTCTTTTGAAGCATTCACATCACTCTACCGAAAAAACTGGAAAATAAATCTGCCATCAACAGAGCCAGGCTGCTTTAAATTACCTTGAAGCGCTCCCATTTTGCTTGGACGTCAAAGTACAGCCAGACGATACAGGGTTTTTGAGGCTGAAACCATTACTATTGTGAGGTCAATAAATCTCGTAATAAAACACAAAAGCTCAGATCAGCCAGTAATAATAAAAATATGCTTTAGTTTGATTTAGCAACATGTTTTTTTGAAAAAAGAAAATAAAAGTTATGTTTAAATTCAGTGTTTCTCACCAAAATGCATTGTGTGTATCCTTGAGATCTAACAATTTGGTTGAGTGCATTTCTTCCTCATAAAATATTTTCAGAGCTTATTTTGTGAATACCAGATAGTCCAAGTAGGTCTATCTGCAGCTCACTCCCACTAGTAAGACTTGGGCACCAACCAAACTTGGTTAGGTTTTAAAATAAGTATGTTAATCCAGATAGTTTCCACAGGGGTTGTGTAGTCTGTGAGACCGCAGATAGACCCTTCTTAGCTAGTCTGGCTCATAGGAAGTAGGCTGTGTGTCAGTCCAAATTCTCCTGCCCTTCCGCTATCTTGCAACACTATTTTGCAAAGGCACCTTTGCTTCATCCTGGGTTTAGCGCCGCCCAAGACAATTGTGATTAAGTCCAAAGAAATTCTTCTTCTTCTAAACTGTTAATGCATTACTGCCACCAACTGTCCATCAATAGAATATTGACCGATATTGTTAGGGCCTCTTATCTTTTTTTTTAATGTTACCAGGGTGAACGTGGAGATCAGGGAGATAAGGGAATGGACGGAGCTGCTGGAGCCCCAGGACTGCCCGGAGAGCCTGGTCGGGATGGATCAATGGGCTTGAAAGGAGAGAAGGTACAGAGTACCTGAACTTTATTGCATCAGCTATATAGTATTGAAAGTAGCAGCCATGTTTTATGCAAAGTCCTTAGATCTAGTTTGAGTTAGTATGTCTCCATCAATTTACAGGTGATATCCGAGACACCACCGGTTACACTTTTTGGACCAATTATGGTTTCCAGTGGTTAAAAATGGACACTTATTGGCTACATGGGGGCACTGTCATTTTTTTTACTTAAGTTTGATTGTTCCAAATGGTCCTTGGGTCACAATTTGGATTTGTTGTGCTTTCCCAGGGTGATGCATGTACCAGCTGTCCTTCTCTGGGCATTGCGGTGGGTGACGGTTTAGCCGTGCCAGGCCCGAAAGGAGAGAGAGGAGAACCTGGACCCCCAGGACAAGGAAAAAATGGCAAAAATGTGTGGGAATTTTGCATTTATTCACTTCTGGCTCTAAATCTCTGTACTATCAGAATAGTGACGACCATCTTACATGTTTTATTGTCAGGGAAAACTAGGCTTACCAGGAGTGCAGGGGCCCACCGGTCCCAAAGGAGACAAGGTTTGAATGTGCATTTATTGTTTTTTATCAAGTTTATAAATAAATGCATCATGCATCACTGACAGATTCTAATCTGTGTTGTCCTGTGCACCCTGTAGGGAGAAGCTGGAGCTGCTGGAGTTGGCCTTCCAGGACCACAAGTAAGGCTGATGTGTCCTTAAAAAAACACACCTGGATTAATAAAGTACTTTTATGTTGATAGCTGATGCAGCTCTATCATACAAACCATATACATAGCTATACAATATCAGAGTTTCCCTCCCTCTTAGAGCTAAAAATAAAGTCATGAGGTTGTAAATAACCAACTAAAAATTATCATGGGCCTGGGCCACTCTCAAATACATTGTGCAATCTTCATTGCTCTGTTGTCACCTGGAGGCCGGCCCTTCGCTAGTACTACACTGTAAAACATGTCTAACAGTCAGTCCTCCTCACCCAAAACTCAACTCTTTGTTTCCTCCCCAGACCACCTAAACCTCTTGCCTTTCTTTTTGTTTTGTCTTTTACAATTATGTCATAGGGTGAAGAGGGACCAAGAGGACTCCCAGGGCTTGTAGTAAGTTTCTCTCATATTTATAAAGTCCTACTTTAAAGTTTATGTAGTTTTTCAATGAAATTACTTGTTAAAAAATCATATTTTCATTGCCTTATTGTCAATGGGCTCAAAATGAAGCTCACGCCTGTTTTCTCTGTTGCTTGCATCAGCCACTATTTTGCTATAAATGTGAGGACAATGGGTCAGATTCAGCTCTGTGCGCACTCCCGTGCCTCTCTCACACTACAGCGACAACACGGCAGCTAACAACATGCAGTTCACTAACACCATAAAACAACCGGCTCACAGCAAAACACAGACTCCACGTAAGGATACAAAACAACAATAAAGGTTTATGTGCTGAAGCCCATCAGACCAAACTTATTCAGATGATGTCAAGTAAAAACACAGTGAACAGTGGAGAAACACGGAGAGAGTCACGTTAGCTCTCCAGCTAACACCGAGCAGTTGCTATCGTTATCCAGTGCAAAGCTGCATCGCTTTACACATTATTTCACCAACTAACGCAACCCATGTTTTTATCCTGTGTACCACCGGTATTATGTCAAAGTGTTGAATTAGTCTTCAAGAAGTCATATAACAGAAAAACTCAAATGTGGAGCAATTGGTTTACTTGCCTATAGTGATGCAACCAGGAGCAGCCAGCTAACGCTACGTTAGCTTGGACCTGCCGCTGTTTGTTTCGTAATGTTCAATTACGTTTATTGTGGTTTTACCGATACTCAGGTACACAGCTTCTCCACCTCTCAGTAACTGTAACTAACATGACCCACATGATATACAATACTGCAACAAAATGGCAACAACAACGCAGAGAAAGAGCCATCCACTAACACTACAGTAAAGTTTCTTACTGCGGTGTAAGTGTTATAAAGTGTGACACAATCTTGTTATAATATTCAGTCCAGCTCACCAACCGTTTTGTTATCATCCAATACGTGTACGTTAGCTGTCTTGACATGAGCTTCCGGTGAAAGATACACAGATAGTACAACAACAGTAGAACTAGTTACTGAAAAGCCGACAGGCAAGCTAACGCCCATGTTGCACAATGCATTAAATGTAACGTTATCATGTAACGAGCATGGATTAGTTCAAGCTAGGGCCGCTGAAAACTCCTTAATGCCCCTTTAATATACTCGGTATTTACATTTTGGTTTAAACTGTGTTTTTTGTACAGGGGGCTCCTGGAGCCAGAGGACTGACTGGCCCTGTTGGCCCTGCAGGGGAAAAGGTAGCATAAAATAGAGAGATGGCAGCCCAACTTATTGTTGTAATATGCAATAAAACATACCTCACTTTGTTTGAAACCATAAAACCATGTGATTTACACTGGTTGTCTCTCACAGGGTTTTAAAGGAGATGTCGGGCCCCCAGGACCACAGGGACCTATGGCCATTGGAGTTGCAGGGCCCCCAGTAGGACATAAATGCATCTTTTTGCATGTGCATACGGGAATATAATGTCATGCTGTTATATTGTCAAAACACTCTTTGCTATTTACTTTTTCACCCACAGGGTAGAGATGGAGCCCCTGGCTCTCAAGGATTGCCAGGAGCTGACGGCAGACCTGTGAGTTGTCTTGTTCCTTTCTTGTCTAAAGTGTGTGTTTTTCATTTGTGCATCATAAATTTAAAAGAGATGTTATATGAATGTAAGTTGCAAACTTGAGTTGTTGCCTCTGTGTTAGCGTCTGTTCAGAGTTTTAATTTTCTTTGAGCTTCTTTGGGAATTGTCCTTGATTTAGGCATCATTTGTAACCAAGGATGTCTGCCTCGATCCATAACAGAGGCAATGTCTGCTCCCATCTCATCCTCTGTCCCCTGATCTACGCTCAGCTCACTGCCCCGTGAGCTTTCTTCTGGAACAACAAAGCAAGAGTAACTAAGTGTTTGTGTGTGTGTCTTTGTCTGTGTGTGTGTGTGTGTGTGTGTGTGTGTGTGTGTGTGTGTGTGTGCATTTGCACTGTCTCCTTCTCTTGCAGGGACTTGATGGAGCTAAGGGGGACAAGGTAAGTCTACCGTTTTGTTTGGATGAAGGGATCTGGAGGGGTTTGAATATAAGGGGATGGAACAGATGGTAATCGCAAGAGATGGTTCAACAGCCCCCCCCCCCCTCCCCTCGCCCCCCACAAAGACACACACACATGCGCTGACACACACATCCACACACCTGCCTCGGGGCACAGATAGAGTAGCAGCAGAGGTGACGAGTGTACTGTTGCTGGCAGACAAGAGGAGTTTCGGGGCCTGAAGAGAGTGTGTGTGTGAGACTATTAATTACCGCATTCATCAGAGCCACCAGTCCAGACTGTCACTGAGAGGGTGGGAGAGATGAAGGAGCGGTGGAAGCTATGCTTAAGGGTCGGGAGGGGTGTGATATGTGGGACAGGAGCCCATGGTTAAATAGGAAAAAGTCAAGAAAACTGAAAGAGAATGAGGAAAATATGAAACATTTTGCAGAGGATTCAGAAATGTTATTCACTTTATTCAAATAGAGTCTGGAGCTACTGTGGGAGAGCTCACATACATACAAATCACACAGTATATATGTAGAAACCTAGATGTTATAGGAAAGTGATGAAAGCTGGTGTGTAATTGGGGACATCATGTGGGCTCCTTCTAGTATAGACGTTAAGTGAATTACACATTTCTCTGCATCATAATACCATACAGTCACTGTATTCCTGCACTACATCAAGGTTTCAGGGCCAAATACATGTAATGCAGCACTTTGAGTTCACAAATGAGTGTCTTTGTGATGAAAAATATTTCAGGATTTGGCAAAACTGCACAAAAGGGTCCTGAAAGCTCAAAGAGTTCTGACTTTCTCGCCGTAAGTGGTGTAGTTTTAATGTTGAATGAGGACTCGGTTTTGCAGCCTGTGCTTAAAATTGTGCAAAGAGTTTCACTTTAGCTTTTTTTATCTGTCTTTTTTATGCATATTTCAGGGTGTACCTGGAGAGTGCAACTGCATAATACCAGCGCACTCGGGCATAGGCGGACCTGTGAGTATACTTGCATACACATACAGAAATAAACACATGGGCATTCAGTTAATTCAATCTGGAGAATTATTGCCTCACAAAAGAAGTCTGAATATGCACTGACTTTTAAAATGCACTGCCAGTGGGTTTATTATGACTCCCCAAGGGACATATTGAGGAAACATTGATGCATTATTTCCCCTCTGCATATGTCTGTGCTTTGACATTTGTTGTATTATTCTTAACTTCAAAATTTTCCATATATTCTGTTTGTGCAAACACACGACCCTGCTCTGATTTTGAATACTTTTGCTTCCAGGGAGCTCCAGGAACTCCAATAAACACATGGCAGCCCGGGCCTCAGGTCTGATCTGCCAAGTCTGATAACTTGGGTTTTGTTTGCAAGCTTTGTTTCTGTTGTTATCTTGCAAAGTTTGTTCAGAAAATCACAGAATTCTTCATTTGTCTCTGACTGTGAATGTGCGATGTCATTTATGTTCATGTCTTTGCGTGTTGTAGGGCCCACCAGGACCTCCTGGCCCGCCTGGCCCACCTGGGCCTCGGGGTGTCAATGGAATCCAAGGACCACAGGTAAGAGAAAAGTGGCATTTGGATGGTGAGGAAGGGTCTCTCTTCAGTTCAATTCAGTAGCTGCTCCATCAGCCTGGATTGAACTACAAGGCTGATGTAGGCTTTCAGCTTGGGCATTTAGGGTACTTAAGAAAGGCGATGCTTTGAAATGCTTTGCAATTTGATGGGCAAATAAAGTTCATAACATGCATGTAGGACATGGAGCAATATTATATCCTGAATGTGTGCAATAGTTTGGTTTAAAATAGGCTTACATAATCAGTATCAAATAATAAATGCACTAACCCATACGGTGCTTCAAGCTTTAATCCATATGGGAAGCAACTGAGCAAGCTTTGGGAATGTCCGTCAAGACATGAACAGTTATTTGAAGGGCTGGTTTTAAATATAAATTAAAAATAATAAAACAATGCTTATTTAAACTACCAGTTTGATGAATTTCTAAAGTTTGTAATTCAAGCAGACCTTCAAATAAAGTGTTAATGTGATCTGTGTTGCAAGAGTCAAAGGTGTAAGACATGAGAAGTGGTGATTGTAACTGGATGGAAGAGGTCATGTCTTTGACAAGGGTGCATTTGGAATAATCGCTGAACGCAAAATAGCACTTAAATCAAGTATGTTGATTTCTAAATTCAGTAAATTTCATACGACATGGCAGAGGAGAGAACAGGTTTGATCATTTTGACACTGACCCTTTGAGTCTGCCATGACCACTGGTGGAGATGGGAGAAGCTAGCCCTCGATTGGCAACAAACCAGTTCAACCTCAGTTCCTTCTTTCAGGGTATCCCTGGAAACGACGGGATACCGGGGAACCCGGGTTTGCCTGCACACATCGTAAGTAAAATTAGATAGAAAAGGAGGAGAGGCGACTGATTCAAGATCTGGGGCCTTATGTATAAATGATGCAAAAGCACAAAATGAAAGCATGTGGCAAGAACTGGTAATTATTTTTGAAAAAAGGTCTCTTACTTCCCTGTGTGCTTATTTTGATTTGAGAACTTTTTCAAGGTCACAGATGATTAATTTAAGGGAATATATTAAGTAATACATGATGGGTATGATTTGTAACAAAATTTGACAAAACACAGTTACTGTGCATTTAATAACAAATATAGCTGTGTTATGTGTTAACACCCTTTTTTCTAAATTGTGATTTTAATATATTATAATTAAATGGATTTGCATACTGTTTAATTTTAAATATTGAGCACAAGTGCTGCTGTTTAACTGTTAAAGGATGCTGCTGCTGCCAGACCAGGGACAGGCCGGGTTGTCACATGTTCATGTGATGTCACACAATATTAAAAAACGCTTATGTTGCTGTGTTGTTGTGGACAAAGTTTACTTACAGTAAGTGCAAGGGCAACATCAAAGTGGAGAAGTGAGGTGGAGTGTTGTGGAGTTATCTGTGGATTATTTTTTTTATTTGGTGTTGGTGTTGTTTCTTTCAAGTCTGCTGAAGGCTTAATTTCATTAAGGGAACATCAATGCTGATCTCAAGCCAGCACTCAAGGGGAACTTCACCTTCAACACAGGAATTAAAGTAGTAGTTTAATGGAGGAGAGGGAGGTCCTGGAAAATCAGTAGATTGCTCTGGAAAGGATTTGAGACTGATCTCATAGAAACTCTACAGAAAGGTGTTGATGGATTGCATATTAAGCAACACCTCTATGATTAAAATGAATACAAACAGCCATGTAAAAGTGCTGTGAAAAAGCATGCATTAATATTTGACTGAGTCAGAGTGTAAGCCCTGACGGATAGCAGAATTACTAAATACTATTACCCACTATAAGATGTTGTATTACAGTTGAAAAGTTGGCACCCTCTTCTCCATCCACTCACTTGCACACACACGTCCATACTGTTTGTCCTCAATGTTGGTAGATAAACCCACCAATGTCTCCTTTTCTGTCATGGTTCTGCAGGGATTATTTCACTCCAAGTGGTAGCATAGCTCTCAGGATCCTGAAAAACTGCTTTGTCTTTGAAACATAACAGCATGTTGCTCAGAGAAATTGCAAAGTTAGCAATTTGTAGTTCCCTTTAGAGTGTGGCAGAAGTGAACATTGCACAGTGACATATAATTATAGAAAACGTTCTTTTGAGCAAGGCCTTGTGCTAGCCTGGAAAACAGCCAATAGCGTGCAGCATAAAATAGCCTTTCTGGCTAATGGCTCCAATTTGAACAATGTCAAATGGGTTTGTAATGACTTTGAAACCAGGCCAGGTGATAGACAGGCTCTCTCAGTGGAAAGGGTCCCACTGCTATGATAGGGAGCAGACTGCCTTTCATAGTAAATAAGACTGGGCTTGTGGAGTGAGCCTGTTTTATTTCAGAACTTACTATAATTAGACATTGTAACTCCACTGCGGCAGTTTTTTATTCTTTATGTGTACTTGGACATATCCAGTATATGAATATTTATATGTGAATGTTATGTGTTGGGCTTCCTTGGTCCCACATTATAGTCTTTGAATTGTAAACTTTTCTGGTGCAGACTGGAGTTTCCCAGTCATTAGTTGAAATGGGTACTGAGGTTTTCTTGTCTTACTGTTTTGCCATGTTTATCTGTTATTGTTTTGTTTAACGAAGTCATATTTGGAACACTCTTGATGAGAATCCAGTATCAGCATATATGGTAAACACTATTTTCTAGGGTTCATATAGGCACCTTATGCGTATAGGTAGGTTTGATTTTTAAAGAAAATAAATTATTAAATTAGATTTTTAGAAGGATTATTATGAAAAATACAGACCAGAGTTTGTGTAATAATGCTTTGGAATTGTAGAGTAAGGAAAAAGAATCCCATGATTTAGTACAGTAGTACCGTGTCGTAAAGAAAAATTCGGTAGGATGAGGGGTAAATGGTCTTCACTCCCACAAACTCAGTAATTTTGTCTTGAGATTGTGCTGAATGTACACTAACATGCAGCTTGGACAGGTTGTGACAGTTTGCACCAGAGTTTTTGCAGCGTTTGGTGATAAAGTCAAGTGTGTGATTTCAACAACTCTTTGACAGACTCAGCAAAATGCAATACAAACATTATGTGCCATTGTATTAGACAATAACAAACAACAGAGTTAAGAAAGACATGAAATAAGTAAACAAGACAATGTTAAATTAACTATGTAGACAAGGAGTTGGTATTGGAAAGTGTGTTGTGTTCCTAACTTAAAGAGTCGGTATTATGCTCATTTTCAGGTTCAAAATATTATTTAGGGATGGACTAGAACAGGTTTACTTGGTTTAATTTTGAAAAAACACCAAATTTATTGTCATACTGCACATTGCTGCAGCTCCTCTTTTCACCCTGAGTTGAAGGTATCATTATAGCTATGGAGTCATACATCTTGTCTGTGAATGATCTTTGTTGGGAGTTGCACATGCACAGTTCCTATTTAAGGAGTACTAGCCAATCAGAAACAGAGAAGCACAGGTCACTGAGAAGCTGGTAAACAGCTTCAGTTCAGCTGTACATGTTCAGATGCTGACCAGCTTCACAACATAGACTGGAGCAAGAGTTTCAGAGTGGTGAGTTATTAATCTGTAACAAATGTATCTTTTATCCATAAAGTTTTAACTGAGCTCTGTCTCTACATCACAGTAACAACTTTATGTCCATTGACTGCCTGGAGGGTAGCTAGTGTTTGGAAGGAAAAGGAGGTGTGTGCTCCGGCTCAGTGTTTTTCCACCTGTGTTTTTGAGGGTGTGTCGGACTAGCCGCTTGGCGAGCATAAGAGGCGCATTTAGCTGTCATCCCTGTGACGTCACAGGGATGAAAGGGAAGCGGCTGGACTACAAACGAGCTGTTTTCAGGCAGTTCAGAGCAGAGTTTTCTGTGGGAGATGGGAACTCCCTTTGGGGAGGACTTTGGGGGTTTTCACTTTGCAAACCTATTACATGCACAAAAAAGGTATGTAACTCAATAAAGGAGAGGGAAAATGCATAATACCACCTCTTTAATTCAGAGCAATAGACCTTGCAAACTTAGAACTTGTCAAACACAGTTGTAACTAATAACTTTGATCATGGCTGCTTTCCATGAGCGTGTGTCAGTGCCTGAGAAAGGTCTCTTGTTAGACTGTAATATATACTGACAATGACACCGTGTGCTTATTTATACAGTACACTATTTGGGTTTGTTTTTTTGAAGACATTTTAAAAACTCCTGGATAATCAATCTCATTTCCGTTTCCTGCAGAACCCCACTGGACAGCACCTGCTGCCTCAAGACTCTACTAGAGGAGATGGTGATGTAAGTTCATGAGCAATAATCCATTTTGGGGAAGGGAGTTTTCCTTAACTTTTACTTTCCTTCCTTATGTCTATGCCAGTTTTTGGCATGAACACTGTCGATCACTGTGTGTGTGTGTATGTGTGTGTGTGTGCGTGTGTGTGTGTGTTCTATAACACAGGAGGACTGTGGTGAGGGCTGTTCCCAAGGGTTACCAGGGGTGCCAGGTATGGCCGGTACAAAGGGAGAAAAAGGAGAAGAGGGCAAGCCTGGTGTAACCCCCGCGGACAGCTGTGACAAGGTGAGACTCTGCAGAACTCCGCAGTTTCTTGCTGAAACATTTCCAGCTTCACTATATGGTTCTCCAAATCCAGAAACATATAAAACATCACTTGTAATTCGGGTGACCCGATGAGAACAGGTGAAATGTCTGCGCAACATGCGTGTAAGATCTCTCCTTCTCTGTGGTTGCCTACAGCTACACTTCCACTGTCCTCACGACTGATGGTGCCCATCTATGGGAAAAAACAAAAGAATATTTCACACCGACTTGTAGCCTATTTAATGTTTTATTAGGCTTTAACAAATCAAAACTCTTTTCGGGACAAACAGGACAGGAACTGCTCCGAACTGTCCCAAATTTTTCAGGACGTCTGTTAACCCTACTTATAGTACAGTAACTGTGATTGTTGTTGTGCTTTGAGGAATGCAAGATGGCAATCCAACTGACATTTTGCGCTGTATTCAAGATTGCATGGCTCGATGCGAGAAGCTGTAAGGCATTACTCTTGTCTGCTTCCAGTGTTTGGAGAGACTGCAGAGAGTGCAGGCGACACAACCAGTGGTCAGTTAAGATCCTTGTCATGTTCACACAAGCACATACATTTCTTCACAGAAACGTGAGTGCACATTTTCTAATATTTTACTTCTTTGCCTCAAAGGAGGACCGATCCTGCACAGGAGCACCAGGAGTTCCTGGAATGTCTGGATTGCCAGGAACAAGAGGAGAGCCAGTGAGTCTGTGACTGTTTTTTTTCACATACATACTGTTAATTTGATATGAAAGTGTATGTTTGTCCTAGTATGGTTATCTAAATGACTTCACAGAGTTTAGGATTAACGTTCTTTCTTATATTTCTATTACAGGGCCCACCAGGAGAGAGGGGCCAAGCTGGAATACCAGGAAACATGGTGAGGCTTTGTCAGATGTCAGGATTCTGTAACATATCTCTCTCTTTTTTAACCATTCCAGACAGCTCAATTTAACTCCTATTTAACTCATACCTGACTATTTTGTCATGGCTTGATTTAAGACATATCTTCCTACAGTACCCATAAGCAGGTTTATAAAAAAGTTTGCTGATATTCTTTCTAACTTACCACTCACTGGTGAAAAAGTGTTTGAGAGTTATAAAGTGCATTCTAATCACTCCCTTAGATTAGTTTGTCAGTACTTCTGTAATTTTTTTTGTTTAATTTCAGGACAGCACCACTGGGTTTTGTATCATAGCTTTAGATTTGAAGTGACTTGAGAGTAGTCTGCGTTTCCATGATTTGACAGAGCCACCTACTGGTCTCAGTGAAAATGTCTACAATGAGGCCCAACACACTTAACCCCTTAAATACTGATTTATAGATACGCACACTAGCTCTCCTGCAGTGCTTGTAGCATTCACTTCACTGTCAGGAACGCGTTCAAACCTGCTTCATCCAGAGGTGTGAATTGGTTTTATTTTCGTCTCAACTTATTTTTAAGTGCACCTTTCACTGTTTTCTGTCTACAGGGACCTCCCGGTTTCCCAGGTCCTCAGGGCCCATCTGGTTTACCTGTAAGTTTTATTCACACTTCCAACTTAATTCTTCCTCTCTCTTTTAGTTAGTGTAAGACGTTTTCACATCCTTTAATTAAGTACAACTACAGACGTACTTACATTACAATATATACGTCATATATATATATATATACACACACACACATATATATATATATATATATATATATATGTGTGTGTGTGTGTGTGTGTGTATGTGTGTGTGTGTGTGTATATGTGTTTTTTCCTGAAATGTAGAGGTATACAAATAGCATTAAAAAGAAATAAAAGTGTAACATACCATTCTATTTTTTGGCTTTTTCCAAATACGGGTCATCATCTCTTGATTATGCCATCTTTGCGATCTCTGCATCCTCCCTGCGTCTCTCTGTGGCTCTTTAATGAAAGTAGTTTCAGATGAGGAAACGGTTTGGGTGTCTCTTTCTCCAGTTGTTCAATTATTCCCCCGTCTAAGTGATGGAGAGTGGGACTGCTGTGCAGACAGAGCCCTCCCCCTCTTCCTCCTCATACAGATTTATTGTTTTAGGAGAATAGAGATGCTAAATGGATAAGCTGTGTGAGCGCTGCATGGAACCTATTTGCTGCGTAGTAGCAGTGTATAGCAGGTGTTAGGTTCTGCTGTGTGCAGCGGTGTGTCTGTGTGGACTGTTTGTGAGGGAGAAGGGAGAGAAGTGTGACCCTGCTGCTGAATATATTACTCATATTCAGTGGTGAGGAAGTTGCTCACTATGATCAGCTACTAATTAGTTTCCCCTCAATATGATGTAGTAATTACTTTCTCTAAATTACAACCCAGAGTAATTACTCTAATAACCAATCATACAACAAAATCTTTTTTCTCACAGTGATATCCTTACCATTTTCTGAAGTTCTGTTTCATTTATTTATTTATTTATTCTAAAAGGACATTCATCAACAGCCAAGCAGCTCATTGTCCCTCTCATTTGCCACCATTTAAAAAAAAATCCCAGTATCTCCACTTTGTGCCCAACTTCCATTGACATAGTTTTATTCACTCACATTTTAAAAAACTTCTGTCTTTGTTTTGTTCCAGCACTCATCTGGCCTTTCAGCAGCTGTTGCTAGGCAACAGTTCACACTCGCACATGCATGTTAATATTTATGTCAAAACACAGCATTCAAGATTCAATTAATAAACTGTGAAATATAGGTTTTCAATACAACATGGATTAAATCTGTTGATGTATAGCAGCGGTCAGTCTGTAATGTGATCACAATATCTTGCATAGTAGTCTTTTTTGTTTGAGCAGGGTCTTAATGGCATAAATTACGTAGTTTGGGATAGTTTGGGATTTTTGAATTTTTAAGTATGAGGTACTTAGTCCATAGTCAGTGTATTACCTGCAGTAGATGACGGTAACCATGTCCCCAGTTTGGAGAAGCAGAGAGTTGTACTAAATATAGCATACACTAGAACTGATATAGATTTTTTTGCATTGGATCTTTTATGTGACTAGAATACATTACCAGAACATTGCTTAGCTTCCGTGCCAGTACAACTCTGCTTTTCCAAACTGGGGACACACTGAGCGCCATCTACTGCAAGTAATACACTGACTGTGGATAAGTACAACAGCCCCAGTTCAAAAAACCAGAATCATCCATTTGATAAAGTCTACAGCTTTGGCCAAATATGCACCTGAATCTGTAACACAATAAGGGAGGAAGGGATAAAGATGAGGAAAGCAACATTTGGAAATCTGTTTCATTTGTGAATTGAATTCGCCAACCAACTGGACCAGTAAATGTTACCATCACAGCCCTAAATCATCTTGAAGGCTCATAGAGTTGTAGAACAGAGGACAAAATCAAATGTAGGTAGTCCCAAAGGGAGATGGCACAAGCCAGTTAGCTGTTCTGTCTGTTTGATATTGATTTGACTTGGCCTTGACTCATTTCCATCCGGTGGGGGGGGGGATTTCTACCTGACATACATAACACATCCTCTCCTTCATTTTCTAATAATTCCTCATTCCCATCATCCTCAGGGTCAGCAGGGTGAGCGAGGGCCACCCGGCGTCACAGGATTGAAGGGCGAGCAGGTGGGTATCTGCCAATCAAATTATAACATGTAAGAAAATAACCGCTTTTCTTGTTTGATTGATTTTATGATCTTTACCTCAGGGCCCTCCGGGTACGTCAGGGTATCCAGGAACCATGGGACCGCCTGGAATGCCTGTAAGTTACTCTCACCGCATAATTATAAAGGAACTATGGGATTGACAAAATCCGACATTGATTAACAGTCCACAATGAATTTGTCAGGGACTGAAGGGCGAACGCGGGAGCCCAGGAAGCAGCGGTCAGAAAGGAGAATCAGTAAGTGTTAATATACAATGCATCATGCAGGTGGTGATGTATATCACTGGCTAACATTTTCTGCCCTTCCGCAGGGTCCTCCCGGTAACCCTGGGTACCAAGGACAGGCTGGCTCACCGGTTGGTGTTTCATCATAAATTTTTCTCAGCGATATTTAGAGCTTGACATCTTCATTTATCATTACAAACTTAAATAACTGAGAATAATGTGAGCCGTTCTGTGTCTGCAGGGCATTAAAGGAGACACAGGACCAGCAGGGCCTGTTGGTGCCAAAGGGGATCAGGTATGTATTAATACTGTTGTGCATACACCTAATACGAAAATGTGACTATTAGAAACAAACTAAACCTTTTTTATTTAAGGGTTTCCAAGGACAGCCAGGTTTCCCAGGACCACCAGTATGTAAATGTTTAATCTACTATATTGCAAGTTCCTGTCTTTGGAATAGTTGGTGTGACTCTGTATATTACTGTGTATATTTTTAGGGTCTACCGGGTCTTGCCGGCAAAACTGGAAGGGAAGGGGCCTCTGGGCTCAAAGGTGAAAAGGTGAATACAAATCCCACATGTAGCTGTTTCTTATTGGCATCTGGAAGTATCATTTGTTTGTACTGAAAAGTTCTACTTTCAAAGGGCAATGATGGCGCGCAAGGCTCTCAGGGACCAACTGGAGCCCCAGGCTCACCAGGATCCCCAGGGCTGATGGTATATGCATTGCTGTATATTATCAAAGTTTGACCCATTCCAACATATCTATGACCTGTATACTGTTCAGAATCTTCATCAGCACTTGCTGTCTGTGTTTGTAATGAAAGGGCCCCCCTGGCATTGAGGGACTAGATGGAAAAGATGGAAAACCGGGGCTGCGGGTGAGTAAGCATCACATGGTTGGTTTGCCCAGACACAAGCACAGTATCCAAACAGACACTGAGGTTATCATATAGTTGATTAAGTCAAAGACATGCATACATATATGCATATATATATACACATACACAAACCATAGTTGGCCTTTGATACTGGATATTTTTTCATTGTCAGGGAGAAACAGGCCCTCCAGGCCCAGCAGGACCACGAGGAATCCCAGTAAGTATCACCTCTAACATCTACATGACCTATCTGATTCTCTTTCTGTCCAGTGTAGAAAACAACATGAATTAGGCATGAGAAGTAAATCCTGGACACTCAGTGTTAAATCAGATTTATTGTATCAATCATTATGAATAATTTATATCCATTTGATGTTGAGAAGGGTTAAAATCAATCTAATGTACAGTATATGCTAAAAGTATTTGTCAACAGTTAGATGGTTGCAGAAAATATGGTTTTAATCCATTATGTGTTTTTTATGAGAATTTTAGCCATGCTAGCGGCTCTAATGATGTCGGTCGAGTGGTTCACTACCTCGCTCCAGACTGATATATCTCAACAACTACTGGAAGGATTGGAATTGTGTATATATATCCCAGGTCCCTAGAAGATGCATCTTGATTAGATTGACAATCAACTGACATTTCTATGTCACCATGATGAGGTTGAGATTTTTGTTTTTTAGAGAACTTTTGGACGGATTGCCATGAAATTTGGGACATAAACCTGTGGTCCCTAGAGGATGAATCTTAAATCACTTTGATGATCCCCTAACTTTTCCTTTACTGCCACAATGAGGTTCACATTTGTGATTTTGAGCAAATTGTACTACTGGATGGATTGCCTTTAAATTTGATACAGACATTCGAGTCCCCCTCAGGATTTTTATTTTTTTAATAACCTACTGATTCCTTAACTTGTCCTCTAGCACCATCATCAGGTCAGATTGTTAGTGTGTCCAATACTTTGGGTTATGACCAAATACCTGTAACACTAATGACATTCTCATCATCCTCAGTGTCCTTTGCTAATTAGCAAATGTTAGCATGCTAACATGTCAAACGATATTTTAGCATATAGCCCAAAGTCCAAGCACAGCCTCATAGAGCAGTTACTGTAGAATGGCTGGTGACTCTTAGTCGTGTCAAAAATTGGAATCATTTAGAGATAAATGATAAATGTCTTCCTCAAAACATTCACATCAGCAATTCCCTCATTATTTGTCACATAGAGTAGCTTGTTTTGGTAGATACGGCATACTTCTATAAAGTGCATTAGAATTACATTGCCATGGCTCTCCTTCAGTCTCACAAACAGCAAACTTGTATGCAAATCAGTTTGCATGACTAAACCAATGTCATTGAAAGCCTAGTTCCCACTGGAGAGATGGATTTACAATGATGTGTGAATATTTTGCATTCTTGAGATCGTAACTTGACATTTTGGATTCAGAAAGAATGCATATGTGTAGAAAGGACAGGTCAAGACAGGTGCAGTCATCTTTACTCTTGACTTTTGTACTCCATCCTAGCCAAATTAGCAGGATCTAATGCTATTTCACTCACCTCACCCATGTTGGCACAATACAATAGCAAGTGCGATCATCACTGAGTTTTGCTAATGTTGTTAATGTCACAGGCGATGTGAACCCATATGAAACATCTAAGCCTCCAATGTTCTTCTAAGATCTTTCTAACTTGCTGTGATATTCACATACTGTGGTCAGCTTCAGTGAAGAAACGAGTGGCTGCCTCTCTTCCTTTTCTATTTCTCTCACACACTCTCTGTATCTCAGTTTGTGTTCAACCCAAGAGCAGGTGTTCAGGATTTCAAAGACACGTCTGCCTGTTCTTTGGCAGCCTCGACTTTGTGAATTTTGATACTCTACCAATCTCATTCTCTTTGATGTCTCTCTTCAGGGATTCAAAGGGAAAACTGGCCATGCTGGCTTCCCTGGGCAGAAGGTTAGCCAACAACTCATTGCTTTACCTTCACACTATGTCTGTTTGTCTACTTATACTTGCTGTCTGTTGTTTGTGCATTAGGCCAAGTTTTATAATTGCCTTTTCATTACTTCTCTCATTCTTTCAGGGTGATGTTGGACCTGCAGGTCCCCCTGGACCATCAGGCAGACCGGGACATGAGGTTAGTATTTTTGTTTTCTATAATTACCCCAAGTTGATTTGTTTTGAGATTAGAAAACACAGTGATAATCAGCGCATGCAAGCCAAAAGCTACATCATAGTCAGTGTAACCTGGAGATCTCTAAAGGTGTGTGACCTTTCTAGGGTGATCCTGGTACTCCAGGAGCTATGGGTCGACCTGGACCCCCCGGCCACATTGTAAGTTTGCTGCCCTTTTCACCTTAAAAGGGTTTGATCAGTTGATACCATGGAATGTGTGTTAAACTTGAATAATGTGTGTGTTTACCTTCCCCATTAGGGCTCTACAGGTCCAGCTGGACCTCCTGGGCCTTCTGGTCCATCAGGAGTGGTAAGAAAAATTGCTCTGAAATATATATCATATTTTTAATGAACAATAAATGGATGATAAAATCAAATTTACTGAATCTTTAACATTCTGAAGAGGAAAATGGGGTGATTGAGTAGCCAAATATCTGTTGGAGATCAGAATAAAATACAGTAAATAGTGAGCACTGAGCATGACAAATAATACTAACATGATGGTTAAGTGATTACAGAAGCTACGCATACTATAAAAATATTAAGAAAATACATAAAGATATGGTATCTTATATTTTAATTTAAAGTTAAAATGAATGTTCCTTAAGAAAGTGTTAAAATTATGAGCTATACTTTCACCAAAATTATATTTAAATGAGTATTTTTTCAATTTCCCTATGTTGCTTTTATGTTTGATGTAAAGCACTTTGAATTGCCTTGTTGTTGCAATCTGCTATACAAATAAACTTGCCTTGCCTTACTGTATATTGTTGAGAGAGTGAGGGGGTGAAACAAGACCCGACTGAAATTCTGTCCTGCTCTGAAATGTGCAAACAATAGAAAATAATCTGAATCTTTCCCCTTGTAGGGTATAAAAGGAGATAAGGGCCAAGCTGGTGAGAGGGGTCTTCCAGGGATGGGTGGGAACCCAGGACCACCAGGGCACCCAGGGCCCATGGTTAGTACCTCTCAACTTGTGCCCACTTCCAAATGTGTCCCCCAAAATGACGTACATTTAATTGAACGTCATTGAAGCTGCTACCATACCAATACATCTCACTTGACCTTTTTTTCTCCTGACTTTGACTTTCAGGGAGAGCCGGGCAGTGACGGTGCTGCTGGCAAAGACGTGAGTAATGCCTGGGTGTGGTGTTTGTCCCCATTAAAGTGTAATCCATGTGGTGATAAGTATATTTCATTCTGTCGATGGATATTTCTTTCTTGGGTTTGACAGGGAGTGGCAGGCCTACCAGGGGAAAACGGGCAGCCAGGTCAAAAGGTAAGCGCCGACTCAGGGTGGGAGAGTATATTATGTGAGCGTATGTGTGTGTTGCCCAGGCCGGGCATCAATCATCCATTACCTCTGCAGACCATCTGAATGCACCGAGATGCATCCTTTTTTTTTTGTTCCTTTTAGCTCAGAGAGACTAGGGCCGGCGCACTATGGTGCTGAACACGCTTGCTCTCTCTATTTCTGCCTGATCAGCACCTGCACTTAACAGAGTCATCAGTTCACCAACCCCCCGACCCTCCCTCCGACACCCTCCTTCCTCTTCACCTCACTTCACCCCTCTCCAAACTGGCAGCCAGCCGCCCGCTAGAGCCTGTTGGATCTCTCCTCAGACACAGGCTCACAGTACTGTAGGTGGATACAGTGATAAAGTTATTCTCTGCCTCTGGGATAATGCTATTAAGCATGAGGGGAGATGCTAGATGAGACTATTTGTCACGCTGACAGGACGGCATTGTCGGGGTTTTAGCTGCAGAGAAGAGGAGAACAGAGCAGAAAGGCAAGAACGGACTCCGCTATTCTTCTCCCTCCTCTCTATTTCAAAAGCCGCTTGTCTGTCAGTGACGTGTAAACATTAGACGTCCATTATGGGCTGCTTTGTCCTCGATAAATCACTGTCGCTAATGTAGCAGGGCTGTTCTTTGAGTGAAAACAATCCGAATGGTGGGCTCTGTTGTGTTGAAAGTAATATAGATGTAGCCAAGCTTAAAAATTTTGCTTCTTCTTCTCTGAAATAGGGTTGATGATATTGCCCTTTTAATTCAAAAAATATTGTTTCATTTATTTGTTTGACATAAAAGCAGTAAAAGGAAGGACATAATAGTTAAGCATTTGCTTTGTGAGAGTTTAATAAGACGATTGATAACACTCTCATAGCTCTGCAGCTACACTGTGAAAAATAGCAGTAGTGGGAAACAACTAGCCACAACCAGATTTTTTTGTGTCTCATTTGTAATTAGTGAGCTATAGAGGTGCTGCTGGGTGGACTTTGGATGGAGTTAACCTAACTGTTTCATAGTTGTTTGTCTCCATGTTAAGATAGGCTAACATGTCCTGGCTTTAGCTTAAAATTTAACATACAGCCATGAGATTGATATCAATCTTAGTAACATGACTGGCATGTGACGTCTATAATTGACTGAAGTTACGTGTGTGTGTGTGTGTGTGTGTGTGTGTGTGTGTGTCTCCCAGGGTGAGCCCGGGGCTGCAGGCCAAAAGGGTTCTCCAGGGGAGAGAGGTAGACCAGGGCCCCCTGGTGGTGGAGGTTACCACTCTAAGGATGCACAACCCATGATTGGGCCAGTCGGACCCAGGGGTGAGAGGGGAAGCCCTGGCTCATCGGGCCCCCCAGGGCTCCCGGGAACTCCAGGGTCACCAGGAAATGACGTGAGATGCAGTTTCATTACACTTATAGCACTTTAGTCTGATATGTATTTTTTTGCAACTTTTAATCAGCTACAAATCATACCAAGCTTGGCTGTGAGAAGAGGTGATGCCAGAGGCGCTCACTAACTCCATCTGCTCTTGTAAATAATGAATTTTTTAATTATCTATCTTGATTAATGCTCGCCTTTTTGTTTTTCTCTTCGTTTCTCCATTCTTAAACAGGCTGTAGTCAATTACGATGAAATCAAGAACTTCATCCGCCAGCAGGTCATCAAGATCTTTGATGGTGAGGACTTGTGCTAATCTGTGGAAATGTATATTGTTATGTGAATGTTGCTGCTACAGTTTCTAGACTAGAGCAAAATTTTCTCTTCAGATGCATATCTTTCTGTCAAAGAGTGAGTCAATTTCTCCTGTGGGACACCTATTCTCTTGGTCTCGGTGGAATCATTGTTTTTATTGCATGTTGCCCCTCTCCAGAGAGAATGGCCTACTACATGTCTCGCATGCAGATGCCAGTGGAGATGGTGGCATCCCCAGGTCGGCCTGGGCCACCAGGGAAAGATGGAACGCCAGGTAATCCCGGGTCCCCAGGTGCACCAGGACTCCCAGGACAGATAGGCAGACAAGGTCGGCCAGGAGGCCAAGGTCCCCCAGGTGAGCCTGGTCGCCAGATATCTTTCAAGCACCGAAATTGTAAACTATCATGTGGTCTAAATGTGTGACTCTCTGTCTGTAGGACCACGAGGACCACAAGGAGAAAAGGGAGATAAGGGTGTCGGAGAGATGGGAGATGTAGGACCCCCGGGAGCACCAGGTAATGTACCCCACTGGTCCATGGATCAGTAAGCAGTACAGTGGCAGTCATTTCGTTTGGGGCAATCATCAGTGATATGTTAGCAATTGCATTGTGAAATGTTAGTTTATCACATTTCAGCTATATTGTGTTGTTTAAAGCTATAGCTAATAGTAAGCAACTTTTGGCACATTTAACCATGTGCAGTTTTTTTGTTGCTCTTTTTTAGATGTTCAAACATTTGAATTGCAATTTCAATTACACTAAATCCCTTGTGTCACATTTTGTTGAGGCGCTTACATCTGCAACAATCTTCCACTAGACTAGTGCTTTATGCACAATCGCAAGCTACACCTGATGCTAAACCCTTCTCTGGCACTCATTACATAATGGACGCAAATTACTTAAATAGTTTGCATTTGATGTTGATTAGTAATTTGCCAGCATGATTGAATTTGAATAAATTTAATTGTCATAATTAAAATGGCCAGGCTAATTCATACCACCCAAATCAACATCTCAGAATCCTCAGTGATAATGGAGTTCATATCGTAGCTTTGGCTAAATTAGCAAATTAGCATCTGCAGTCACTTTATAGAGAACAGTTTGTGTTGACAAGTAGTTTTGGTCGAAAAAGCAAGTGTGCTCACATCAAATGTTCAAAATAGATTTTTTTGCTTCTTTAATGTTCCCCTGACAACATTGTAATAACACTTATACTTATTGTATTTGCTTTTTTTGCTGAGAGCTAGATAGATACCAATGTCATGTCTGAACGGGAAACATGAAGCTACATACAGCAGCCGGTTAGCTTGACGTAGTGTAAAGCCCAAACAGGAGGAAACAGCTAGTCTGGCTTTGTCAAAAGGCAAAAAATGTGACTATCAGCTCCTCTAAAGATGGGTAGGCTACCTGTTTCTCCTTGTGAGCTAAGCTAAGCTTCTGCTGGTGTATCTTTATTTAAAGGAAGGATATGAGAGTGGTGTCAATCATGTCATCCAACTCGTGGCAAGAAAGTGAATGAGCTTATTTCTCAAAATGTTTATCTATTTCTGTTTCTTTTCAATATTTTGTTTCTTTAATATACTCTCTCTAACGTACCAGGGCAGTGAGTCAATCATTACATTCCCTTTGTTTCCTTTGTTCTTGTAGGTGTCCCAGGCCCCCAAGGCTACGGTAAAATGGGACCCCCAGGTCCAGTTGGCCAGCAGGGTGTTCCTGGTATCCCAGGCCCTCCGGGGCAGCCTGGGACAAAGGGAAATGATGGCCGGTGTAATCCGGGAGACTGTATGAGCCATCAAGTAGAGTACAGCCCCAAGGGCCCACCTGTCAAGGGCCCCTGGTAGAGGGCTAGAAGTGATGGAGGAAAGTGGCAGAGGGGACTGAAGCAAAGAGACTACGGAGAAGACAGAAAGCCAAAGACCGTGACCCAAAATTATTAAATCGGACCACAAGATGATATAAAGGAGCTCCTTTGTTTTTGAATAGTATAGATTTACCCACACAGATTTCTACTGTTCTGGGCAAAAATCCACAATTTCTTTGTAACGGCCCCGCTGGAATGAGGCCTGCAAAGACACACCGGCAGCACGTTTTAATTGCATCATTCTTTTTCCCAGTGAATGCCAATTCATTGCTATATTACTGCCTCTTATTTTGGTGTCAACTCTTTTTTGTCTCACTGTGTTTCATTCCTTTTGTACATGTTCAGACTACCCAGGGGAGGTGACAAGAATCACAATCTGTATTTTCTTCTCCTTGATTAATTCTGGTTTCTTCGGTTTTTGTCATTTTCTTTGTCTAAGTCTTTGGAGGAGAATACACACAATTATTGTAGCACTTTGCTTCCACCTCTCATATCTTTGTTCCTTTCTCACAGAATCACATTCGGAGTGCATCCCATGCATTTCTAATATTCTGTCTCAGTGCTTGTGGTGTGATATATTAGAATTTGACTTCTAAGAGAATATCCCGAGAAATGTATTTCAGTTCTGTAGAAACAGATGCCAAAACCAGCATTCATAACATTTTTGATGGATTGACTGTTTTGTATATATTTATATTTATATATAGTGGCTTTTTATACTTTTTCAACAGATTTGATAAAAGGCAATCCGCATGGCAAGCCACTTATTTTTCATTGTCGATGGTTATAAAGCAGCAAAAGAAATGCCAAAGGAATATTGTTCTAAGGAATAATGTGTTCAGTAAAAGACAAAATATTTATGTAAGAAAACTGCATTTACACAAGAAAGCATATTGGCTTTTGTAATTATGTTGCTAAAGTTCACTTTGTGTTATTTTTACTCCGTTCATTTGGAAAATGCAGCCATTTTTGAGCATCTCATCTCATTGAGGATTTTAAAGTAGCTGTAATAGTAAATACTAAAATCTGTCTGCTTCACCAGACACTTGTGTAAGAAAATATAAGGAATAATTGAGCCCATTCACCACAGGTACTGTAATGCAATACACTGAGCACAGCCACCAAACCCTCTTATGATTGCGTAAAGATAAAGAAAATATTCTGAAAAGCATCGAAACAGCTTTTGTAGTGTTACATGTTACTGTATTTTGGGGTTGATTTCTGTAATTTTTAAAATAATTTTTATATCTTGAAATCTATGGACTAAGCACTACTTTCTCTGTAGTTTAATCGGCAGTTTAAACTATGAGCTGTGGTCAGACTTGTTTCTCACAAGCTAGCCCTTGGGAAATGTTCAAACCCAATCAAATAGCTTTTCAAGCAGTCAGGCTGTGTTGTATCAAACACTACTCAAATCCAGTTGTCCTTCTGAGGATGGATTCTGAGACAGTGGCCCCTGGGCACAGACATACTAAAGGTCCCCCACCTCTTTAACAGAGCTGACTGAACTTCAGACTGAAGTTGTAGTTGCTTTGTGTCTCTTTGTAGTTGTTTTGTTTGTCTTTGTAGTTGTGTTGTGTCTCTTTGTAGTTGTTTTGTTTGTCTGTGTAGTTGCTTTGTGTCTGTAGTTGTTTTGTTTGCCTTTGTAGATGTTTTGTATTTTTTTGTAGTTGCTTTGTGTTTCTTTGTAGTTGTTTTTTGAAAAATCTGTATTTTCTGTGTCTTTGTAGTCGTTTTGTTTCTTTGTGGTTGTTTTGCATCTCCCTCTTTGGTCATTTTGTAGTTCTTTGATTGACTTCTCAACAAGAAAAATTGCTCAAACAGAGGCTTGGGCCTATAGGCCTGTGCTATGTAGGCATGTTCAGTAATCCATCTGTTTTTGTCCATCAACTCTCCAGCCTGTGTTTATATTTCTGTACTGTCATTGTTGTCCAAGCCATAATGTGCCTTGCATATGTTGTATTATGGAACATTTGAGAAAAAAAAACATACATTTTGAAAGCAAAATTGTGCAAGTGTGGTTGTTTTTCATTGCAAGAAATACATGCACATACAATTGTAGTGTGGTAGGAACTTTTGCCCTTGGTGTGTATGAATGTTGACAAAAGCTGAGCATCTGCTACATCTGGAAGCACAAGAGTTTATTTACATGTATGAATTTATACCTTTAAAGGTTGGAAGAATTGAAAAGAAAAGGAGCTGAAAGAGGTGAGGCAAACTAAAGAAACTTGTTTCCACTCCCCACATGATAGAGAAGAGCATTAGATTTTATAAAAAGGTTCCTCTTTATTGGTTCGGGTTGACCTGAACAGCCAGGAAAAAAAACCCTCTTTACAGATGATTATATAAAGAACAATAAATAGCTTCTGTTGATGAAAATAAATCAGTCATTCAATCGTTGACACCCTGGGAAAGTTGACAGTGGCATAGGAAGCACATTCCAGCTGATTCGTTTTGAGAAAAAGTCGTTATATCTGTAGGAACTTTTTATTACTCACTGAATTCATTAACACAGGATTTTTGTTGGTGCATATTGTAACCCATTCCTTTTTCTCTACATAATAATCAACACACATTTACAAAGATTTACAGCACTGCATTGTGGGAGATGGGAGTGCCCATCGGGACATGCTGTTGCCAGGCAACAAGAGGGGGAGATAAAGCTAGTCGTTAGTTTCTAAAATGAGACTTGGGTAGAAAGTGGGAAGGGGAGGGGAGGGTTGTGGGGGGCAATGTACACATGAGGTAAATCAGGGATTTCACCTAAGCCTACAGATGAAAATAGTACATTTTGCAATACAATACAGTTACTGAGTACTGTAAATTTAGGCTGCAATCATTTATTAGTCGTTTTTTTGTACACTTTTAAGGCATCAGGTGTGACGTTGCAAGAGAGGCAGGGCATTTAAACTTCAAACACATCTCAAACAAAATATTGCATATGTAAAACCTTTTAAAGTGACCACTTTGTAAAAGAAAAGCACCTTTTCGCCATGCCTAGTTTTCAGCTCCTCTCAGCTAGTAGATAACTGTGGTGGTGGTGGCGGGAGACAAGGAGATGGAATATGATTCTGTTCCTCTTTCACTGCTGGAACAGGGATGGGATATTTGGATGGGACTGACACTGACATCATCCAAAAACACTAGAGAATTGAGCAGGATGTGGGTGCTGTGAGCTGCTGTTGTCATGGTGACGTGGGCGATTAAGATCAGAGTATGTCCCACCAGTCAAAACTTCAGGTTGTCAGTTTCAGGAGGGGGTGCTATAACCCAGTCACTATTATTGTCCCCCCACCCCTCGATCTCGATGTTGTCCCGCTGAGAAGAGTGGTCTCTCTCCTTCTCTCTTTCTCTCTCTCTTTCTCTCTTTCTCTCTTTCTCTCTCTCTCTCTCTCTCTCTCTCTCTCCCCCAGGTGTTGTGAGCTGCTGATGGAGAGACAGGACTCTAAACATTGGGTCCTTTGATTGTTCCCGCCTCTTGTAGTCTCGGGGAGGTGTATGCTGACGCAGCCAGACACATCGCCGCCTCGCAAAAGCCCGGGAGACCTGTCGGACCCGCCTTACCAGGGTAACCGGCCTCTCCAGGTGATCCCTGAGGTCCTCTCTCACCAGGCCTGCCGTCCCGAGCCACACCATCAACACCAGCAGGACCTGTGGAGGGAGAGGGTTCAACAATAAGAAGTTTTTTTTTACTGATTTCCAGTGGTCAAGATGACTCATTGTGGAGAAAATCTCTCTAAACCCTACTCTACACTTGGATTACAGATGTGGACTGTATGTATGCATGTATTTAAGTTGTGTGTACGTGTGCAAAGGGGACTGTGAGTGTGTTTTCCGCTGTTTGAATTAGTGTGTACTTTTGCAATCCTATTACATTCTCATTCAAGAGCATCTGTTAAATGACTGGAGTTAATGATGCTTTTAAAATGCCTTTGAGCAGCCTCTCCTGTGGCAAGAGCTGTAATGCCAAGCCCTCCAGTTTCTTATTGCACCATTACTCTTCTTCACATTTGGTCACTGTAACGTACTGTTTTACATTAATGTGCATAAACCTTGCACAATGCCATTGTTTTTCAATTGTGTGAGTCTTCATACCTTGTATTCCTGGGGGTCCTGGTGGTCCTGGATGGGGTTTACCAGGATCTCCTCTTTCTCCCTTTGGCCCTCTCTTTCCTAGGTTAGACAAAAGAGGATGGGTTCAGATGTACCCTAAAAAGCTTAACTTTCAACTGTGTATTTATCATATGTAAATGTATTGATGCTCTATTGTCTCTTTATACCTTTAAGTCCAGTGTTTCCAATCTGTCCAGGTACTCCAAACATGCCAGGAATGCCACGGGCGCCAGGTAAGCCATGTGGGCCCTGAGGGCCAGGCGGCCCTGGAGGTCCAGGAGGCCCGGGAGGTCCCATTACACCTGCTCCACCAAGCACAGCCCTCTTGGCGCTCACCGCCACTGCTGCTAGCCTCTCTGTAACAAAACAGACAGCATCATCATTTTAAACAAATTACCTTTGATGATGGGCAACTGATTGCTCAGGAGATGAAAGTATTTTCGGGAAATAAGCTAATCTAATCTTCCCTGTGGACATCCAAGGTGAATAACCAGGTCCAGACACTCACCCTGCAACATCTTCAACACCACTTCAATAATATGCTGGTCAGATGCATCACGTCCCTCGAGAGAAGAAGAAGAGACAGCAATCGACCAAGTGCATCAATCAATATAAGTCCTTATGTGTTTCATGCATCATAAATGTGATCAAGAGTGAACTGGACTCACTGGTGACCCCTGAATGCCTGGCATGCCGGGTACTCCTCGCTCTCCATTGAGTCCCCTTGGTCCGGGCAGTCCTGGTGGTCCCAGGTCTCCAGGTTTACCAGGGTCTCCAGTGGGTCCATTGTGGCCAGGGTCGCCCCTGATTCCTTGCTGTGGAGAGAGCGGCATAAAGGAGTGAATTTACGGAGCGCAAAGAAAGAGGCCACTAAAAATTGATGATGTTAAAAGTAAAAAGAATGAAAGAAGGGAACAAAGGAGGGAAGGACGCCTAAGCCTGGCAGTCTGATGGAACAGTCATGAGATTTCCATATAGTGCAACCTCACCTGTCCTTTGGGCCCCGGTTCACCAGACAAACCCTGTCACAGCAAAGACAGAGATATTTTCACGTTCATCACTTGTATCCATCATTTCTGCCTCAGAGACACTCATTGGGCAATAATTCAAGAATGAATCTTGTAAATGAATGTCTAAAAATGCTGCTTCAAAGAGCCAAAGTGCATCATTGCTTCACTGTCACTGTAAGTAGCTCATTTGCCATCTGGATTATTATGGGGATTTGTATGCAAATTTAAAAACAGACTTCCTCTTCTTCTTAACTTCAGTGTGGTTATAACATTTTCTACTGTATATCACTTTGCTTTGATGCCTTCAGAACCAAATGTTTAAACCTTCTTATTTAAAGCCTGCAGGTCTTGGTATTTTGTACACTCACTCGTGTGGTTCTTCATAACAAAAAGTGTGAAATAGCTTTAGGTCGTGCTGTAATGATTTTTACCTTTTCACCTTTCTCGCCAGCCAATCCCTCAACGCCGGGGTCACCCTAAAAGCGACAGGGAGAAAAAGATCAACTAGGAGAGAGACTGGTGGAAGATGTTAGTCATCATAGAGCTGAAATACAACATCATACAATACGTTTCTGACAATCCGCTTTAAAAATTGCTACTCACAATGTCTCCCTTCGATCCAACTTTTCCTTGGAAGCCCTAGAAAGAGAGACAGCTTGAGTATATGTAAACGTGGTCAAATCTAGATAATAATATCCTAAAAAATAGAAACAAGAACTAAATATTGATTCAAGCCAGTGACACCAGTGATCACAAAGTGAGAAAGAAGGTTGTGTCATCAAGCAAGATGGGGATGCTTAGATTATCATTTATATTGCTTATTTATATTGCCTGCTTCATTCAGTGATTTACTGTGGATTCATGGCTTTTAATCGTGGGTAAACACTGCCCCCAATGGACAAGTCTGGGTAACTAAATTATAAGGAAGTGTGTGAATACAAGCAGCAATGCACGTGTATTACAAAGCAATATACTGTATGTATTTGTTCATGCACAAACCTTGTCTCCCTTGGTTCCACTAAGACCCTGGGCACCTGGAACACCAATTGGTCCTCTCTCTCCTTTGTTTCCCTGTTAAGAGACATTAGAAGTTATAATGCAAAGTATAAGTGCAGATCAGATAAAAATTTGTTTTTAGACAAATAAATGAAAATAAGTAACTCACAGGCTTGCCAACTATTCCCTGTGGCCCAACTTCTCCCCTCTGGCCTCTGTCACCCTGTTGAAATCAGGTGAGGTGAGTATGTTTGACTCATAGTTGCGGTTTTTTAGGACTTTTATGTGATAATTCTGGATTTGTACCTTGGGTCCGGGAACTCCTTCCATACCAGGCTCACCAGGAAGGCCAGGCTCACCCTAAGAGAATGCAGTTTATGTAAAATTTCCCCGCTACTGTACAGAATAAGGACACATTTGCAATGCATGAAGTAGAAAACTTATTTTGTGTGAATGTTCATGGGTTACCAGAGGTCCGGGGGCACCAGGCATGCCAATATGACCCCTAGGTCCAGGTTCGCCCTAACAAGAAAAGAGAAAGGAATACATTTTAAACCAGAAAAACCAGAAAAATACAGTCGCCATAACAATATGAGTTTTTAAAACGCTTACCTTAGCTCCAGGCCCTCCCTTTGTCCCAGGACTGCCAGGCAACCCCTACAGACAGAATTAACAAGACTGAAATTAATGCAAATCAAAGTCTGTATCTTGTGTGTGCTGGTGGTCTAGTGGTAAAGACGCAAACGTTGCAACATCCCTATTGTATTCTGACAGTAGGGATGTTGCAATTGTACAGTTTATTTCTCATGTTTGAAATACAGAGAGTGAACCTAAAAATGCAAGGGGCAATGAATGTGGATATTAGTATGTGGGTAGTAATAATGCTGCAGTGTAAGCTATTGGCATATACCTTACAGCAGGTTTCCTTGCAGTGATTTTGTGTGTGTGTGTGTGTGTGTGTGTGTGTGTGTGTGTGTGTGTGTGTAGGGGTGTGTGCGTGTGTGTTATGGCATATCACAGTAAAGCAGTGTAAGTTATGGTGTTTGAGTCTGCAGCAGTGTTGGTGTCACTGCAATGACCACACAGCAAAGTGTGCATCTCATGCTCCATTACCCCTTAGTCAGAACGACGCGCGCACGCAAAGACACACACGCGCGCGCACACACACGCACTGGAGTATACCCTCTGGTCTGATTGTGATAAATCACTCTCAGTGGGAGGGAGAATGCTATTTCAAGGTGGTTTAAATTCTAAAACAGTGTGGGTCACGGGGTCACTATCAACCTGGATGAGAGCCCAGAAAAACAAAACATACCAAGATTTACAGGCGGCTTCACACTGGCTTCCCCTGTCTGCGTTTTGGCTTTGTTGAATTGAGGAGGAGAAAGATTGACCCCCTACGTGGTCTGAGTGACAATACGTGTTTACAGACGGGCTTATTTGCATGTGGCTATAGTGGCAATGCTGAAAAATCCTCAGACAAACAGACTTCCCTGCCACTACACTGAAGGATCACTCACCGCTGTTCCCTGAGGACCAGGAGGACCAGGCATCCCAGCCTGGCCAGGGCCGCCCTGCAGAAAAAGAGAACAGAAGAAGAGTGAATTGCCATCTTTTACTGAGATTGAAGTTGATCATCATTATCACGGCTGGCAACCCTTACTTTGATTCCAGGAATACCAGGTGTGCCATCTTTTCCATCAATACCCGGCAGACCCTGAAAAAGCAGGCAGATGAGTTAGTGGACTTCATTTGGCACACTCTCTGAACACTGCTGCAACTGTGTATTGCACAAACAAAAGTGTGTTCACTCACATTCTCTCCCTTCTTGCCAACCGCACCCTGTGGGCCCTGGATACCTCGGCTGCCCTGCAGAAAGATAACCAAAGCAGGTTCGGTATATTCGCAATCAGGATGACTGTCCCCATTCAAGTTCATAGATATTTGTCATATTTTTTTTGTGCCTTGCTCTGACATTAAACGTCAAGGGAAACTCTTGGAGAGTCACCTACTTTGTCTCCCTTGTCTCCTGCCTCTCCAGGCGGTCCCTGAGGGCCCTCCTCACCCTGCAAAAACAGAGAGAGATATAGAGTACCTGTGGTGAACTACCTGTTTTTAATATGAGCAGTCTCATCTGTTTGCATGTGTTAGTGTGTGTGTGTGCACTTACAGGAGGCCCAGGAATTCCTACAGGTCCGTTGATGCCCTTGTAACCACGAGGCCCCTGCGGGAAAACCAAAAAGTGCCATCAATCACTTCAGATCAGGGAGGATGCTAAGTCACGGTAGCCTACTATTCATTGTGATAAAGGGGTAATTAGCGCTTAACTCACTTCACTAATGGGAGCTACGCAGAGAGCCAGCCACTCTTGCTTTGGCATTAAGCCGGGGTGCTAACTTGGCTAACACGGCTAATGTTAACAGTAAGACGGATGGCTACAGCGGATCATTAACTACAGATGGAGGCACCGTGGACCCAGACAACCCCAACTCATTAGAGGAGGGGAGAGATTTGTGTTAGCATCATTTCCATATGTCCCCATTGCTGGTAATGGATGATGTTTGTATAGTGAGGGCAGGTCTGGCTGTGCCTCCTTGGTGCTCATCTAAGAATGAGAACAGCCTTGTGCCCAAAGAAAAAGAGGGCGAATAAGTTATATGTGACTGTGAAAGAGAAGAAATAGCCGGACTCACTGCTTCGCCTTTAGGACCCATCATTCCTGGATAACCCCTCAGACCCATCGGACCCTTAGAAGAAAGCAGGAGGAACAAAGTGAGACAGTGACTAACCCTTGACCAGACCAGATAGAGCAAGATACAACACTGTTCTTTCAAATCAAGTGAAAGTATAACAATACAATATTAGCCTGTGTTTCTAACTTTGCCAAGTGTCTAAACAAGTTGAACTCTCGGCATACCGGAGGTCCTGGGATGCCCTGTTCCCCTGAGATGCCCACGTCTCCCTTGGGACCCTGATGGAGGAAAGGAAAAAGAACAGGCTGATTAGTTATTCTCATTCTGTGCTGCTCTCTGTGGCACAGCTCCCTGCTACCAATCATGGCAAAATCAAACACTTTCACAAAAATGTAGGAGGTCTTGATTTTGTGTACGTGTCCACAGAGTTTGACCCCAGAAACTCTGAGCGGGAAAGAAAATCCAGTTGAAACCAGTCTGTGGTGGTTGCTGGCTTCATCTGATGTATGGCCTTTGATGGTCGTATACATGTATGTTGCTGGTCAAGCTTGTTAAAAATCTAGCTCAAGCCAGTCAGCCAGCTAATGCTAGCTGGTCACAAAACTGCCAAACACCGAAGATGAACCTACCGTGAGATAGTCAAAACACACTTACTCCATTTCTTGCTGAGAGTTAGATCATCAGCAGTACTCTCATGTCTGTTAAGTATGGACATGGAGACAGATGGTGATTAACTTAGTTTAGCATAAATAACTGAAGAAGGGGACGACTAGCCTGGTTCTGGCAGAACTTGCTGGACAGATTTAGGGCCGTTGATTGTAGACCACAACACAAGCTGCCAAAATTGGAATTGTATTGGAATAATATAATAATCCAAGATGTGGACTTCGAAAACACATGTTGTGGATTTGTGGGAAGTCACATGCTGTAAATTTCTTGGAGACCTGTTGTCACTGTCAGGTAGCCAAACAACCAACTAAGACTCCAGGAAGTCAGAACACCACGCAGTTAGCCAAAAAATATTACAGCGTCCCTGTAAAATTACAACTTGTGTTTGTTGTTTTTTTACATGTATGTACAAATCTAACAAACGAGATACATATTAGTGAAGTTTATAGGTGTTAGAAGTTTATTTTTGAGTAACTTTGGACAGAGCCGGGCTAGCCGTTTCCCCCTGCTTCCAGTCTTTATAAGAAGCGGAGCTATTAGCCTAGCTACAGTGCTTCACGTATTGGCAAGAGAGTAGTATCAATCTTCTCATCTAACTGTCAGCAAGAAAATTAACTAAACTATTCCTTTAATAACTGATACTTATTGTTCAGTTATTATTGGACAGTGATCTCATATACCACTCTCACCAGGATCATGTCATGTCTGTCCAGTTAAAGCCACTTAAATCCTTTCAAAGCTCAAATCACTTCAGCTGGTGTAGAGTAAAGATAAATGTGATACTGGTCTTGCTAACTAATCTACTTTTATTTGGCGCAAGATAGTCATCAGTAGTGTTTAGAAGCTACCTGTGATTGTACCTGTGTTAGTTTGAATAGCTAGTGGGGATGAACAGCTAATGCAGGCTTAAGAAGAAGAAAACAGAGAGCAGCACAATGCAATCTTGAGTCATCACAGGTCTCAATGAGGTCTTGCAGGATTGTTAACTTGGTGTGTTGAGTGTTTTGAGCGTCTTAGGCTCCTTGTGTGGGAAGATCAGAGGCTAATTCCTGGGGCCTTGCTAGCCACTCCCTTGGAGCTCACCGTGTGCTCATTAGCTCTGCTTAATACAGCGAGGTGAAAGGGCTGCGCAAACCCTGAATCTCTCATCCTCCCCTTCATGTACCTGGCTCTTCACCACCCCTTTCATCTGGCTCACTGCATGCTGACTGCAGGGCCAGAGCCAGGCCTGACTAATCGCAGCCAGATTAGTGCCAGTCATGTGCCTTGGGGGGCTTCATTAGAGCTAATCCTCGCTTCTGCTGGTCCTGAATGGTGGGTGAGTGTGCAAGACTGTAAAACATGTACATGTATGGTTGTTTGAGGGTATGTGTGCATCCGTTTGAGCGGAGATGGTGCAGCTCACCATTTTTCCTATGCTACCCGACTCTCCGAGAGTACCAGCACGTCCTTTGTGTCCCTGGAGGGCAACAATCGATAGAGTGTCATAACAATTTTGTAATGTAACACAGTAATTGATGCTGAAAAAATGTTTGCTTATTCCTTCAGGGCAACTTGAAACAAACAGGGAGACTACTCACCTTGACGCCCTGCAGTCCCTGGGGGCCTTTAGGTCCTGCTGGACAGTTAAGAGGACACTGTTGTCGAGAGAAGGAAATACACGGATTATGAAAAGTGAAGTTGTGCCAAAACAGATTTGTGAGATAGGGGATGTCATTAAATCTTACCTGGAAGTCTGCACTGCCCTCTTCTCCGCCAATGAACTTACCCGGAGGACCCTAGATGGACAGACGGGTAGATAGAGAGATAGATGAATAAAGTCACCTGGTCACACTTAGCCCCTACTCCCATGAGCTGAGCCAGCACTCTCTCCTTCTCTCTCCTTATCCGTTTCTCCCTCCATCTCTCCTTCTCTCTGTTTATAGATTGAGTTAGAAAGTAAAGTATCTCTACAGGCGATGATGTATTCCTACTATAGTCAGATGAGACAGCCCACTGATCTAATGGGGGTTTATTTACCCTAGGACAGCACTAAAGCTAAACAAATACACTCCCCTGGGCTGGGAACATCACTCTCAATGAAGACACCCCCCACCCACCCCCCTCTTGGAAACACTCAGCGATGCACACAGGAGAGGACATACACTGTTGGAAAACAGACTTGAAAGTGTACCACTCAAAACAGTTTGTGGTATTTCATCACTTACCATCTGTTGGGACCTGTACACACAGCAGTGAGCTCTGGCTGGCTAGCCACGTTATCATAAAGTACATTTTAAAAAACACATTAATTGCTGCTGGTTTTGCAGAACACACTTCAACAAAGCATAAATAGAAGTGATGTTGAGTTTGTCTTTGCTTTACTTTCACAATGTGATCCCATCCAGTAATATAAGAAAACTTCAACTAGACTGATACAACTTGATTAAGCCCAATGAGCTTCAGGTGGCTCATTTATCTCTCACCTCTTTCCACAGCTGTTCTCACTGATATGAAATGATTTACTGTGACATCAATTAGAGCGGGGCATTAAATCAGTCGGTATACACTTATTACAAATATATTAGTATCGGCAGAAATGATGTAAACTAAATTAAGACATTACAGTTCAGAAATGCCAAAGATTATATCAAAACTAATTTAGAAACATGTTGCAATTGCATAGTTTGTCCACCAGAGAGAAATTACAAAATTATCTTTCAACTTTGACACGTTCCACATTGTACAAAAAAAATTCATGGATGCTTATGAAAAATGTTTTATGTATATATGGTGTCCAGATTGTATATACTCTCAAATATCAATATCAGTATTGTTATTGCTATTGTTGCTTATGCTAACTACCCAGTTTTTTGTCTACACAAACCAAATTGGTGAACTGTGTTGACTTTCAAAACATAAACAGTGAGCTGGAAGGACTGATGGCAGCATTTGCAGCTAACACAATTGGGGCATGTATCTATGTACCCTGAAAAGCTTGTGCACTTGGATTTACAGAGGGTGGACAAAATATCATGGATACCTGAGGTGTAATGCAGTACAGGTGGTAGTTTGTGTTGTTCTTAGATCGTCTTGTATGTTGTAACTGTAATGTACTGTATGGAAAGAGGATAATCTGTATTTAATCAATCCCTACACTACAACAACATGATACTCAATAGCACTCCAACCTCTTGATCTCAGTTTTTCCAAATTTATTCTAGCACCAAGATTTTCTTGTTCTTTGTTGAGATGAGATGAGATATTTCTTGGACAGCCAGTCCTGGGTAGACACTTACTGGCTTGCCAGGAGGTCCGGGAAGTCCTGGAGGTCCAGGTGATCCCAAAATACCCTAAACAAAGCAGAGGAAGGACAGAAGCTGTAGATATGAGGCTGAAAACATAAGGGTTCTGGTAGCTTATAACTTGTTTATAAGATTTCAAGAAGTCATAAAGGTAGTATAATAAACTGAAGCTGTTGTCCCACCTTTGGTCCATTTGGTCCAATTTCACCTGGAAGACCAATTGGCCCTGGAGCGCCCTGGATATAGAGAGCAAGAAAGAACAATGTGTACACATCCCACCAGCCACAAAATGATTCCCACACCACAGAGCGAAGTAATTAAGTGATAAAGGCATAACAGTATGATATCATACAAACTACTTACAGCCAGTCCTGGAAGACCGGGTCCCTGTGTGGACAGAAGAGGACGATGGGTTAAATTACTGTATCACTAGTGGAGCCAATCCTTCAAAGTATCAATTAACATGTGCGGAACCCAATTAATAACAGCAGCAGTAATTCAGTAATACTTGTGTACAGTGTCACGACGCAGGGTAAACAGTGTTCAAGAAGAACAAAGACACAGAACGCAATCAGTTTGTGTTTACTGTGTCTTTTGCTTGGAATTAATTATAAACCAAATAATTAAGTAAGTAAGCCTTCTTGGAGGAAGAACAGCCCACAGGGCAGGATCTCCTGTCTCTGCAGCGCGAGACAGCTGGGTTTACAAGCACAGCCCCCAGACAGGACGCCTGTTAACGCTAAACAAAGGATTTAACTAATAGCGTTGCATCCAAGCATGACATTGGATGACTCTGGACTTAATGTCTGAATATATTGAATGATGTCTCAAAAATGGACACTGAGCACCCCCTAGTGGTGTTAGACTGTATTACAGACGATGTGCTGGTACACTTCCACTGCACAGATGAACTGATTCACCTTGCATTTGGTGGTGCGCATAGAGTCAGCGGTTGCATTTAATGACAATATGTGCATATAATGTGGATCATTGATAGCTGTTTTCATCTTTATTTAAGGCTGGGTGTAGGAATAAGTCTCATGTCAGCTGTAGAAGACATATGCCACATCTGGGTAAACTACACCCAAAAGGGGGCACAGCTGGTCAGGCATTCAGGCATGAAGAAAAAGGGACTCTGGAGGTTGCCTTATGAGACCAGCTGGGTTACAATATGTTTGTTAGGAAAGTGACTAGGCTTCAAATAACGCCTTATTCAGCTCATCATAACTCATTCTCATAAGTATCATGACAGTCTTATCTAATTAGTCATATGTACCTTATATAAATATACAGTAAGTACATTTACTGTGAGGTATTTGTACTTTACTCAAATTTTTAAATTTCATGCCACTGTATACTTCTACTCCACTACATTTCAGATTGAAAATATTGTACTTTTACTGCACTCCATTAATCTGGCAACTATAATTACTATTTACTTTTTAGATTTTACATATAGAAAATATGACAATATAACATATAATGGATTTAAGATTAAAGCAGTGGTCCCCAACCTTTTTGTTTAATAAACTTTTCAGGGCCCAAAAAGCCTACATTATCCTATATTTCACACAAAAAAGCAAAGATTAGAGAAAAGTCCAAGGAATGAAAACAACTATGTATTACAGAACTTTGCTGTTTTCTTCTTTCATACCCGAAAGATCACCTCATGACCCCTCATATATATCTTGTGACCCTGCCTGTATATAAAATAGTTCAAACTAGCTTCATCTTGGCTAGATATTTACATATTGATCCCTCAGTAACAAACTAATAATGTAATATGATAACACATTACTCAATTTATTTTTTTTTTTGACAACTGTTGATACATGTTGCTGGTAATACTTGTGTACGTTTACTTAAGTCGGAGTTTGAATGCAAATTTTTTACTTGTACTGGAGAATTTTTACATGGTTGTGTTAGTACTGAACACTTCTTCAACAACTGTATATTAGATAGATAGATAGATAGATAGATAGATAGATAGATAGATAGATAGATAGATAGATAGATAGATAGATAGATAGATAGATAGATAGATAGATAGATAGATAGATAGATAGATAGATTGATAGATTGCTTACAGGAGGTCCAGGTTCGCCACTTGGTCCAGGTTGACCCTGCAGACAATAGAAAACAACAATGTAACCAAAGTCGTGACATGCTAAAATCTCAGCCACATAAATAAATATAATGTCCTCAGGGCATGAAATTGGCGAAAATTAAACTCAATGTTATACTGAAGGCAAAAAAAATGTATTACTCCTGAATAAAATCTTTAGAGAGACAGCAAGTAAAAGAATGGGAACATGACCCTGAGACTTCTTTTTTTATAAAACTGAGCTTTGTGAATTATGGTAGCTTTACTCCAGCATCACCACCACCACAAGGTGACACATGTTAATGTCTGAGTCACAGGTTTTCCACAGAAAAGCAGTATAATGGTGCATTTGTTCAAATGATCTTTTCAGGTGCATGTTTAGACACTTGCCTTGGGGCCAGGGCTCCCAATAGGACCTCGATCCCCCTTTGCTCCAATCAAACCCTGGACACAGACAGAAAGAGATGTTGGCAGGCAGATATGCTGGACATGTATATGGAGGTCAAAGTAATGAAGTAAAAAAACACAGATGAGGTTAAAAAGGAAATAATCAGACACCCCTGTTATTTTCCACAGGCTATATATTACTTGCATCCACCTTACAACAGGGCTAATCACACATTTGATCGAAGTTGACACTGTTCTTGTAAGTAATTAGGAAACAAACCCGAGATTGAGATTCCAGGGCGGATTACTGGCTTAATCTCTGAGGAATGCATGAGAGTGTGTGTTTCTGTCAGCATGAGACCAAGAGGCACTGACACTCAATTCCCCCTCTAACCAAGACTGAAGCAGCAACTTGCATTAGTACAGCTGCCACTGGAAAAGCTGCACCATCAGGTAAATCAATAACTGAAGTGCATCAAAGCTATACAAGCAATTTAAACTCATCTGCTCGTCTTTATCTCCCTCTCCTTGCTACCTGTGATTACTAGAGCTTGAATTGGTGTTATCAGTGAGGGATAATGGGTTTTACATCAACTACATTAACCTCATTGTTTGAATAAGTATTCCTAATCATTTGTCCTAAAAGCTATTGTGTTATTGTGTTGACAATAAACCAATGGTTAGGAGTTCTCCACTTGCTCTGCAGTGGCAAGTGGATTATTCTGTCTTAGGGAAATAAAGACCCAGCCCACAGAGGAAAAGTATGAATGCCCTAATGTGAAAATAAATCAGAAAATGTACAGCAGCTTAATGCCTTTGTTTTCCTTAAAAAAATCTTGATTTGGAATAAGGAGCTGTTAGACGTTAAAATAAGCATAAGCCCAGAGAAATGGGAAGTATTACAAAATGCTTTAAATATGATATTAAAGCAAAAAACTGCCTTAATGACTTTGTAATGACATAAAAGGTACTCTGTGGGGGTTTATTGTAAACACTTGTTTATATTCAACATTTCTCATCAAAACCCACTGAGCGCATCCTTAAGATGTCATAATTTAAAAACATCTTCTACCTCATAAAGCATCTGCAAAGCTCGAATACAATCAAAATCTTCTGAAACACGGACAGAATGGACCTTGACTTTTCGTTCTTTTGACAAACTACTACTACTTTCAAGTCCTAATTTGACATGCAGACATTTCCATCTCCATGACAACTGTGCAAAGTCCACTACTGATGAGGACTGTGTGCCACAACTGAAAGCTCAGGAAAAAGTTAGTATTATAAGTGGGCCTTGAGTTGGGCCTTGAGTCTTTGTATTTGTTTTTAAATAGCCCTCTCCAGTGGCTGTAAATCACGCCACCCACCGAACTCCTGGCGTATATGCATGTCAGTGTGCACGTATTGGCGCAGCAAGTAAAACAAAAAACACAGGGACCTGCTCATCGAAACATTGTGTTTTGATCAATTTAACATTTGATATGTTGGCAAATCTTTTTTTTTCATTGTCATAATGTTCATGATAACCTACACTGTTCACTTTCTATTGATGTATTTTCTAAAAGAAAATGCTTGACTACATTTAGCTGAGGCTAAATTTTATCCAAAGTGACTTACAATTGCTGTGTATGTTAGAGGTTGCTGCCTCTGCAGCAACTAGGGGTTAAGTGTCTTGCTCAGGGACACAGTGGTGGATGTGTCACAGTGGGGAATTGAAACCGCGTCTCTCACACCAAACCATGTGTCTTATCCACTCTTCCATCACCACCTCACTTTTCATCTAACTATTTCTGTGGGATTGTTTTCAGATTTGTAACATCAAAGTATTCTTTTCCTTAAAAAGATGTTTTCACGTGAAGTCTCTCAGAATGTTTCTTGTGTGAAGTATTTTTTTGTTATCCTTTCATTGGCATTTTCTATTTCTCTCTCTTTCTTGCACTCTGTTTCTCTCTCTCTCCCCCTCTCTCGTTCTTTCTCTCTAACACACAGCAAGTACTGACATCAGTCGCTTTACTTACATCAATGCCATTCTCTCCTGGTGTTCCATCAGGACCTGGCTCTCCCGGCTCTCCCTTCTGTCCCTACAATAAAAAAAATTAATTAAAACACACAGACACACTATTGTCATGGACAAAACAAAGTCTAACAAATCAAACTTTAAAGTTTCTGTGATATAAAATCTAATAAACAGTACAGTACAAACTTACTGGTGGACCAGGGGGCCCGGGAGGTCCTTTATCTCCCTGCAGAAAGACAGAGTGGAGATGTTAACCCTCTGTTTTTTTTGGTATTTTTTAATTTAACAGGGTATGGGAATGGAACATGATAAGCAACAAGGCCTTGCAAACGTATTCATAAAATTTGCTAATGTATGTGTTTACCTATCACCACAAAAACAAGACCATAAGTGACTTACCTGGTTAATTAAAGGTCAATGAATAAAATAAAGAAATAAATACAATATTTTATATTATATTCAGTCATTATTGGCTAGTTAGGGTAAATGATGGAAATGGACATCATGAGACAAGTTGAGAGAGTGATACTGCTGCTGTGATGTTCATGGTGGCTTTGCATTAATACATATTGCAATGTTAATATTGCGGTCTTCCAGGCAGAGACACCTGTTCAAAGATTCAACCACTGATTATGATGTTAACAGCCTTTAGATGAAGTCTCATGTTTATATGTATTGCTCTCTGTCTGCAATGGGAGGTGGTAATGTACTAGTTAGTAAGTATTATGGCTTACTGTTACTCAGCAGTCACGAGTCAAAATACATTAATGAAGATGATATAGTAAAGTTTAAGATCAATGACTTGCTTATAGTTCAAATCACATGATTTTGGCTGTTGAAACAGACAAACAGGGTTTTACAGGCAGCTTGTTTCCTCCTCCACTAGCCCAGCAGCCTCCATTTTTAACATATTTATACAACCTGTGTGTAGTTAACCCTGAGAATATCTCAAATGTATCACATTACTGTGACACAAACTCGGGATTGAGGCAAGGGTCCCTTCTCAAAGAACCCTCTCTCTGCTGGGAACAGAGCTCTTTTGTGCCAGTGTGTTTTCGTGTGCAGTGCCCTCTGCTGGTAAGACTCCAGTACTGCAGAGCAGCACAACGTTGGTATTTCTCCAGCACAATGATGGTCTTTGTGACAAATCTGCTGGGCAAACCTGTGTGGATACTCACATCAATGCCGTCAGACCCAGGGGTGCCAGAAGGGCCTGGTGGGCCGGGCTGGCCCTGAGGTCCAGGTGGACCCCTCTAAAACACAGGGAGAAAGATTTAAGACTCTCAAGTAATTACAAACAACACCAAACCCTATTCAATTTGTGTTGTAGGGTATATATATCACAACAATATTATAAACATCAAAATGGTCAATTCTGGGCAGGTTATCCGAAAGCAACACAACAAAAAATAACCGAAATAAGGGGAAATTGGATGATATTGAATAAAATTGGTGTAAGAAATGGATAAAAACAAAGGACTGAGGAATGTGGAAGGAGGGGTCATAAGACTGGCACTGTTTACACCACCACCCCCATCTCACCCCTTCTCTTCTCTCCAACTGTCTCCTTAGCCTGCCTTGAATATCATGTCATTGGAACACTCAGTCCATCAGGTTATAAAAAATGTGAATCCAACTTTGAATTGTTCAAGAAAAATGTGTAAAATGTAAAAACAAAAACAACCCCCCCCCCAGATAATCCTTAAGAGTGATAACAGCTAGACGTCCAGTGGATAACATGTAGGTGTCTGTTTGAATAAGGCCTCTCAAGCTCAGTGGTCAAAGTTTGTGTGTGTAACACGTGTGTGTGTGTGTGTGTGTGTGTGTGTGTGTGTGTGTGTCAATGCCAACAGATATCCATCTCTGTCATGGCAGCTGAGTTTGCCCTGAAAGACAAAAAAATGTTCAATAAAAATCTTCTTGGCCAAGAGAAGTAACTCAGGTAATGGCAAATCCTTGCCTTTAATAGTAACTCCTTACTTAAGTCTTCAAAAGAGATAAGAGTCCATATACGATAAGGGTGATAATCCGTAGAAGATAGTCCGGTTTCATTTAGTCTCTACAGCAGAAAAAAACATTTCAAGCTCATCTTTCTTTTGTATGCATGCTGTAAAGCCAGATGTCGCCACAAATAGATCTGTGTTGATTCAACCTCCAGCATTTTGATCACCTCAACGAGCACCGAGACAGCAAACAACCTTCATCATCACCTCAAGACATCCAGGCTCGCTGGCCCTTTCCAGGGGCCCTTACCCCCACTGAACCCCAGAATAAAGGAGCTACGTCTGAGCAGAGCAGCTTTCAACCTCCCCTGTCCACTCACCACTTGGGCCAGAGCCAGGCACAGGGTCTGCATTATTGCCCAGGTCTTCAGCGAGGCAGAGAGAGCAGCCATGGTCCCTCTCCCCTGTCTGTCTCTCCTCGGTTCACCAAATCCTCTCTTCTGGCTCCTCTTTCCGCTCCCTTAGTCCTCTCCAGGCCGGCACAGCGTGGAACTGGTGGAGCAAAGCTGTCTGAGAGGAAGGAGGAAGGGGGGTTGGGGGGTATCTGCACTGCCCTGAAAAAATCTGCTCAGGAGGAAGGAGAGAGCTGAGAGTGGAGAGGGGTGGATGGAGGGATGAGGGAGTGGAGTTGGAGGGAGGAGGACACAGAGAGGGGTGTAATCCAGCCCCACAGGCAGTCACTGATTGCAGACGAAAAATGCACTTTGCACCCATCAGCACTGTGGAAAACACACACACACACACACACACACACAGACCTGTATATACTTACACACACACATCTGAAAACACCTTATGTTTTCACATTAGATTTAGGGCAGGAGAAAACTCTCTTAATATGTGCTCAACAGGCAGTTTCTGCCACTGTGATTGGATGCTTTATGACTAATTTGCATATTTCTACAAAGTCCTGAAGCCAATTGGGCTGAGCAGCAGTCAAGCTCTTCCCAAAGCTGTGGGAGTGGACCGATAAATGAAACCTGAGCGTAAAGCCAACTGTGTCAAACACCTAAACACAGGTCTTTGGACAACAATCCTCCTTTGCTTCTGTCTCTCGCTCTCTCTACAAATGTACCTTGTTGTTTGTTTCTTAACCTAGGGCCATCATTTGCATGGCGGTGTAAATATCTCCAAATGTTTACCATGTGAGTGTTGCACGGCATAGATGAGAGGAACAGGAAAGCACCTTGCAGGATATTGCATATAAATTAATTTGATTCCATCAGGCATGGGGAGGAGGAGGGGGACAGCATCTGCTTTGTCAACAAAAAGATGTGACTGTAACTGTGGACGCAAAGCACCAAGTAAGAGACAACAAATAAACTTTGTCATGTACTGACATCTAGTGGTCATTTACTGTGAGCAGATTAGTTCCCAAGTATTCTAAAGTGGCTATTTGAGGATGGCTAAAAAAAACATCATGGAAATGTGAAAACGACCTTATAGTGACCCCTGTTGTGCAGACATTACATTACACCAAACACGGCAATTACCTCTGTGTCCACTAGATGGCAGCAAATACACATAAAAGAATGCCAGACACAGAGCAGCTTGGTTGCTATGGAGGCCTCTACTGCAGCAACTGGGGATTATACATCTGTTTTCCTCAGGGATGATAAAGACAGTACTGAGGATGCTGAAAAGAGATGCATTTATTAGTAAATTGAGATTTATTGCACACACCAGTAACTCTCAACAGACCCCATTAAATAAATTAGGAAACCAGCTTAGTGGTGGCTTCCGTGCTGTATTGGTTTTGCACATTTTCACTTACTCCATTTATCACACACTTAACTTAAAATTGTTATTGCCTTTTTCATACTCTGCACAAACGATTAAATGTTAACTACTGCCAGGTGAACGCTTGTTTTCCTATTTTATATATGTATATATATATTTTAACAGGCAACAGTCATTACATATATTAGTTCAAATTAAAAATGCAGAAACACAGTGTAGTTCGTATTATTGTATAAATCATCTATTTATTTGACAACTTTTTTTGAAGCCACAAGGAGCCAAACCTGTTAGTTTGCTCTCTTGTTTGATCGTAAAGAAATACAACAGTTTTTGAAAAAATAGTGCTGCAATCTTTGACCATGAAACCTGGCACTGAAGTACAATAGCTACTGTAACGTGCATGGATGGTGATAGACAGAGATGTTCCTGTTATTCGTCCGTCAACTGTCAGGTTGATCGTGTATGACAAAAATAGTCCTGTGGCTAGCAGTGTCCAAATAAGAGTGCACCAAATCTGCATTGTGCAGGGACCACAAGCAGACACTGTTAATGGTCATCTAATTCATTACGCTCTAGTGAACTGTGAAGTGTTTGCCTCAATGCCACTTCTCCAACAAGTGTGTCTCAGAAGTGACAATGTCAGCAAAGTTCTGCAAATCCAAATAACAAAATAGTATTTTCTTGTAATCCTTATGAGTCACTCCCCTCAGGCAGTTAAAAGTTGCAACATCAAGGAAGAGCTCAGTATAGACCCCATTGACCTCTTGATGCAGTATGTAATTGATCAAAGAAATCAAAAGTTCAAAAAAATCAAAAAGAGTTGATACATGGTATTTTAAAGCTTTAAGTTTACAGAGCCAGGGTAACAGCTTCACCTCATGTTCAGACATTACGCTAAGCTAAGCTGCTGCCTGGCTCTGGCTTCATATTGAACAAATACGAGAGTGGTGTCAATCCTCTCATCTAACTCAATCAGGTCCGTTTCAGTGAACAGAAACTAACAAATAGTCTTCCAGGAAACTATCTCATACACATCTGCTAAGCTTAGCGCTGCTCTGCTGATGTGCGAAAATCTGCCACAATGCACCAGTTCTATTTTATTTGATTTAGCATTTTCACATCAAAATCTCAGCCACAAAAATGTAAAAAAAATAAACGCATTGAATTTCAGAAAACTCAGAGATCAAAAATGGAAATGCATCCGTATCCACAAACCTGCTATGCTGATCTTCTCACGAGTGAAAACTGAAAGGAATCATCATCCAATTGCTGTCTTTCTCAATTCAAAAGATTCCCCAGCCTCCTCAAACTTCGAAAACGGACAAGGAAAACATTGGCCTCTCCTAATTCTCCTAGTCCCTCTGAATCTCCTTCTCCCTGCTCATGTTTAAATTCCCGGGTGAATGTGACTTAAATATTCTTTTCTAAGCGGATAACATACTTATCATAGGTCATTGCGAGGTACATGAGGCAACATGCCACCCAAACTCAACCAATAAGTGATCACATCCTCACCACTTATACCCACCCAGCTATTATCTGACCTCCACATAAATGCACAGAACAGAACAAAGCAAACACACACCCACACGCATGCCCATGCATTTAAGTAGTGCTTTAATTGAAATATTATGACTGACCGGGGAGGTTTCGGTCCTGCGCTGGTATCCAGCTCTCTCTCCCACTTTTCCTGAGAAGGATCTGTTTCACACAGACAGGCTGTGTCCATTCCCTCTCTAACAAGACGCCTGAGAGAAGGGGAGAATGGAAGTCATCATTAAAGTCTGATGCAAAGGCAGGAGGACCCATTCAAACACACACACATACTGTCTGATGATGACAGACAGGGTAAATATTATTCTTGAATGCAGGTGTGAGGGGTAGCGGCGAAGCGATAACAGAGGAGGTCATTAACAACCCAGCAGGGTTTGAGGCTGACCCCCGAGGCCCTGTGTTGAAGCCCTGGCCCTGGTTTACAGTCAGAGCAGAGGGAGGAGAGGTACGCACTGACAGGCTGATGATATACAGGCAGGATATTAGTCTGTCTGGTATGAAACATATTCATTAGGGTGTTTCGTGGTTATTCTGTGGGTGTGAAAATCTCTCTAGTCAGTCGGTGGCTAAAGCTTCTTTGACATGTAAAATTATTGAGGAATTCAGCAGACGAAGAGGTGGACGGTGTGATTTGGTTGTCGATCATGAAACTGACAGCGCAGTACATTTGAGGGTGTGTACGTATGATGTAAGGTCAGATATAAATGTTCACACATGCCTTCAGTCTTTTTTTCCTCAACGACTTCGATCCTACAACGACTCAAGTGAATATCTTAATCAGTTTGTGCACTCCGAAAACCATTTTCAAAGCACCGGTCCTGGAGTGCATTTACAAAGCCATTGGGCGTTAGATCCGGTCTCGCACTGAGCCTGCCGCTTGGGTTGAACTCGATGTAGTGGCGAGACCCCGCTGTACAGTGACAACTGGCCCAGAGTCACGAGCTGACAAAGCGATGACTGCTGCGGAGATGAAAAAAACACAGAGCAGCCGCTCACCCCAGTCTGAGCTAGATGAAGTGTTTCTAAGCAACAAAGCATGGCTAACCACCACCATCAAAAAAAAAAAGAAAAAAGGATGAGGGGCAAAGGGCAGCAGATTGTTACTATTGCTTTAATGTGTTTGCATTGGCTAACCTGCACAAATATTTCATGTTCTGACATTATTATGGTAGCAAGATACACTATTATAGTTGTATCCTCCACAAGTGTTCCCAGCCTTCCTCTGCATTTGATTTAACTTTTTGGGGCGATGAAATGCTGTTTTCAGCAAACATAATTGCTGATATATATTGGCCTGTGGAGGTGGTCTGGCATGAAGCTCTGTGGTCTTTAAATCCTTTTTGAACTCTTGGTGTGAGATTTCCAAACTTCAAACATCATAAATAACAAACAGTAAATCCGAGTTATCACAATAGATGTGTTGCAGATGTAAAACACATTCAGATTATGGGCAAGTCATGTTTTTAAGCTTTTTAGGGATTATACCACCACATGTGTTACACAGTCCCAGTACTTGCTCTTAAAGGTGCACTTAAAGGAATATAAGGTTTTGGGAAATACACTTTTTACGCTTTATTTCAATAGTTAGATGAGGGGATTGACATCACTGTCATGTCTGTATGCTAAATATAAAGCTAGCACATATCTTGATCTTTGGACAGACCTAGCCTAGCCATTTCCTCTTGCCGCCAGTCTTTTGTGTAGCTTTATTTATTTGGCGGGTGGTATTTCTCTTTTCTCTCTCTACAAGAAAGAAATGTACTGTATGTTTGTGTTTCTACACTTCCATTAAATTGTTGCCACATCACCTATTTTATGTTAGATACAGTTTGAGGAATGTCATTTAATCTGTTCTGGTTTTTTATCTTTTTAAAAAAAAATTTATATCCTTGTAGGTCTGATGATCTGCTAAAGCACAATACCATTCTTGGATGGCTCTGGATTTAAAATGTGCAATAAAGCATTTTCCACTCCTCACAAGTACATACTGTCACTCTCTTGCAAAGCCAAACTCAGTAACAGAAGTCTAACATTAACTCCTCCCTTCTGTTTGCTGTCTACACCGTTTCCTACACCCAGCCAAGAACAAGTCCGGTGACATAAGTTGTGGACCCGCAGTACCCTCCCTCTTGACAAACGAGTGAAAAGTGGTGTTAGTCTGACAACCGTGCAGCACAGAAACATTGCGTTGATGGAATGTAAAATAAATCCACAATGGAGTGCTAGCCAATATTGTCTCAAAAAGCTGTGCACCCAAAATGAGCCAAGACAACCGAACAATGGTCATCAACAGTAAAGCTCTGTGCCCCCTGGA